TTTAAACCATCTTAAAAAAAAATTTAATTATTTTAACCTTAATTGAGAGAATCATATATATTTGGTTTCCAAATATTTGCTCATTATCACAAAAGGACTGAAACTATACAGGACAAATTTTCAAGTTCATACCAAAATCAAGGTTGTAATCAATAATAATTGTTAATTACTTATTTATGGAAATGAATGAATCGGGCTTTTTCCTCGTTGCAGAAATTGATTTTTATTAAAAAAAAAATTTGTTTTCAATTTTGCTGTTTTTATTTTGTTTATTTATTTGTTTTTCTTGCTCATGAAATTGGGTCACAGACGGTGACCGAAACTGGTAGAGCCTTTTTTTTAACAATTTCTGCAACGAGGAAAAAGCCCGATTTCCATGATCATCTCCTCGCGTGTCAACTTCTTCAAATAAAAATACTTTTCCAAACAGTCAAAAAATTACACATAAATGCTATTTTCATGAGAAAGAATAAAATTTGGAAGGGAAAAATGTGTTCAAAACAAGAAAAGTTGCTGCCTCTAGAAATCATTTTGCTAAACCTCTCTGAATCCTAGAAGAAAGTTCATGCCAAAATGAGAGTTATTGGAAAAATTCTGGCCATGAAACATTAAAAAAATTTTATTATGCCTGGCTATTTTATCTGTTCAATCAAATTTCATGAAAAATGGCTGCTTTTTTAAGGTAATTAAAGTTAATTTCCATACTAAAATGAGCGCCCTGAATATCAAACATATTCTGATATTTGATAAAACTCCTCAAAGGCAAGGGAGCTGATTTTGAAAGGAGAAAGCGCCTAGTCGTCCTTTATATAGACTGCTTTTAAAATTTCATTAGGATTTTCACTTTGATGTTTAATTTTTTTAGTTTCTTTGATCTTTTTCTTTTGAGGAAGGCAAGGAGATTAATAAACGAAAAATTGAAAGTTGTCTATATAAAATATTTTTTATATCAAAACATAATTTGGAGATTTGAAAAGATGCAGACAAAATTTCGCCCCTTATTGGTAAGTTTGCTTTATTTTAACGCCAAGAAGAAGTTTAATATTAAGAGATCAGATGCCAGGCTATTTAAAAGTTTTGAAATTATCGCCGACAGCGAAAAGAGTTCCTCCTCCTCTCCTCTTTTTGGTTTATCTTGTTCTTAAAATCGCGTGCCGCGATGCCATGTTTGTTTTAATTCCGGCGAAAAGTTGCAGCCCGGCTGTTAATAATGAAGAGGAGGAATTTTTATATTAAATTACGCCGCAGCAGACGAGAGGAAGATAAGGAGTCGCGAATAAAATTTGTGTACTCGCCGGGGAGCAAAAGTTATTTTTCGCTGAACCCCTCCGCTAAATATTTCACTTGCATATTCGGTATGCGTGCCATAAAATTTTATAATTTTTTTTATAGTTGCATACGGACCTCAACTTTTAAGGGAAGGCAAAGCAGTTTTTTTACGCGTTACTTTATCACGACTGACAACGATAAATACATAATATAAAAATAGAAATATAATGAACATAAAATTGTGAAATAAAAAGCATATAAAAATTTCAAATTGTACCAAATCTTAATTTGAGTAAACATCACCTTCTTTCCTGGTTTTTTGTTGGATTTTTAATTGCTTTATAATGAATAAATTTTAAATAAAATTTACATTTTTATTATTAAATTTATTAAATTCATAGAGTTTTTGTTCTTTTAATTTGAGGGATCTAAATTTAAAGCTTAATCATCTTAAATAACTGCCAAACTAATGTTTTTTATTAAAAAAATCAATATGAAATTTGCAAAGAATATTCTAATTTCTTGAGCTGAAATGTCGTACTAAAGGATACAGGAAATTCATTATTTGATTGATGACTTCCTAGAGGCATTAAAAACATGAAGTTTTTCTTATAAATTTTTCATGCGATTATTTTTAAATTTGAAAACACCATCAAAATTAAAAATAAAGGTATCTCTAGACATTTAAACATTCAAAGGATAACTAATTTACGTAAAATATTATAATATAGACTCAATTTTTGATTGAAATTATAACTTTTTTTTTTATAAAAAATGACAACGACAGAGAAAGACAAGATTTGAGTTTTGCGCCTGTCAAAATGAAGATTTGCAGCCTGCGCCACATAAGTGTGTAGCCGGTTGCCTATCTATCATATCGCAAAACCTTTCGATTAAGACAGAGAGTGACGCACTTCAAGATTGAAATGTCATTTTAAGCGTGGCGCGCAGCAGGAAATGAACGGGGCAGATTGTGTTCTAGCTTTTTCTTTGAAACGAGGAAAACCCCGAAAATTAAAATAAAGTGCAGAGGGTGAAATTGCTGTCGAAATCAAGGAGGAGTATAGTGCGCTCATTAAGTTAGAAAAAAGAAAAGCGTGCGGGGACGCTTTCTCCCTCTTATTAGAGAGTGAACGTCTTACGTTTCTGTTATGGCCAAAAAAGAATAAAGGAAAAGTAAATTTGGGGAGGGGTGGTTGAAAGAAAAAAAGAGAAAAGCGCTGATGAAGAGGGAGATAATTAAAATGGAAAACTTGAAAGGCAGGCAGGGGTGGAAAAGACGCCACGTTCTATTTGTTGACAATAATAATGGCTGCAGAGAAAGAAATAAAATTGCCGTATAAACAAAAATCAAAATCATTGGAATTTACGGAAAAAATAAATATTGATTAAAATATTATTCTCTGTAAAAACAAAAAAATCATACAAACAAAATGTCTAACTGTAAATAATTTATTTATTTATTAATAACTCTTTTTCAAAAGAAATTTTTAACGTGGATTCAGAAACTGAGCGAGGAAACCATTGTTCGGAAAACGAATTAAAATTTCTGAATTTCAACTTTTAATTGGAAATTTTAATTATTTTCAAAACAGATTAAAATTTATGTTTCCAAAATAATTAATAAAAGAATTTTAGAATTTTAAATAAATTATGAAAATAATTAAAATTTCCAACTAAAAGTTGAAATTTGGACATTTTAATTCGTTTTCCGAGCATTGGTTTTCTCGCTCAGTTTCTGAATCCACGTTAAAATTTCTTTTGAAAATTTAAAACGGAAACTGGAACACACTAAACTATCGCAAACACGACAACAACTCTACACTAAAAATTCCAAAAAACACTCACGCACACTAAAAAATTAACAATAATAACTATTTGTTGGAAAAGTCAAACCAAATGAAGCTTGTGCTCAATAATAGAAATCAATTTTTGGCAATTATTGAAAAACAGTTTGAAATTTTAACCACCATTATTGCAAAGACTTAATTTATTTTAATTTATTTGACGATTTGGCAATGAGGAGCTCTGAAATTTTTTGAAAAACATTTTATTTAGAGTTTTTAGCTGTTAAATTTTTTTAATAATTTATTCAACTTTTATATACTTTTGATGCTACAAAAAAAAACTGCATGCATTATTTTTTTTAGAATTATTTCTCTTTCTCTACCCTGTGCCGAAAATGAACAGCAACATGAATTTATTCCAAGCCGGGTGAGTGCAAAGGCGAGGAACGCAAATTTATTTCCACCCCCTGAAGCCTCCCCCGAAAGAGGGTGGCATTACTTATTCCATTTAGCAGTCCCTCGCTCTCTCTGTCGAATCTGCTCTTGTGCGCGAATCCATTTTTTATTCAGCGGCCGATTGGATAAAAAGTTTTGCTTCGAGAGGGTGACGTGCTGGGGGTGGGTCTGGACGCGAGGGTGGAGGCGAACGAGGGTGCATCGCCAACCCCACGACTTATCGAGATGACGAGCGAAAGAAATTCTCATTAAAAAGTGTAATTTGTATTTCACCAAATCTTGATGGAAAAGAATATTTTCCTGCAGAAAAAGTTGAGCATGTTATTCTTGTAATAATTCATGACTTTTTCAGGTTAAATATACGTTGGGTTTTAATCACTATTAGCATTAAGGCTCAACGGAATAATTTCTGCTCATAAAATAGACAGTGGCCAATTTTTGGTTTTCTCTGTCACTTCAAATTCTTACTGCTCATTTCTCGCTCTCGCTTGAACTCCTTTATAATCCCCCTCTGTCGGTGCGAACGAGCAAGAAATGAGATCGCAAATGAAGCGTCTTCCCTAAAAATTAAATGTATCTCGAGCGTGAATAATTTTTATTCCTCACGCATCACCAGCCAAATTTTTTTCTCACCCCTTCCCTGTATAAAAAATTCTCGCGTATTCCAGTCCTTTTAAAAATGTAAAAAAAATTTCAAATAACTTTTATAGATTTTTATTTTTTAGTTTGCTTTCAATAATTTTTGGATATATTATGCTCATAGCTCATATATATGATTAACATGTTTTGACTCTGATATAATTTTCCAATCAACTTGAAGTATATTTTAATATTCACTAGAATTCGGCTTTTCAATTAAGACTGCAGCAAGTCGGAAATAATTGTAAACCTTGAAAAAAAATATACAACAGGAAGCCAACAACGCTACTTTACATAAATAGTTTAATAGATTATGTTATGTTTGAATAACAACAAATTAAATGAAAAATTCTTGTTTTTAATCCCAGCATTAATTGTATGGTTGTGATACGTTTTAAACTATGTACAAAATTAATGGAGAAAAATAAATGATTTAAGAAAAATATGCACCATTTTATAATTTTTAATTCATGCTATGCTTGATATAAATCGATAAAATAAATACAACAATAAGCAATAAATAATATGACTGTGCCAATAATTTTACTCTTTCATTTCTTGTAAAATATCCCAAAATAGGGTCAGAATTTTGAAAATTCTGACCCTATTTTCATAATATTGAATGAGATCATAAAAAACTCTTCACAAAAATTACTCTCATCAAATTATAATTTAATATAGTCTCAATATTTTATTACATATCATTCTAAAATTAAATATTTCAAATTATGGATCAAGATAAAAATTTTAAATTAAAATTAATTTTGACTGATTTCAAGCAAATACTCTAAACTTCGTATACATCTAACTTTTCTAAGTGAAAATGACCTGTTCAATGAAATATTAAAATCAGCTGAAATAATATAAGAATTTATAACTGATAATCTCTTCGTTTGACAAATGAAAAAGTATTAATATACGTAAAATACTAAAACAACTTTTTGATTTATAGTTTCTAGTTGTAAGCGCTGAGATTTATTTGCACAATAAATAAGTATTCGAAGATCTTGGCATAATTATATCACTGGCCAGTGGGTTTTGACTGTTCTTTCTGCTTCTTGTGGGTGTAGCTGAGGACGAAGGTGGCGAGCAGGGATGTGACGGCCACTGAGGAGAGCAGGACACGCATTGACTTGAACCAGTGCGGGTACGGGCAGTCCTTGGCCAGGTCGACGTAGGCCACGGCCGAAAGGGCGGTTGCCGTGGCTAGCACGCCTGCTGGGTACGGGGCCGCCAAAGCAGCGACGGCTGCCAGGGACGGAGTCACGCTCACGCCCAGATTCTGCATGGTCAACTCGCCACCTGGACGCAGGGCATGTCCCCAACGGACACCTCCGAGGAAGGACAAAATGGACGCTCCATACCTAGATATAGAAGCAAAATTTTTTTAGTTGTAGTAATATTAGGAAATTATCTAATTTCAAAAGAAAAAAATTAAAAAAATCTGATTACATTTTTTTAAAATTTCTTCAAAATTTCCTAAATTAAATTTAACAGTTTGGTTTTGACTCACAAATAATAATTAATCAATAATCTTAAATGAACTTTTTAATTAGTCAATAATTATGAAATTTTTTCGTGAACAAAGTTTTATGATGAATTTTTGGGAAAAAATGAATTTAAACGTCTGATTATATAAAATATTATTAAATAAAATTATTTAAGACCAGAGTTGAATGGTGCCCAGCATGGGGCAGTAGCAGCCCGATGCAAGGGTGTAGGCAGGAACGGCCACAAAAGGGATCAGGCCGGACACTCCGTAGAGTAGAGCAGGACTCGGCGAGTCTTTGAGTCCTTTCAGCACCGAAAGGAAGGTCAGATTCGTGCTCGAAGGTGCAACCGTTGACTTTGATCGATCGACCAAGGTTGGTGCCACTTTTTCTGCCGGTGGTGCTTTTTGCGTGCAAAAACAACTGCTGGACAGCGGAGGACCCAGTGCCACTCTCCGGAAGGAAGCGTTTTGACGAGCTGCCAGGAAAATGATCTTCTGCGAATTCTGTATAATTATGAATGTAAAAATTAATATGTATCGAGAGAAAAAAGGGAGTACAAAATAAATAAAAAGAGAGATGCCTCTCTCACTTTACCATGACTAGAATTTTGGTTGAGGTTGACGACAGCAGCAAATTTTAAGAATTTCGATCAAATGTATTTCTTCGGTTCGTTTGATTCAGATTTAAAAGGATAATGTTGCTATCAACAATTGAAAAATTCAATTATTCTGGAGTGTTTTATGTTTTCCCATCCAACCCCCAACCACGCCCACGTTTCCCTAGCCCTGCTTGCCTCCTTGGCTATAACTACTGCCACCTGGCGGTGTTGTAATTAATGTACAAGATTTGATTTTTTTTTAAATTTGTACCTTCAGGGTTGGGGTACAACAATGGACAGTATGGACACTTCAGTGTTTTTCATTTCCATTATTATAGATATAAAAAAATCGCTGCATCCTAACTGTACCAACAAGAACTATAAAGCTAGCATTTTAGCAAAGATATATGAAATTTATTAAATAATAAATTTCAATAATATTATTTTTTAGTCAATGTTTGTTTCGTAATTGAAATACGAGCTAAGAGCAGGGAACATGCTTAACAAAAGAAAGTAGCAAACGCGGTTAACTAAACACATAAATCATTACAATATAAAGAATTGGATTGAACAAGATCATACATTTCTGAATTAGGTTCAAGAAAATTTTTATTGGTTTCGAATTTAGGGCAACTATGCCCCATACATAAACTCATCCAAATAAATGAATTATCTTAATTTTCACATTTGCTTATTCAACAAAAATAAGCATTTTAGGAAATATTTCTCATAGCAAATCATTTTTGAAAAATTTTACTCGTAGTTGGAAAGGTCAAATTCTTCCCCTAACCCCCCTTCAAGGTCTTTTCCAACACTTTCAAGAAAATCATATCTCTTTTTCCTTTCGCACTTCACAGTCATCTCCAGCAATTGCATAGTGTCTTTGTCAGTCCAGTCCTTGATATCAGCTTCGATGACAGTCTCAGAAATGGTAGAACAGATTTTACGAAGCTCTTGCTGGAGTTCTTCTTTGACGCACGAGTTGCGCACAAGGTCAACGTAAAACATGACGTTTTCGAGTAATTTTGAGACCTCGGGACGGACTCCTTGGAACAAATCGAGCCGGCATTTCTCTCTTCTCTGTCTGTGGTTGGGAAAATTGATTAGAAAAATTTGATTTTTTTACAATGATAACATTACGGATAAGGATTGTACTCAGAATGGAATACTGGTTGTTCATGCTTCTTCTTCATATGCTGCAGATGGCGGTGCCCTTCAGACGTCAAAACTGTCTTTGCTAAATCTTTGTAGCTTTCAAGGTTATCTCCAAAAAGGGAACCAAAAGGAACCCACAGCTCACCCGCTGTGTTTTCTAGTTGAAATATAATATTTTGTCAAGTTACAGCACACTTCAATTTTTATAAATCTTACCATGTACTTCCTCTTCTTCCTCACTTTCTTCATCTTCATTTTGTTCATCTTCACTTTGTTCATCTTCATTTTGTTCATCTTCACTTTTTTCACCGTCGCTTTTTTCATCTTCACTTTGTTCATCCTCACTTTGTTCATCCTCACTTTTAGCAACCTCCGTCTTCACGAAAGGAATATTCATATTCTTATCAGCCTCTTCAATCGCAGACATCAGTTTCTTGGATTTGTAGTCTTTGCAAATAATGGTTTCTCTTTCAGATGCATAATCTTTCAAGTCGCTTTCTTTTAGTTTGGCCCTGCAATATTTTTTGAATACAAATAAAGCATTGTCATTTCAAACTTCACACAAACAAATTATACTAACGTATTATGTGTTTTGAAGAAGAGCACCGAGTACTGCCTGCTGGAAGATTGTCCATCCTTGCCTTCAATTATTTCCTCCACCTTAAAAATATGAAATGGTCAAAAACGTTAGCAACAATTTCTAAGTTTTATTACTCTCGAGGGCCACGGAGGGAATCCCTTCAGCCTGGCAAAAACAATCTGTCCACATGTGAATGGAATCGACTGCTTCTCCTCGGCTGGCTCCACTTTCTCATCACCAGCCGAGTCTTCCATCTTCATCATCTCCATCTCGTGATGTGTCAGTTCAGTCTTCGCTAGTTTTGTCTCAATTTCTGGGAATCTCAGTAGATATCTAAAAAGGAAATAAACTTCAAAGTGACGAAAATAAAAGGATCCAAAAGTGGCCGAAATTCAAAACGGAATTTGTGTAAGTGAAAAGATGAAGAACCAAACCTGGCGAAAGCGAATTATGTGTGTGCAATGTACAAAATAATTAGTCGAAGTCGATGAATTTTATTCGTTATATTGTTTACCTCTGATGAAGGAATGTATGGTAAAAAATAAAAGTAGAAGCAAGAATATATGAAGGAAGTAAAGTAAACAAACACATGCAACAATGCAATATGCAATTCTTATTGGTTGGTTATGATCACGACAATCACGTGATTAAATTCTCGTATATTTTATGCCTGATAGATGGCAGCAGTGCGAGCAAAAATTGTTTCTCGCGCGGTTCCTTCCCGTTCTGTCAACCACTCGCCGCGGAAAGCAGCGTGTTTTGTCCTGTTTCTTCTTGTTGGTTCTCTGCGTTCTCTGTTATGTTCTGTCTGCCTCCAAACTCTAAACCTGCATTCAACAATTTTCTGTCTTTTGCCGCTTTGCCCGTTTTTTTCGTCCAAGCAAAAAGTCGTTGAAATCTCAAATTCTCCATTTTAAACTGCAGTTTTCTCGCCGAAATGTACGTATAATGTGAAAAATCGTTCTCTTATTTGAATTATTGAAATTTTAAATTTATTTATTCAGTCTTTTACATGTATAATTACGTACACACAGGATGGGAGTCCGAATAATCAGAGAAACGGTTCTTGCAACGCATCTTGACGCTCAGAAACGATTCTAAAAGTAAAAATTCTTGTGAAACGATTCTCATAGAAAAGAATTTTCGGGGGCAGAAAAGGATTTTTGAAAGATGAACGAATTTTAAAGGCAGAAACGTTCCTCAAGAATCCTTGCACTAGAATCTTTTCTTGCGGATCGTTTCTGGGATTCGTCAATTGCGAGTGCCTTATTCTCTGATATTATATTTGAACCAATAACTATGTACATAAATATGTTAAACTATAGGATTTTACGTTCAATCTTCAATAGTTCTCCTGGGATAGCAATTTTTAAAGCAATGCTATCCTTTTTGGAGGACTGGTATTGATGAAAATAAATTATAAAATAGCCTTTTTTTTAAATTCACTGCAAATTCATTAAAAATACTGTAGAGCGATGGTAACAAATTAATTGTTCGATAATTCACTCTACATATTTTTTTTTTTTTAGAACTCTTCTATCGTTTGGAAACCAGAAGGTCGCCGCAGAAAAATTTCAAGATCCTCACCTACAAACTTAAAAAGGAATCTGTTTTTTTTTTTTAGAATGGCCCAACAACAGGGACTGCCGGTAATTAAAAAGCGAATATTAAAAAAAAAATTGTAACATTTATTTTTTATTTTTTGATCCGCAGGATCTCGTGACCACTGGTCTTCAGCCCGCCACCATCTTGATCCTCCAGGCGGCCAACCCAACCTTGCAGTCCATCTCTCAATTGGACAAGTTGGAGATGCAGCTTGTGCTGCGCGTCAATTTGGTTGACCCTGTTCGCCAGTGCTGGGGTAAGTTTTTATATTTTTCCCTAATTTCTATTTAGATAAAAATCTGATAAAAGTTATATATTAAATATTGAACTATTTTTTGCATTGCAGCTTGCAGGAAAGCCCAGACTGGCACAGATGATCTTAGACTTGCTTGGCGAAGTAAACGCACAGCAGCCACCTGCCATCGCACAGCAGGCTCAACCGCAGCAGGCCCAACCGCAGCAGGCCCAACCGCAGCAGGCTCAACCGCAGCAGCCTCTACCGCAGCAGCCTCCAGCCAACGCACAGCAGCAGCCTTTGGTGGACGCTCAACAGCCTGAACCTGCCCAACAGCAACAAACACCGCAGGAGAAACCCCTGCGTTGCATGACTTGTGGGCTTCGCCCCGTCACTCACTTCTTCAGCAAGTGTTTTCATGTGGGAATTTGCGAGGGTTGCAGGGAAGACATCTTGGACAGGGACGTTTGGCATGCGGGTGATGCCCGAGAGGGCTTGTGTCAGGTCGTTGCCTGCCGCAAACGTCACACAGCCACTGAAATTGCAGCTATTTTCCTTGTGTACGTAGACAAGGAATAATGTCTCTCCCTTCTTTTAGTTTGTTGAAAGTTACATATGTTATTTCTTCAAAAACACAAGGACATAATTATTTTTGTGATAGTATAGAGCCATGCAAGTTCTTTATAATGTGAAACCCATATATGTTAAATTGTCACCCTCTTGTAATATTAATTTAATGAAGAGATCATTTGTCATGCAAGTTCTAAAAACACGTTAATTTATTATTCTCGCAAGTAAAGACTTTTTGTAATTGAGTTTTTAATTATGGCGTGAAGTGTGCAAGTGATTGCTAAGTGTTTTTACGAGAATGACCATAATGTTAATTTAAAAACCTGTATATGAGTTGAAAGATGAGAGTGAGGGTGCCGAAAATAATTTCGTCAAATTCACTTATGTAATTAATTGTTAGAATATTTGACTTATTGCCAGTAAAACTATAACATTTGAAAGAGAATAGAATTCTGTCAAAAATAAGGAATATTATGTATACTAGATATAATACTTTTATTGTTCTGTAAAGAATATTGTTGATTTACACCTCAAATTTCCTCAAAATGGTGTTAATATGTGATGATTATATAATAAGAAAAAAATCTGTTCTCTATATAATCTAATAAATTCCATTTAAAAAATTCAATAATATTTAAGTTCTAGTCATATAATAATATCCTATAAAAATACAAATAAAAAACTTTAAAAAAAAATTAACATAACAAGTAGTCTTTTGTCCCTGTATTTTTATGATTTTGATTTCAAACTTTAAAATTGTCTCTCACTGGAGTACACATATTCTTTCTTTTTGCGCGCTCTTCTGTTTAATTTTAGCTTGATAAATCTAATTGGCCAATAAATCTCTCTGTTCATGGCTCGCGATCCTTGGTTCATGCATGTGATGAAATCAAGGATGAAATTATCGCTTATTTTTATTCCTGATAAATAGATGGCAGAGAAAGCAATATAAAATGCGCTACGCTCCAGAGATAAAGCAAGGCTACGCTCTGCAACCTGCGACACGACAAGTGACTCACCTCTCACCTCACCTTCCACCTGCAATGCAAACGCAAACTCCGTTACCAAAATTTTGTCTTAGTTTGTCATGAATTAAGAATTACTCATTGCTTTGTGCTAATTATCCTTCCGATTTTCTAAATTATTTGAGAAGGGAACAAAATAACAAAGCATTTTCGGTAAATTTTCCAGTTTTATATTACGAGGACCTTTGTCTATGACAACCTATAAATCATGCTCATCGACTCTGCTGTTGATCTCTGATCAGTTTATATTACTCGAAGGGGTCGCTGAGGTCGGCGAGCGGTCTAACTTAAAATTTTTAAAATCCAGGTCAGTTTATATTACTCGAAGGGGTCGCTGAGGTCGGCGAGTGGTCTAACTTAATTTTTAAAATCCAGGTCAGTTAACTGACGTTTATATTACGCGAATGGGTCACTGAGGTCGGCGGGCCGTAAAACATAATTTTTAAAATCTATAGGTCAGTTTTATTACTCGAAGGGGTCGCTGAGGTCGGCGAGCGGTCTAACTTAATTTTTAAAATCCAGGTCCAGTTTATATATTACTCGGCGGGCCGTATAACATAATTTTTAAAATCTATAGGTCAGTTTATATTACTCGAAAGGGTCGCAGAGGTCGGCGAGTGGTGTCTTACTTAATTTTTAGAGGTCAGTTTATATTAATCCGAAGGGCCACTAGATTCTCGTTTACTCTGGTTTACTCTATGCCTGATAGATGGCGGAGCGAGCTAGAAATCTGCTACGCGCTGTTTCCTGAGACCTCTGTTCTTGTTTTCGAGAAGCTCTTCCATACACAATACAGCTGGTCGCAATTTTATGACTCATCTTTGGAAGTCAACTCAAAAATTTCTTTAAAACTGCAAATTTTCTAGAAACTCCGCTTATCGAAGGTCCCAAATTTAGGTGAGTTGAAAGGTTAAATTGAAGCCCTAAATTAAATCTCGTTCAGAAATATATTTGAAAACACATTGTTTGCTGAAAACCGGCAACAGAAACAAACCGGGAGTCATGTGCTGATGTTTTGCTTTGGTGTGCATAGGTTTGAGGGACATGGACGACCGCAAGCGCCTTGTCAGCAGCTTCCTAGGCTTCCTGGCCGACGAAGTGAAGGCGAACCGCCCTTCCGAGGAACTAACCGAGAGTTTGGAGGTGGCCATGCAGTGTCTCGAGAGTGCCTACAACGTCAGCCCTGCTAATGACCTTTCTCTTCTCTCGCTCGTGCAAAAACAAACAGTTCGTCCAAACTCCAAACTTTGCTTCTCCTTAAAACTCAATCTGAATTACAGAATCCCTTTGCTGGTGCTGCGGAGGCGCCGGTGGACGCCAAAGAAGAGGCTGAAAAGTGCAAGCTGCAGGGAAACAACCTCGTCAAGGAGGACAACCACCTGGCCGCCATTGAGCAATACACCAGGTTTATTTAGAAAAATAATTCTCTGTTCATTAAAAAAAAAATCAAAATTTAGGGCGATTATGTATGATGGAAAAAATGCAGTCTACTATTGCAACAGGGCGGCCGCCTACAACAAACTGGGAAACTTCCACGCCGCGGTCATGGACTGCAAGACTGCTATTCAAATAGACCCTTCGTACAGCAAAGCCTTTGGAAGAATGGGGTAATTTATGGGCAATAATTAACATCTTAAAAGTTTTAAATAATAAGCCTTGTTTATGCATCATTCAGAAGTACTTTGGTTTGCCATTAATTTCATAGCCTGGCATTTCCTATTTCCACATGAAAAATATTAAGGATGGGTTGGTTCAATTTTGATGGGGTTCGTTGAGTGTTGAATTTATTCGATTTTAGGTCTGTGTAAGAAAATTTAAGGTTTTTTCAATTTTATTTCTGTTGAATCTAGGGTTTGTCTTTGTTTGAAATTTGACAGATCTATAAAAATTACTGAAAACAATAAATAATTAAAATTAATTCTAAAGATATTCATACTTTTTAAACAGATTGGATGTTCAAGGAACTACAGTTTAACATTGCGGTTTTAGATAAATTATTTTGTGTTAATTTTTGATTTAGTTTTAAATTTTCCATAATAATTAATAATCATTAAATTATTTTAAACACTTGAATAAAGAATATTGCTCCGTTTGCAGAAATTTGACGCAACTCCCCATGATTTGCATTATCATCAGTATTTTCTCCAATCTCATTGTAAATTTGATTGTTCATTTTCTAGAGTGGCCTATGCGCAGCTGAAAATGCACCAGGATGCAATCGAGAGCTACAAAAAGGCTTTGGAGTTGGAGCCCGGAAATGAGACTTACGCAAACAATTTACGCATCTCCCAGGAATTGGTCGAACAGCAAAGCCAACAGGCCGTTCCAAACTTGGGCGCGGCCTTCCAGCAGGGTGGCTTCCAGTTCGGACAGCTTCTCAACAACCCCGCTCTTGTCAACATGGCAACACAGCTCATGAATGACCCCAATATGAGCCAAGTGTAAGCTCAAATGGGTTATTTTAGTGCAAATTAATGATAGTTTAAATTCACATTACTAGGAAGTTATATTTTTTCTTATTCAGGTCTTATAAAGTTATTATAAAAAAATTTTCTCTAGGTTTTTATATTAGCTTTTAATCTTTGCAGTTTGATGTAATTAAAAAAGTTTTTCTTTTCCCATTTAGAATGAATGACATAATGTCTGGCGGAAGCGTGGATGCATTAATGCAAGCGTAAGTTTATTAACTATTTAAATTTGCTCGAACTTTCAACTTCTGACTGTTCACTTCAGGGGTCAGAGTTTAGCGCAGCAACTGCAGTCAACAAACCCGGAACTGATTGACAATTTTCGACGCACCATGGGCCAGCCGCCGAGAGAGACGCCACCCCGCGACCCTGAGAACCAGTGAGGAGGCTCTTGACCTCACCTCAATAATATGTTACACACTCCTAGCCGATAGAACTGTCATCTATCCATCCTTGGATTTTATTAAAAACCCGTCGAGATTAACAACAACCTGTTTTAATTTTGAAGAAGAAAAAAATACAGATTCGTACAAATACAAATTGGTGTTTAGCATATCCATGACTCACACATTACCTGTTCAAATATTTAAATTTTATGCGGTCGGACGCGGAGTCATTGAAAAAGCTTTTGAGCTGCGTCCCAGTTTGCTAAGTGGTGCGCACTCTTTACAGCCTTATCAAGGCACACACTTATCTCCCTCACCTGTTTGCTCCCAGCTCACTGTTACAATAATCCAATATCACACATTTAGTGTACCCGCATTTTGCGTTGTGGTTGGTTCAATTTGTTGACAAAAAAATAATAATACTCCGTTGAAAGTCAAGTTTGAATAAAAAAAGTTGATTTAAAGACCTTTTTTGTTAAACGAATCATTTTTAATTTGAATAATATAGATTTTTTACTTGTAAATCTTGATTTAATTAATAATTTATTTTAAATTATAAGAAGCCTTGCACTAATTGCAAATTTAAAAAAAAGCATTCTCTTATTGTACAAGTACATTATTATAATTATTCGAACGCAGGTCGTGTTGTGCCCGGCGGCAAGGAGAGATAAAACAACAACGCCATCAGGTTCAGTGCGGTTCCCCTTCGCAGCAGGTCGCGGCGGGCGCGCGAGAGGGGAAGTGCAGCTGACGGACCGACGAACTCGCGCTGCAGCAGCTTTTGCACTTGTGCGACTGTCGAGTGCGGTGGCAATTTTATTATTATCCGCGGCGTGTTTTCTTGTGTTTTTGTCCGTGTCTGCCTTCGAGAGAGACTCGGACCGACCGGCGACGCCGCCGTCAACCCTGAAGAAGGCCTCCGCACCGTCCGACCCGACGTGCACCGAGAGGCCGTTGTTGTGTCAGGTGCTGCACAAACAAACGTCGAACAAATGCAGGTGATGGGCAGGATGCAGGCTGCTTAGCGGACCGTGAACTCGTTCGACGCCACTCGATCGTCGCCGCCACCCGGAAAATTCCCATCAACGACCAAACCATGGTAAAGTAAAGTGCCATTTTAATTTTGTTTAATTATCAATTGAGAAATTAACTAACTGGAATTAATTAAAAATAATAACAATATTCCTAATTTATTTTTATACTTTTTTGAAATTTAACATAGTTGAATTTTTAAAGACCGTTTGTGAAAAAAATTTCAAAACTAATTTCGTTGAAAAAAAAAATTATACTTTGTCTTTTATTTTATTAATAATTTTGGTTCATTTTATTCAATTTTAAATTATTATTCTTAATTTACAAAACAACTGGTGATCATTTTACTTTTAATTATAAATTATAAAAAGAAAAACCAAGGATTTCTGAAATATTTGAAATATCACAAGATTGTGTACAAATCATTCCTCACCTTGGAATTTGAAACCTTCAAAAATTGTAAATAGCATTAGGAGATATGAGCTCGAAAATGTATGTCGTATAATCTTAAAGCACAATTTTAAAGAAAAATTCAAAAATAAAATTAACACTACAATCCGCGACTATTTTACAAAAAAATGTTATAAATTGCAAAAAAAATGTACGATTTTAAAAATCATATTTTAAAAAGGAAATAATATAATTTAGTCATTTGAAGCTCGATCTTTTGAGTACAATAATTAAAAAAGTCAATCGTTTCTTCCCCCATTGATTGGACTAATTGGTGTGTGGGCCGCGCCCTCGCCCAGATGGCTCTTTTGGCCAGATTCTGCGCGACCTTGCGTATCACTTGCGTCACTTCGGCAAACAATGAAAAGAAAGGTCATTTTACAACAGATTGCCGCTGCACTACGGCTGCTTCGATTACCTCACAACTAATCCACGCTCTATCAAAAACGAAAACGATCAACGTGTCTCCAAATGACCTAATCAAAAGGAGTTTCTTAATTAAAAAAAATATTTTGTAGCATTGCCATTTATAGACAATTTGTGGCAAAATTCTAACAAATGAAATTTTAATGATTGAAAATTTGGAGGTTTAAGATATTTTGGAAAAATTGAAATGAATAATTAATTAGTTTAATTGAAATTTAGAAAATGCAGCAAATCTTTTTTAATTCACCGTTTAAATGGATAAATTGGTTTAAGGCAAAATGAAGCTAGTGATTTTTATTAATTTATTTTCTGCTTAATTTTTTTGTACAGGTTTCATTGATCGTGAATATCATAGGATAAATTTTTATTAATCTTGAGAAATTAATTGAAAATCATCATTGTTCTTTAAATTTCCAAAAAACAATTTACAATCTTTAAATCTGCAAGATCTAATTTCGTGAAAATCTCACGAAATCAAATTTCAGTCACCCTAAATAAATTGGAAAAATCAAATCAATTTGTGGATTGACCTTAAAATTTACACCGAACTTAGGGGACAACTTTTTAGAGTGAATATGAAACACCTTCATTGTGGACTTTATGACTTCAGTCTAAAAATAATATCTGAAATTAAAAGGGCTTTGAATTAAAAAATTTAATTTGATATTACTTTTTGGTCTTTTATTGAAAAAAATTAATCATCTTTAAATTAAATCTTTTCAAGCTTGTCAGTTTTGAATCGCCCTTGAGTTTTTTTTTTCGAATTAATTTGATTCATAAGAGAGGTTCTTGTTCTCTAAAAATTAGTTCGGCGCCTGGAAGATGAGCATAGCGCGGTGTATATAATTTGGCGCAAATGACTGCGGCCGACCGCCTCTAATTACGAGTTGCACAAACTGATTATTTCATCTTTCATATTTCCTCAGTGAACATGCACGCAATATCATATTTATATGCATATGCACGAAACGTGCGGAATGAGCTTCGGAGAGGCCAAGATGAAGAAAGAAAGAAAAGACCTCTTCCTCGTCAATGGCCGAGAACGAGAATTTTAACTGTTAACTCATCTCTGATCGTTTTTCCTCTCATAGCATCGCAAGTCGCGGTGCTTTTGACCTCTTCTCCTTTCTCAAGAGAAGTCAGGGAGGGCTCTTCACAATCGGCACCAACCACGCCTTTCAGTCAAAACAAAAAGAAGATTGGCCGGCGCAAGTCCGAAATTAATTAATGGTTTGGAGCCGAAATTAATTGGCGTTTAATTCAAGTCCCAATTAAATTGGCTGCGTTTTGCGGTTTCCTTTTTATGTATAAAACACGTTATTTTTTGCTTCTTTGGTCGGAACTAATAAAATTGCTGTAATAGAAAATGATATAATTTTTAAAACATTTTTCAGTCTCAAGTGCTTATTTCTTTCTTTATCGCCATATTCTGATTTTTCAAGAGCATCTAGTGCGGCAATGTTTATTTTTTTTTCCCACACGGCGGCCGTGGCTTTGAGGTGTTTTGACGCCGAGTGTTGTTTCGCGTGATGCAAAAAAAAAAGAAGAAGTCTCCTGTCGTGCGATTACGGAAACAATTATGTTGCGAATTTAGCGTGACTTACAAATTCAATGGGTTCTTATTTTACTTCCGAAATTGAAATGTAAGGAACTGAAAAAGTTGATAATCTGACCTCAAAGAGAACTCTATTTTTGTAACAAATTGCATTTGTATCTTTTGAGTCAAAATCCCAATTAGAAGTAAAAAAATATTTGAGAATAAAACTTGAATCGCTGGAAACCATTGAAAGTTTGCAATTAACTATTTTTAAAGAAATATTAAAACCACTTAATAAAATTTACCCCCTTTCGCAGAATAGAATTAAAATTTTTTAGGGTTGTGAGTTTGGAAAATTCTTATTTTAATTTCCGTGAGACTCCATTAGAATTTATGAGAAAAAGAAGGTTATAACTGCGTTTTATAGAAATGTAGAGAGAGAAAAAGCGATTTCCGTTAAGGAAAGTGACGTTCGTCGAAGTACCTGTAAGAAAAATCAAGATTAATAAGGCGAGGTGGTGGGTGTCGACACGATTGTATAATGAACGCTCATGTGAAAGAATGAGTTTTCCTTCCAAGGCCTTCAAATTGTACAATTAAAAAGCAAATGCGGAGGAGCGCGAAGATGCGCCGACGGATAGCAAAATATATATAAAATGTAAATCTTGCCTGTGAAATTCTAATGAGTTTAAAAAAAATGCAACCCAAAAACTTTGGAAAATAAATTAGAATTAGGAAATTTCTGATTTTTCTCAATTTTTCTATAGTTGAATTTTATGAGTTTTGGTTGCTGCAGTGTATGGTGAGGTCCAAGGCAGCTGTGCAAAGAGAGGCCGTTTTTTTTATTTGCCTAGAGAGTTAGTCAGGACCGGACAAGGCCGCCGAGCAATAAAGCGATTCCCACGTGCGCGTCCGAGCTACGAAACGTGGGTGTCGCGTTTGACATTCGCGTTCGACCCGTGCAATAATTGCGACGAGAACGGCCCTCGATGGTCTCCTAACTCGTCTCGGAGGCTGCAGAACGGTCCAGTCGATTTGGTCCTTTGTATGTTTTCAACATCACCTGCGCCAAGTAAAAGAAAAAACTTTTAAAAATGGGCGTGCAAAGAGGATTTATGGCTTTGCCTCAATTTGTGTCCCACGCAAGAGCTCATTACTTTTTGTGTTTGAAGTAGATGAAAAAATACACAATCTTGAATATAAATCATTCAAAACAATTTAAAATATATATTAATAATTATCAAAGAAATTTTCCAGCATTTTTTTTTTATAATTTCAATGTGATTTTATATTTTATTTTAATTATCAAAATTGTTACTTCAAATAATTTAAACAAACTTCAATTTTTATTGTTTTAAAATTACACAAATGTGTGTCCTAAAATCTTGATTTTATTTCTATCTTCCTTTTTAAGAAGTAGTTTTTTAAATTGAATGTAAGCAGAGGCGGAATCTCGCTGCACAAATGGTGACAGTTTTCACGTCGAACGTTTTCTTTTCTCTATCCGGAGGCGCTTTTAGTTTCTCACGCCTTATGGAAAGTCACGAGTCGGCCAAAGGGGAACGTGAAGACAATTGTTGTATTTTTCCCTCAGTTTTTCATTCTCCTCTCTAATAATAATTAGCGGATGAATCGCAAAAAAACAATGGATTATTTAAAAAAGACGAACTTTGGCCACATCGCTTCTCATCCTCTATGTGCAAATAAATATAGGTTAACGCAATTCGCGTGAACTTTTCTTTTCGGCACGCGAGATCCTTTCATTTTTGCCCTTTTATTCCTTCCTCTCGCGCCATCATTATCTCGCGGCGCGGACCAATTCTCCAATTTGAGAGCCGTCTTGTTTTGTGTCTGCGGCGAGAGCAGAGCATTCAGATTTTGTACGCCGCAGCTTTCACTCCGACGCCTTTTACAGACTTTTATTGTCGTATCTCTACATTAATCGCGAATGCCTCAAGTTACGACAAAAAAATAATTACATTGAGAAACCATCTATACTATTTTTTAATCATATAAAAATGGAAAAAATTGATAAATTGAACTTTTGTGTGTTTCTGCTCTTTTAAAATTTTAAAAAGTAAATAAAATTCCACCGGGCCTTGACTTGCTCAGGTGTCAAGTGGCGCAAAAGTGCTTTCTTGTGCTCTCGACTTGTTTTAAATCGCCGCTACATGTAAAACCGCTGCTTTCGTATGGCCAGCAGCATTCTATATTACACTATTAGCGAACTGGACCAACTGTAAACGTGGCACAGGCGACCTTGCCTCTTGCGATGAAAGAAGAGGGACGTGCGAGAGTCGATCTTTCCCTCGAACATAAAATAATTTATTTTCACGAAGGCTTTTAACTAAATCAAATTATGAGCGTTATCTTTATCGTTTACAAGTTTAAAAATTAGTAAACACCAAATCTTTGAAAGGAAGATATCAAATCTCTCATATTGATTTGATTATAATAATAAATATGCTGATTATTCACTATCATTTTTTTTTAAACTTGAATTGACATGTTTAACGTTACGACTGACAAGCCTAAAATGATCGATATAATTCGAACAGCGGAAATATGGCAAAATTTCAAATCTACTCGCATAAAACAATTAAAAAATATGGGAATTTTATTAATTTTATGTAATTTGAAAAAAAGCAAGTTTGCCCCTGTTTTTTGATTCCCAATTTTATACTTTTGCACCCCCCTGAATCCGCTGAAGACACTTTAAACAACGGATGTACCGCAGAAGTAATTAAAATTTTCGTCCGAAGAAAATATTTTTTAGAAAAAAAATCTACCTTTTTTTTATTCTGCTCTTTAAAAGATTTTACTTGTCTTTCTTTTTCTCCAAGTTTGTTTTTTAGGATTTGTGGGAGTTTTTTTTTTAGCAATTTTACTTTTAAATCAAATCATAAAAGAAAAACTTGTTCTCACTTCCAGATGCTGAAGCCGGAGGTGTAGAAAGAGCCAAAATCTTCGTAGTGCGGTATTTCTTAGATATTTTAAAATCAATTCAACTTAGTTCAATTGCTGCAGGCAGTTATTTTTCTCCTTGATCAACAAGCTTTCCTTCCGCACTTGCAGCAGAGTTTATTAGCATCAGAACACTTATACAGACCGTGTGTTTGTTAAGAAAAACTTTGTACGAACCTGTAATATGGCTTGATTCAAATGGCGATAGAGAAAATTGATGGGATTTTATTCAAAACATTTAGATTTTTCTCCAAAAAATTGATAAGTTTTAATATCGATTTGTGATTTTCTCACTGCAGCAGATGTTAACTACAAGGAAGTTTTTTCAAACATAATATTATTTAATATTTTATACAGTTATTTGTTATTTTGTTCCAGCCGATTTCAAATTTTTTCTTTCTAATTAAAACTGCGTTCATAAAAAAAGAAGAATGATCAAATTAAAAAATGAAATCTTATTGTGTTTTGAGCAAAACTGGAAACACTCAAAAATAAAATAAATTTTTTATCATCTTGCTGTTAAAATTTTTGTAACCCCTACAATTTTAGCTCTCAATTCAATAATTTAAAGAGATATTGTTTCTTCGGACGTGTGCTTTGGCCATTTGGAGCTTCAACTCCCCGAAAAAGGGCGTATTTTGACGGAAGTGACACTCACTTGGAACACACAAGGGAACGCCCGGCCGATTTTGGAATATCGTACCGGCTGCCGATGGTTCTCCGATACCTCTGGGAAGACCATTATGGCCAGCAGACCGAAAACCACATCATGTACACGCACGATGGAAATAAGAAGCAAAAAGTTATGCTCTCAGCCGCAATTCAACTCTCGCAATGTAAATCTCGGCCTTCGTATTTGAATAATCTGTGCAGCTGCAACAATGGGCCGCGCTTTATTTACGGCCACTCGAACGAGAGAAACGAAACTCGTTCTCCTCTATTTGGTCTTAATTGGCGCAACAGTTACGTCTTTTGTTTCCCACACGTGTTTTGCTCTTCTTCGTTATCGCTCATATTTATAATCTGCCGCTGTTTCTTTCCCTCCGTCGCAATTTTCTTCTAAATCTCCGGCCTACGATGATTGATGCCTTCTTAATTACGTGCAATTTTTACGTCGCTCCGTCCGCACGACCTCGTTTAAATTTTCTGAAAGAAATAGATGTAAAAATAATCGCCGTTGCATTAATTTGTTCTTTGTCGCACAAAGGAGAAAAAAATTATTCCGTTCTCCGCGTTAAAATTTAAATTTAGAGAAAGTCGCCGAAAGAATAATAATTCCAGCAAGTTGAGCTTTTCCGTCGCCGTTTGAAAGTTAATTTACGAAACATTAAAGTGCATCAGAGTTTTTTTCTGTACAGCCAACTGTGAGAAAATGCGCGCGTTTATTGTTTGTTGTGAAAAGTTGTTAGCGACAATTTCGCATTCGTTTTAATTTGCTCTTTTTCACACGCCCTGAGAGGGTACTAACTTTTTTGATTAACATCGTCGTACCTCACGTTTATGACAACCAAAGAAATAGAGAGTTGATTTTCATTTCTTTGTGACTCATGAAAGCTCTATTAGAATCTTTAATGAAATTTTTAATACTTTTAGGTTTCCAATAACAGAAATTTCAAAATTCTTAAGATATTGAAGTTAATGACAATTATTTATTAAATATTAGTCGCAGATTTATAATCACATAGTTTACATAATGCAAGTTTGAAAGAAGAAGAAAATTATAAAATATATAAATAATAAATAAATTCACAAATAAAATTTGAGAATTGTAAATTTATATTTGAAACATTAAATTCTCATCGATTATATTAATGTTTCTTTTCACTTGAAATTTATTTTGTGTTTCTTTTTTTATATGAAATTTATCAGGGTGATTTCAACTCTTGCATTAGCTAATTAAATCTGCTCATCTTGAATGTGGTGGAATATGGCAAAATAAATACAATACTTTGAAATTTCCATAATTAATTTCTTGTTCATTTCTTTGATCAAAAACTAATATCGCGTTAACAGCAGCTTAAGATGATAAAAACTAATGTTAAAAATTTCATGAAATATTTTCTGACTTTTTTTTTGTTAAATTGCATTGGCTTTTTATGCTTATTATATTACTCTATGAGTGTGCGTAATTCATTCATTGCTTTTTTTTATAAATATTTTTATAAAAAGTGTTGTTGCAATCAAGAAAGGGTGTTGCACTCGTAGGTGTCTTGTCGCCGCGCAAAAAGCAAAGAGACAGGAAGCTTAAGCTACTCGTGTCCCTGCTCTTTTGTCGCCTTTGTCTTAGCTCCTTAATTTGCTCGACGAGCACACACGTGACTTGCTCACATAGCACGTCCTTATCTCTTCCTGCCTTTATTCGCCCTCCGACAATGCTCTCACTCTGTCACAAAATAAATAAATTATAACTAATGCGATACTTGCAAGACTGACGAGACGCAATTGCGTCGCCAGAAAAAAATTTGAAAACAATTGGACATCAGCGTAAACAAATACGCTGAAAACCACGTTTACCGCTAGAAAACATCAAATTAATTTGAAGAACTTATAATTAAAAACACTAAATAATAAATCAAATTTATTTTCAAGTTAGTCTTTATTTATTTTTCTTAAAAAAAGTTTTCTTATTAACTAAAATTTAAAAATCAATAATTTTTTACTTTTAAAGTTTTCTTTATTCAAAATTTTTAATGTTTTTCTTCTGATTTTGTTGCAGGCTGCCGATGTGAACAACATTGCCATGCTTCTGCAACCACTGGTCGGCGCCAAGGACGAAGACCTCGTCTGGTGCTCCGACGCCCACTTTGAGACGAAGATCCACAGCCTCGAATCGAATGTAAATTTGAATTACCCGTTTACCGACTTTTACTGAAAACATAATTTACTTTCCAGACTTTGTTGAATTTGGTGCAGCAGATTCAGGAGGCGATGGCCAAAGAGCAAGTCTTGTTTGACTCAATCGACCAGCAACTGGCAAAGGCCAACAAGGACTCGGCCAATTACAAGACCCTGAGCAATGCCCTCTGCACCAGCCAGGCCCGCCTTGCCAGGTTGTGCGCCAGGAACATGCGCTGCTTCATGCAGGTACCATCGCCATGCACCACAACACACATAGATTTTTTTCCGTAATAATAACTAGACTGCAACTTATGATCCTTGAAAGAAAAGAAGAAATTATTGATTTATCGGAATTGACACACTTATGCGTGTTTATTTATTTTACTGCAAGTGTGTGTAGAACATTCCCTAAGCTAATTGTTTGTACAATTTAAAAGTGATTTTCAAAGTTAATTTATCACAAATATCTGGGAATTTTATTATAAAAGCTCTTGTGTGCTTTTATTTGTCAATTTCACCAACTTTGAAATGGAAATGCATTATAATTTTTGCACTTCTTTAATACAGATTATTTTCATTGCCAAAAACGATAATGATCAGGAAAGGAATTGTTATTATTAATCTAAATTATCTTTGTTGTAAAATGCTCTATTTTCTTTGTTGCGTCATGGCAAAATTGATTAATTAATCATTTCCTTATTGATTCTTGAAATTATCAAGATTCTCACAGATTGTTTACAATCATATCAATTTAATAATTCTCAAATAGTCCCAACATATACTTTTTGGTTATGAATTTATAAAAGAAATACCAATTAATATTGGTTTTATATGTTAATTTTCTATTAAGCATTAATGAATTGTACTTTTTTCTTGTTATTTAAAAAAATCTCAACTAAATTTAATTAGAAATTGTTTGAAACAAGTAACAGCTACTAAAAAGAATTAAAATTTGTCAAACGCCAAGAAACACTATAGAAATGACATATATGTACCAATTCTGACTAACTCTGCTGCAATTTCATAAAATTTCAAGATTTCTGGTTTTAATATTCACTGATTAACAGATAAATAGAATTGATTACCAAGGATCTTAGCAGATTGACTAGAGAGAATTCAAAAATTTCATTTTAGCAGTCAAATTTATTTCATTTTTATCGATTTTCAAGTTGCTAAAAATTTTAACAATTGCTTGAGTAAGGAAAAAAGGATTATGCAAGTATCAATGTGTATAAATTCCAATCTCATTGTCATTACAAAATAATTGGAATTAGAGAATCCTATCCACATTATTTCACAAATTAGATTTTGAGTTTCATGCGGAACTGCAAAATATGTTAAAATAATAATTTTAAAAAAAATTCAGCCAAGCCAATCAAAGTATGTAAAAATAACATCAATTTTATGTAAAAAATGCAACTTTTAAATATGTTTTTTTGGTGAAATTTGCAGGTGATGAATTCGCAGAAGTGCAAGGAAGCGACGGCGGCTGCTCAGGTCGCAGCGCCGGCAGGCGTCGAGTCTGGCAAGCAGCAGCAGGTGGCGAAGCAGGTGGTGGGGGGTCTTGTGGCTTCCTCGGTGGACGGACTGATCAGCTCAGTAAAGCGGCTGCAGACCAACCACACGGCCATGGTGAAGAGCGCCTTCAAGCAGGCGAGCCGGCCCTCCTCGCTCAGCAACTCGTCCTGCAGCGGCGATGACAGCGACTCACCCCTGTACGAAAACGTCGACCTGCCGCCGCCGCCTCCCCTGACCCAGGTCAAGGAGGCGGACAAGGAGGAGGCCGCCTATGAACACATCTACGACCAGCCCAAAATCAACCCCAAACTGCAGGACGAAAGCATCTACGAGAACGTGGACTTTGAGAAAGCCAGCAGCTCCAGTGGGGACGACGAGGCCCTTTACGAAAATGTCAACGTGACCTCTGCAGGTCACACCGAGGAGGTCACCTACGACTTTCCGGGAAATTTGAGACCCATTTACGCCTTTCCCAATTTGCTCGCCAAAAAGTCCAAAGTGGCTGCGGCTCCGGAGCAAACAGAGGTCAAAAAGGATGTGGACCAGGACTCTCTCGAGGATCTTGATGAACCTGACATTCCTTCACCAGGTCAGTTTGTAAAATGATTATTCTTAATTGAGCATTAACGTCTCCGTAAAAATTGCTAACAGAAGAAATTGACACAGGTATTGAAAAATCCAGTAGTTTTTTCATCTGCTATTAATTTTATTTTATTGTTTATTCTTTTATGCATTACAATTATAACAGATAATTTTGATGGATCTTTGCTTGCCTCATTCATAATTGAAGAATTCTTAAAAAAAATTCATTATAATTTAATACATAACAATTTGCATACTAATAAATTATTCTTTTTAATTTGTTTTTTTAAATTGTGTACGCAAACTTTGAATCACTGGTTGTTTATCCATTTAATTCTCACTGAAAGTTACGCTTGCTGAAATCAGTTGAAATTATCTCTTCAAGTTGTATAATGCATTGCTACGTACAACGTAAATTTTACTATCTGTCTGAATCCGACAATAAAGTTTAGGGATCAGTCGTTTTTATCTCGGAAGAGTGCGTAAACGAAAGTTCTCTCAATGCACTTCCGCGATCTCTTCGTGCCTTTATTCGACAACACTCGCGCACACACACACACTTTTCTTTATTTCTTTCCACTCGGCGTAAAAATTCTTGGCACCAAAACAAATAAACAAACAGTGCTCCGGTTAGAAAATTATACCGCTACGACAAATGGCAAATGAATTTCCTTTCCAAGTTTCATTTTACCAATAATTAAAAAGCAATATAATTTGGGAAAAAATGCAAGTGCGAGAGTGAGCAATGTAGAGAAATTCGCAGCGAACGTTCACTGCAAAAAGTGGCACGTACGTTTAATCGGGACAAGTGAACCGTGCAGTAATTATTTTTCTAATTTGCAAATGATATGTGGGATTATTTTAACGCGTAATTACTTTCCAAACGATGCAGGCTCAAGTTGAGAAAAGCAAATTAATCGGCTCAAGGTTCAATTTTTGAGGCTGACAGAAAGTATGAAAAAATTCAAAGAGAAATTTGCATAAATTTATAAATTTTTGGAATTTATTTGCTGAAAATTTAACTTTACTGTTATTTTGCTTTTCAAAACAAATTTGATTTATTTTTCTAATCTATTCATTTCTTTTGTTATATTTTCCTCTTATCTTGAAATCCAGCAGAGTTTTGGCATAAAAAGCAAGAAACAAACTGCCAAGAACTGTTTTCGTTGTCCTTTGAATTGAGCTATAAAACGATTGTTTTCTAGAATCAATTGATCTTTTTGTCCTGTGCATTTTAGTCACGGGCGCATCTGGCGTGACTTTTCACGTACCTGCCCTTTGCATTGTCTCCTCGGCGAGAAATCGCTGGCGCACGCACCTCACAGTGAAAGCTCCGATTTCTGCTAGAAAATCACGAAGAGGCGCCAAAGAATTAGAATTTGACATTTTCGCTTATTTTGCAATAATTTTTTTACACATCAAAATTTTACGAACTGCTGTTGCATGAATGCGCATTGTAGCGTGGACAGTTATACGTGCAATGAGGTGCATTTTATTTTGCACAAGAAAACGATGAAGAAGTGCAATCAATCGAAGCAACACAAAGTTATCTCACAAAAGCTTCCGCATCAAAACTGTACCGGCTTTTTTTTATAAAAATTCAAATTTCTTCAAAGATAAAAATTACACTATCAATTATCAATTATTTTCAAAATTAAAATTATTTATAAAAAGTTCATTCTCCTGATCAGGCAAGTTTTATCAAAATTTAATTATTTATTTGAATTGCATGTTTTTTTTTTAAATTTCATTAAAAACATCAATTTATCAATATTGTTAATTTTGGCTTATTTTTGTCAAAATATCCTTGCGCTATTGTTCAAAATTGAAACAAGTCTCAAATTAAATTATAATTAATGCTAAATTTAGACAGGATTGGTTACGGAATCGGGTGTGCGAAATCGGAATGCAGTTAGTTAATCGCCCAATGGTCTCGAGTGACTGCTCTTGGCGCCTCCACAACGCCAATTTCGCGCGCCGCTGCTGTTTTTCTTTGTTGCCTTTGGAACGAGCCGCCTCCGCACCGCAGGGTCGACGTCTGGAAACAGTTTCTTTTTCACGCTGCTTGCTTTTTCCTTTCGGCTTAAAAAGGAACTGTTATGTTTTGAAAAGGTGCAAGCGGAAAACATACCTAAAATAAGAAGAAGGCACCTGCCGAGAAAATCTGCGGCTCGTGCGACGGCCGAGACAAATTTTAAGTACAGAAATTAATTGCTTTCAGCTTCCTTTTAAATTAAATGTTCAATCAGGGCTGAAAATTTTTCGTGACAAATTGATTATTTTATGGGAAAAATGGAGAAATGCATCAGAAGTTTTGGTTCCTGAGTCATTAATTAGTTTAATTCAGAGACTTGTGGAAGGCAGTTTGTTTTCTGATTAATCTTTTTAGACTCTGAATAAATTGAAAAATAAAATGCCGCTTAGAATCAGAAACAAATATTAAATTAGTTAAAAAGAACAAGGACAATTGAAAAAATTTACCAAAAATATTGTTTTGTGTAAACATCCTTATAGTCTTCCATATTTTGAAATACGGTGAAAATATCTGCAAAAATTTATAGGCAAAATGAACTTCAGACTCTTTGGAGAGATGTAATAAAAAGACGCCTCTTTCCACTAGAATTGGTTGTTATTTTATTAAATTGAATTTAATAATTGAGCATAACTGCAAATTCAAACTGAAAAGCATTAAATCCTGAGCTATTTTTTAACCACTTTTATAAATTTTATTCTCAAATTAACTGATATAATAATTTTACTGTATAAATAAATTATTTTTTTGTGGTTTTTCACCCAACTCGATTATAAAAGTTGTGAAATTAAATTATGGTCAAAAAACTCGGTCAAATCTGCTCGAGCAGAATTAATGATTTGTGTGTGTTTTTACTAAGCAAATTAAATAATATATCGCTTCTTTTTCTGTTGCTCCCAATCGGCACCGCTCCTCTAATAAAAGCGCGTTTAAATCTCTCCCATTCCATCTCGTCTGCCGATCCTGGTTTGATGTTTTTTCTTCTCTCGCTGGCACCGACTGCTCATCTGCGGGCACTACTGACCAACTTTTTGCCGTGTGACACATTGGGTGCTGAGCTGCGAATCGCCTCCTTTCCGCCTCGTCGGGCAGACGCGCGTCATTAAAATGCACTTTTAAATCCTCCTCGGATTAGAAACGACTCGATTCCTTTGCTCGTCGAAAAATGTGCCACTTGCTCTCATTTGATTCCCAAATAATAGAGAATGTGAGAATGGAAATTTTACTTTTGTCATGAATTTTAATAGAAAAATAATTGAGGCTTTCAAAAAAGGAATAATCATAAAAATCGGTTCCTCTGTAGTCGGTGAAAAATGTAAATAAAAATTGAATGGCCTGTGTGTGCTCAATTGCTGACGTCAACAAAATTACCTCATGACGCAATTTAGATTTTAGTCAAGCAGGAAAACTTCAAATTTAATATTATCTTTATTATTTGAAATTAAATCTGTTGTTTTCTATATTCTTAAAATTTGTGATACAAAATTTTTTCCATTAAGAAATGTTGATAAAAAAATTTAAAAGGAAATAAATAATGACACATCAAAGTCAATTATTTTCATCGCCACCTATCTTCATTAATTGTGACAATTTTGATCAATAGAAATCAAAATTTTTCAATTTTTATACTAATTTTAGAATAATTATATTTTTAATGAAAACCAAAATTCATCAAAAAACGTAAGAAATTTGAGTTTTATTTATTAACTTGCGTGATCGCCTGACTTGAGTTTGTTTCTCGGGGCCATCTCTCTTCATAATAAAATATTTGGGCCAATTCCGTGATTATGCGAAGACCTGCCCGTCTCTATGGTCATTGGCCAATTATGTAAATTTCGCGCCGAATCGCCGTAGTTTTATGACTACATTTCAAGATCCTCGTTCTCTATTCCTGTTTACGGAGATGATATATAAGACGCGAATTAATAATAATAATGAATATTCAGTTTCGTTATTAATTACAGGATCGTAGCAAAGCAACCACAAAGAATGCGTTGGAAAGTTTTTATAAATTATGCAAAGTGAAGTCACATTTTTTTCCCTGTACCAGCAGCTTTCGCGGTGTCATTGACTCTTATTAACTCGAATTTCTTTTTATTCTTATTCCTAAATGGTATAATTTTTTTTTATTTTAATTTCTCTTAAATAAATAAGATTGAAATGAATGCTGGGATTTCCATCTCTCGCGTACTTGTTTGATTTGTTTTTGTCCTGTGGGCATGTGTGCAGTGCATTCGCACATAACTTGGAGAACCGTTAATACTTCTCTTTTTGCTGCGGCGGCGGCGGGAGAAAGATCATAATCTGCGCCGCTTCTCACTATAAGTAATCACCGGCGTGTCTCTGATTTGCTCGACGGGACTCTTTAATTTTCGACAGCACCCGCTGTCAAAAGTCGGAATCGCGTGCTTTGTCGATCCGTTTTTGTTGTGCCTTTTTCCAAATAGGTAACAAGAGCAATCCTGTTAGAAGTTTCTCTAATTTTCATAATTAATTTTGTTGCTAACCAAAATTTAAATTAATACGACGTCGTAAATTCGGTAAATTCAAATAAAGAATGAAATTAAATTGGCGTGTAGAATAAATCAAACAAAAGAAAAATAACAAATATTGATATTTATTAAAAAAAAATTACAGATAAAATTGATTTAATCTGTATTTAATATCTTCCTGGAATCATCTTCAGTTTTTATGGAGGATAAATTAAGAAATAAATAAAAACACTTTCAGTTTTTCATTAAATCAATTTATGCCCATTTTAAGTTCTGGAATCCAACCTTGAAATTTAAGATTATTAGTTTATTTTCATTCTTTGATCTCATTTTCAACATTCATCAATTTCTCTCATTAATATTTTCCTAATTTTGAGCGATTTATACATTTTTCATCAATTATTTATATTTAGAATATTAAATTCCATTTCATTTTTGGTTGTTAATAATTTATTTTGATTAGCTAAAAAATTTGTGTTAATTTTAATATCCTAATATTTTTGCTTCTAATTTTAAAGTAATAAATAAAAACACCACCACTCTGCAGACGCAAATTAATCGATTCTATTGTTAGTCTGGCCAAGTCAGGGTTGATGTGGACAGTATTATGTTAAAACGGCATGACTCATGCATTTGTGTTGAAGCCTCGGAAGTGCAGCGCCCCATTTTCCCTGCGCGCCCTCTGCTCGCGTCGCGGAAAAAATATATTCAGTAATTTCGTGTGTGTCTGATCGAAGCGAACGGTCCAGAGAGTCTCTCTCTCTCTCTCTTCGCCTAGTAAAAAATACGCGCGTATGGGAGCCCGAAAGTGTGTCAGTAGTTACCGATCGACGCATTAATTTGATGCTGCACGGTTAGCTCCTTCAATTTGCCTGCTTTTTAATAACGGACCAAATCATAGCTTCTTTTATTGATGTGTGTTTTTTGGCCTGTTTGCAGACTACGGCAGCGATGACGAGTTCCACAGCGGCGACTTTGACTTGCAGGGGTTTTCCGACCTCACCCCTGCCGCTGTCACCAGCAACTACTACCACGAGGATCAGGGTGAGTTTCATTTTACTCGATTTATTTTAAAAAGTTGAATAAGAAAATAATTTGACGACATGATACAATTTTAATAATAACAAGATGAATTTCAGCGTTACAAAATGGTTTGAAAGTCACAATTATGCAACTTTGCAATCTAAAATATTGTATAATATTATTAAATGCGTCCTTCAAACTTATATGAACTCGTTTAGGTTTCATAAATACTTATTTTTATATTTTTTATTGATTGATGTCTACAATTTCTTTTTTCAAAATTTATCATTCAATACTTAAATTTGGCTTTAAGAATTATGGAAATCAGTGGAAAATTCATTTGATGAGTTATTATTATTACATAAATGAAGTTAATTGCTCTAAGAGCAATGCTCTTTATATAAAGAAATTAAATTTAAAAATTTTTATGAAAATCAGAAGCTTGAATTTGATTGTTAGCTGATTTTTTTAGAAAGTGTTTAAAAAGATTATTAATAACTCAACAAACCCGGAAAAAATCTGTACTTTAATCCATTTTTTTGACTCTGGAGAAATTAATTAAAGCATGGAGGTGAAGAAAATTCAAATAAATGTATCTAAAGTAATTTGAATTTCTTATTATTATTGGGTGATTGATTAGGTTTTACATTTTAACAATAATAACTTACAAAATACACTTACTATACTACTTACTAAAATTGTCTCTTGAAGCGGAAACTAAAAACAGAGAAATTAGTGCCGACGACAGCAGTTCTGTTGTTATTATTTTATCAGAAAATCCTACCTATATCCTTTGGAAGCTTCGGAGAAAGAGACACTTTTTGAGTATCCGCTCTACTTGCTATGCAATCCCCAGAAAGTAAAGCATTCTCATGATATTTGGGAGTTTTGGCTGCATTTCGTGCAGCGCCTTTCACCATATTTGAATGTTTCAAAACTAAAATTCAACAAAAATTCTTCATCCTGTTAAAAATAAATCCTTTGCCTGTTTTATAAAAATATTGACATAATTAATGATGTTTACACATATTGCAAGATAAAATTAAATATCCTCTTGAACGAAGCAATTAACTTTTGACCTCACCTGGGAGATCGATGCGAATCTCTTGTTTGTTTTGCTAGCTGCGGCCGCCACTCATAATTAAACAAACCACTCTGGCAATCAGTGAGAATGGGAAACTTGCCGATAATAAATTATCAATCTTATCTCGCCAATCAATCTCAGCTTTATATTTTACCTTGATAGATTTAAATAGCAAAATTAATTAGAAGTTTACCTGTAATTAAATGGTGGGTAAGAAAAATCGTATTTTATCGAGGATTAAAATAAAACCTCTTGCTCGAAGGAAGGGAGTTATGCAACCGGCAGCGCTTTAAAGATACGCAGGTTGCATCGCGCTGACATTAAGGAACCTATGGTTTTTTTTGTGCAATTATTATATTATTACAGTCTTGTTGTTTATACAAATTTTGGGAAATGGAAAAAAAAGAATTCTATGGAAAAAATTCAGCAAGGTTTTTTAATTAGATCTTTTTCAGATCTTTTTTTTATTTAGCTATGTCAAATGTCAAATTCAAGTTTTCATAACAATGAATTGATCGATTTAAATAAGTTTTTCGAACTCCGTTGCGTTGTCACTTTTTGTTTTTCCCTTCAGACAAAAGTATGTGACCGATAGTCGGCTAGAGCTTGCTATACTGTTAATTAGCCGCGAGCACGTTTTATTTACAATTAGCTTAATTAGTCACCGCAAACGGCGCCGCCGAGTGCTGCCAACAACACCAACTTTGCACAAACAAAATTCTCCGCTCAAACATTAAGATTCTATTTTTGATTTCAAATTTTATTAAATTAGTCGTTTTTCATTATCAAAGGTGCAAACTTTCGAAGGTTGGATTTTTTCGGACGAGTCGTTGAAAAGTGCTGGCCGCGCAAAAATGGCACGTTCGCCAAAGTTTATATCTCGAGTGGATCGCGGCGGCGGCGCGCGGTTTCTCGCAGAAATCTCATTGTAGTAGTAATTGGCGTTGAATGGCAGTCGATGCGTCCAAGGGGACCGCGGAGGAGGGGGCGCCAGGATGAGCAGCAGCTTGAAGCTCTCTCGCGCATTCACTCCAACACACCTGTCCGCGAGTAGCATTTATTGGTAGCATGTTTCTTCTCGGCACCTTCCTCGCGCTGCTCACCCTTTTGGTCTCGCTGCTCTTCCTACTCAAAGATCGCAAACCCTCGCGCGCCAACCAAGCAGGTAAACCCAAAATTCCAAAGGTTTATAAAAAAAATCATTCAAATCAGAGATCCAAATATTAACTTTGTTTAAAACTTCAGGGGAAAGGAAACGGGGCGCATTATTTTCCCTTTAATTTCTGCTCTTCATTTATTCATGATTTTGAAAACAGACTAAATTAATCCATACTTTTTGTTATCATTTACGCATAACTTTTAATTTGAACTGTAATTAAAAATAGAGATAAATGAGGAAAAATAAATAAACTAAGCAGGCTTATTGTTTTAAATTATTAGGATACTAAAAAAACTAAAAATTAAAAAAAAAATCAGTCAAAACCATTCAATTTTGGCATTTAATTTGCATTTAAGATTTTGTTTGAATTCTGGATTAGGTCTAGATTCTTATTTTAATCTTACATCAAAACTGCCATGCCATATTTTGAGTTTATATCTAGGTGCGGCAGGAAGATGTCACCAAAGGAACTAAACTTTTATAACTTCATGGGAAGTAATTAAAAATTATTTGTTCCGACTACATCGTAATAGATTAGCTACACCTACAATCTTGAATTATGTCTCCAATGATAAAAGAATGAAAATGTGTTTTGTGGATGTGATTTTTTTTCTTATCAATTTATAATTAGTTCTTGTGTGATGAATTTTTATTAACTTTTGAAAAGGAAATCAATCTTTTTCGGGATTATTTTTTAAACTCATATTATCTCTAAATGGTTTTTGTAATGTGTTTGGAATTTCTGAATTTCAGGACTAGCCGTGATCCTCGAGGAGTCCGAAGAAGAGGAGGAGGAGGAGGACTACTTGAGCACCTTGAGCACCGCTTCGGCCGGATCCGTGAGCCGCGCCAGCACACCTCATGGTAAAGTATTATGCTGTGACCTTTGCCCCTCCTATTTCTTTCTGTACGTGTCTGGCAAAAAATCCGACGTCGTAACGCAAACAAAAAAGTAAAATACATACGCAAGCTGGGAAACCTTGCAAATTTTACCGGCTGGACTCGGAGACAATATTTTAACTTGTCGGCAAACGGCGGGTGAGGAAAAGTGTTTAAAATTCACCACTTAGATTCTGAACACTTAGATTGTTTTATAAAATTAAAGAATAAAAATAATTTTTTGATTCATAAATTTTTTAAATAAGCTCAAGTAAATTTTGATTCAAATATCTCTCAAATTAAAATCTATTTACAGGTTAAATTTGTTAAGAAAAATCTCCAAAAACTAAAAAAAATTAACGCGTGAAATTTTTACCATTTTCCCCTTTAATTAATTTTTTTTTTACAAACTTGCTGACAATTGAATTGAGGGCACATAATTTTTTTTTCGCGATTTGAGATTATTTTCGCTGGTTTTTTTTTTGGTCCATTCATTACTCGCATCCTCGGCGCTCGTGAGAGAGGAAATTGAATACAGCGATGGACCTGTTTCTCTCCACACTGTGCACGCTCGAGCTGCCGCAACAATGCAAAACAGTTTGAGTATAGAAAGAGATGGACGGTCGGTCGGTTTACTGGAGCAGCCAGCGCTAGTCGCAGTCGATTTGCGCGCCTTTCTCTTATAGACGCTCACTGACACTTTACGCGAATGTGGAGCACAAATCCCTCCGCGAGACATTAATTTGCATGGTGGCAATTAAACAATTAAATCCAGCAGAGACGAACTGATTAGAATTTTTCTCCTAAAAATAAAACGCAACAAAGTGGAAAACTTTCACCAATTTAATTTTATTAATTCAATTAAATCTTGACATTAAACACAAGAAATTTCAAATTTAGCAGCCAATAAAATTGAATTCGAGATAAGAATTTACAATTTTTTTTATTAATTTGAAATTATTTGGTCGTAATCTCAGTCAAAGTTGCAAGCTTTTTTACAATCAGAAAATTATATCTTTTTTTGTCAATTTGAAACGAATTTTTTGCAAGTCAGCCAATCTTGATCAAAGCAACCTGCGAGGCGCCAGAACAATCACGCAGGCCAAATTTTTGTGTTATTGCACTCGACTCGTATTCTCAAAGGCCACTTTTCTTATCTTATCTGACTGAGAGTCCCAGTAATTACATATCGACCAAAAATTACGATACCCATAGCTGCTGAAGCTGACGCCTTTCTCCATCATTCTCCAGCTTGGGGCCTCCTAAGATCGATTTAGCAAATTTAAAAAATTTTACCCCGACTGGAGATTATTTGGAAATGTTTGCTTCCGCAATAGTTCTTAACGCGGCGCACCAGTGGCTGCTCGCCTACCTGAAAAGCAGACTGAGCACACAGCTCGATGGTGAGAGGGATAAAATAATTTCTGCCAAATTTTGTTTTATAGAAAATATTGAAAAGAATTGATGGAAATTCCAATTTTAATTAAATATAAAAATCTATTATAAGATTTTGATGTTATATTTTATTTAATTTATTTCTGAGCTAATTTATATAATTTTTTTAATATTTTCAAGCAGAGGTCATTGCTACACGAATTAATTAGTCAAGTTTTTGGCCGGAATTAGAGTGGGGGAGGGAAGACGCCCGCTGCGGCCTTTGTTGCAACAGGTGAATGATAATTGCTTCCTCTGGCCGCAAACACGATTATTTTATTTACTCTAGCGAGTTTGTACTTTTGGGATGGGCGCTAATTCTTGACGTTTACTTGTCCGGCGGGCGGAGTGAGCGGCAACAAACTATGCTTTTCTTCTGCACGTTGTCACACCGATGCAGTGCAAATTGCTCCTCTTTCGACCTTTCGAGTGATTGTGTGAAAAAGCTGCGGTAGAGAGTCAGTTTGTTAGTCAAGTGCGGAGCGTGAGGTGCGTCACAACAACTATATCCAGCGCTCGTCGTGCGGAACGACAAACTCGGAGAATTTAGTTTTCGTTCCATTGCAGGTTCGAGTGTTTTTAAGCGACGGTTTTAAAATTTACCCTTTCTACACGATTAAAATTTACTTCAAAACTTTTGGAAATAAATTGTTTATTTAATCTGAAGTAGTTAATTATCTTATTTAATTTTTTACAATTTTTATTTTGCAGAAGAGTCCAAGCTGGAAGTTGACGAGGACGTGCCTGATGGCTGGTTGCCTTCGCCAGAAGACTTGTCCCCTGCTGTGGCAGAGGAACCCGCCGAGAAACAAATCGCAGTCGTCGACGTTGCGCCAGAGAGGACAGAGGAGGCGGCGGAAACGGCGCCTCCTCCAGTCGCCCAAGTGGCACCCACGCAGATTTGCCATCCAATAATAAAAGAGGTTTGTATCTCCAGATACAAACAATCTTGTCTTTAACAGTCCTAACGACCTCTTCTCTCTAACAGACTGAAGAAAAACCACCTCCGAAGATCGAAACAAGCGCCAAAGTCGAGCCCGAGTTTCAGCTGCCCTCGGTCAAGAACCTGCGGAGCCACTTTGAAAACAAACCGGCAGTGCAGCAGGTCCCTCTCCCCAGACACAAACCCATCATCAGACCCATTTTGCAGAGGGTCGTCCCTGTCAATAGCAATAACAACAATTTGGAGCCGGTGGAGAGAATTGTGGCTGCCAAAGAAGAGGAACGGCCGCCGGAAAAAATTCCTGAAGTGCCGAAAGTGAAGCAGCTGATTGCCAAGGCTGTTTCTTTTGACGAGGAGCAGGAAAAGAGCAACGGCTGTGTGGTCACATTAACAGCGGAGACGAATATTAGGCCGGTGGAAGAAGAGGAAGAGGAGGACGAGTACGTCGAGCCCATCATGAAGCAGTTTTCCGAGGAGTACGAGGAGGAGGAGATTCTCAAACCAAGACCTACAACCAGGTCGTGGGACCCGGTGAGTCTGAATTTTTTGATGTTGTGTCATTTATCCAAGTTGACCAACTAGCTTTCTTTCAAATTAAAATATCTCTTAAAAAAATTAATTAAAACAATTTTTTTATCATTTTACTTAAATATGACATACAAGTAAAAGTATTTCTATAAGCTCCGAAATTTTAAAATCATAAAATATAAGATGTGAAAAGACATCTTTTTTTCCACCTTTTTACCCTTAAAACTTACAAACTGATTGAGAGCAGTTATTTTTACTTCTCATTTTTCTGTCCTAAATTGTATTCAAAATTATTTCTAATGGAGATTGTGAATATTTATTTATTTTTGATTTATTTTTATTTACATTTTAGGCTTGTGTGCTGAAAGAGCTGTACACAGTAGCGGAGCCGTTGAAGCATTGCCCTGGTGGGACACCATCCTGTGTCACCATCGAAGGCTACCTGGACAAGCTGCCCTCCGGCAAGAAAAAGTCCACTTTTTGGAACGCATGGAAGAGGCGCTACTTCAGGGCCAAAGACGGGTTTCTATACTGCTACCAGGTCTGAATCAGCCTCTCCATCATCAAAGTTTTTTATTTTTAAATTTTCACCCGCATTATAGAATAACCAATCGGAGAAAGCGAGCATTTCCCTTCAACTCATGGGCGGAAAAGTGGAAAGTCTAGAGACTAACTCCGCTGAGGATGAGGTAAAATTTCTTAATTGACCTTGTTTCAGAATATTTATTTCATTTTCTAATTCAGCAACATCCGATGGTGTCCAAAATGCTTGGGATTGATGATGGGGTGAGTTTTGAACTTACTTTTAAAAAAAAATATAAAATGGATTATGAACTATAAAAACTTACAGAAAGGACATTATGTAGTTGTGAGGTGCGCAAACAAGCAGGAGAAGGAGAGGTGGCGACTGGCACTTAGCACACACACGACTGAGAACTTCAACTCAACCTATGTGAACCCTTGGCCCATCCCGAGAGACCCTGCCCTTTTGAAGAGCACCATCATTATAGATTTGGGCAGCAGCTCAACCAGGGCCGGCGTCTTATGCACTCAGGGTAAATTGATTAACAGTAAAATAATTTTGGAACTAAGAAATAAAAACTTTTGCTTTAACAATTAATGAATTCCAATCTTAAATTTCTAGCTACCCTTCCTCAAATTTTCTTCCCTACTGTGATGGCTGTGGACAAAGTTACGAAGGCAAAGATCTTCGGAGCAGACGCCCTGAAACCAGAAGTCAGAGCCACCAGCAGCCTGCAATTTCCTGTCAAGCCCTCTGCCAAAATCACAAAAGTAATTTCTTTCGTTTGAAGTGTAGCATTTTAATTTAAAAAAAAATAATATAACTTTTTCAGTACTCTGTTGATGTAAACGCAATACCAGGACTGTTCCAGAAGGTCTTCAATGACCTGAACGTGGACCAGCGGATGTATGACGTCGTCCTCAGTGTCCCCCGCAGCTTCAACAAAAGAACGCAGACCGAGATCGTCAACATTTTATTTGACCAGTTTGGAGTCAACGCCGTCAACATGACCCACCAGTCTGTGCTGGCCCTCTACTCTTACAACGCCACCAGTGGGGTGGTTGTGGACATTGGAGAACGGATGGACATTGTCCCCATCAATGAAGGTATAAGAATTGAATTTTTTTTTATTTACTATACTAAAAATTTTATACTTTTGTAGGCTATATTGTGGAAAATGGTGTTTCTCGGATTCCCTACGGCGGATCACAAATTGTAGACCACCTGCGCCACTTCTTGCTACAGAAGCAGTACTCTTTGGTCACAGAGGTGGAGGCCTTCCTGATTCGTTTTGTGCTCGAGAACCTCTGCTACAGCGCCCAACACTACAACACAGAGTTGCAAAAGTACCACGAAGACGCCTCCTCAGTCGAGCAGGCCCTCAGCATTAAACAATTCTTCGATGAAGCCAATGTCCACTGGGAGTAAGTTTCTATCATTATCGTTATTTTAAATTCAAATGTAATTTGTTTATTAATTAACGGTTTCTTAAATTATTTAGACAAAAAATGCTCCTGTTCTTTTGAGCGTTAAAAGATATGATTTATGTCTTCATCCGTTAATTTTTAAGGCTAAAATTATAAAATTTTTAAGAAAAGCATTCTTTAAAAGTGAAAAAAAATGTCAATTAAAAAGAAAATTTATTTATTTATTTTTATAATATCAAATTACGCAAATTATTACAAAAAACTTTAAATTGTAGGAGCATAAGTCTGGACTCGGGAAGGTTCCAGTCCACCGAGGGTCTTTTTAACCCCGATGCATGGGGTCTGGACAACCTCGGCGTCCACAAACTTGTCCACAAAGCAATTCGAGTAAGGAAATTTAAAACCTTTCAATACAGAAACGATTTTAAAACATTTTGTTTTGTTTTTTATCAGGAGTGCAGCATGGATGTGAGGAAGGAGATGACGAGGAGTATCTTTTTGTCCGGTGGTGTGACCATGCTGCCTGGATTTGCCGAGCGGCTGCACGCTGAAGTAGACAAGGTCACGCCGAAGTCGCTGCAACCCAAAGTGCACTCGTCGCCCTACAGGTATCATGCATCCTACATAGGAGCATGCGTTCTGGCAAACTCGCCAGGCGTCGACCAAGTAAAAATAACCAAGGGCGAGTGGCAGTCAGCCGGTGCCAAGGCCCTCACCAAGTGGAACTTGTGAATTTATCAGTGGACTCAAAATCAATCCAAATAAATTGCTGTGCATTTAAATTACTTCCAATATTTAAAGCAATATAATAAAATATTTTAGTACTTAAATCTTATTGTTGATAGGGATAAGTTGTGTTTTGCCGCCTTAATGTAACTTATAGTAGTCTTTCCTGTTGTAAAATCATCTCATTGTCTAATGTATCTTTTTGAGAACGCTGGCGGTATGAAATAAATATTTCTATTGAAAAAAGTTTGAATTTAAATAATAAATAACCCTATTTACTCTGCATAGAAAATAATAATTTATTCTAAATAAAATTTATTTATTTATATACTTCATATAAAGGATGATTACATGGCAAAAGTGAAACTGGTGGGAAAAGCAAATAATTTAATAGAACCCCCTTATTTTAACAGAAAACGTGTTAATAGGATTCATCCTTTTTGCTAATGAAGGCCATGAGTTTCCTTGATTGGGTTGGTCTCTTGCCGTAGTCGAGCACCCTGCTTATCCTACCCGACCCATCTTTATAAATTTTTAAAGCTAGAATAAAAGTTTGTTGCTCGCTCGGAAGGGGAAACTTAAGCGTCAAATATATATGGAATTTACACGCGCCCGCACCACAAGAAAAAAGCCCTCTTGCCTTTCGACTATGTGTGCTTAATTTCACTCTGCAAAAATATATATAGCAACACATTAAACTAAACTAAAAATTACATAAAAGTGTTTTTATTTAAACGTTATGTGCGTGTAATGATAAACATAGCGCTTTGGGATTCAGGTTTTGCTATTTATTAAACACTCTTTTTGTTTTCATGAAATTCTAGATTTTTTCTGCTACATTAAAACAGAAACAAAATTTTTCATTATTATTTAGTCTTTACCGCTGATACAAAATATGAGAAAAGAAAGAGGGTATATCAAACATACTATCAGAATTTCTGTTTTAGTGCTTATAAAATGCGGCTGAATTAATTATTTGATTGCCTCGGTGAAAGCTTGCAATAAAATAAAGCATGATACGTCGTCAAAAAATATTTCATGGCCTGTTTTATAATAGTAAAAAAATTGATATTCGTAAAAAGTTTGGCATAATTATCTGTTATCTGGATCAGAAATCTATATAGCTCTTCTATTAGAGTTCAGTCAGTTCACATACATAGGACGACTTTTTATGGAAGTAATTGTGACCGCGATAAAAGTATTGCGATTAAATTCCTTGGTAAAATTAATAATATATTTTTTTACATTATTTCTAGTTACAAAAATTTTGTCACAAATATGTTCTTTACTTTTTTTATTAGAATTATTAAATTAATCCCTGCAAAGCCGCGCGCTCTGTTCAGAGGGCCCTTGCAAAATGTAACAAGCCAAAACTTCATTTATTCGACTCGTTTTCCGCTGAATGAAGAAAAAGCCGCAATGGGCGCAATGATTCGTTTTTCCAAATAAGTACAAAATTTATAAAATATCTGCTATCAACTTTAAATTTTAATTTAATGCAAGTTTGCAAGTTAAATGTATTGCCTCAACTGGCTATAGAACGCCAAACTCACTTGGCGCTTAGCAACCAAACCGCTTTGATTTTACTCGCACTTCTGCTGTTAATAAAATTGTACCCAGAAGTACGTCCTACGACGAAGTTTAATAAGCAAAAGATTGAAAGTGAGTGGATGGTATATCACAAAGTTAATTTCAGCATTAAAAAGGTACAATTTTTCTTAAAAACTATAATAATAGAAACGTCGATGTTGCACAATGCTTTTGAATGATGGGCTAGAGTTGTTCGAGGTGGCCGACTTTGAGCGCGCTTTATTCCCTTTAAAATTCGGAATAACCATACAAATTAGGTACCAAAAGAAAGACAAGAAACCGATCTCTCTTATTAAAGCATAATAATTTCAGTTTCTGGTCCTTAATTAAGTAAAAATTAGAATTTTCGACTCCGCGAGCCGAAACTAGCAGTCGTCTTTCCACTTCAATCATGATTTACAGCAACATCGAGCGTCTGCAACTATTTTTAAAGAAAATAAAACCATAGAAAAACTCAAGCCGTGCATTTTGAGACAAAAATCACGCCGAAATGTGGATCCGTTCGGCCGCAGCGAGTCGGCAAAGTCGAAACAGAAACACGGAGAGAGCACTTTTCGAGCAACTTTCCTTCGATGTGGCGCGGCGCGGCGCGCGCGCGCCCGGAGACTCGCTCCCCCCATATAAAAGCAGCGACGTGTCTGGACTTGTCAGTTTTCGTTCTGAAAGCAATCGCATCACTACTACCATGGCTGATACCGCACCCGCTGCTCCGGCTCCCGCCAGCCCTGCCAAGGGCAAGAAGACCAAGGCTGCCAAGACCGGCGCCAAGAAGGTCGTGCCGACCCACCCGCCGACGGCCCAGATGGTCAACGCCGCCATCAAGAACCTGAAGGAGCGTGGAGGCTCTTCCCTGCAGGCCATCAAGAAGTACATCGCCGCCACCTACAAGATCGACGCCGAGAAGTTGGCGCCGTTCATCCGCAAATACCTCAAGTTGGCCGTCACCGCCGGCAAGTTGGTGCAGACCAAGGGCAAGGGTGCCTCTGGCTCGTTCAAGCTTAGCGCCGCCGCCGCTGCCCCGAAGAAGGAAAAGGTCGTCAAGCCCAAGAAGCCCGCCGCCGAGAAGAAGGCCAAGAAGCCCAAGAGCCCCAAGAAGGCCGGCGTCAAGAAGGTGACCAAGCCCAAGAAGACCGTGGCCGAGAAGAAACCCGCCGCCGCCAAGAAGGTTGTCGCTGCCAAGAAGCCAAAGTCCCCCAAGAAGGACAAGAAGCCCAAGGCCGCCGCCGCCAAGCCCAAGACCCCCAAGGTCAAGAAGGTCGCCGCTAAGAAGCCCGCAGCCAAGAAAGCCGCCCCTAAGAAGGCTGCCGCCAAGAAGGCCTAAGCGTCTCCTTGCAAATCCCGCCCCTAAATCGGCCCTTTTCAGGGCCACCAAAACACTCACATAAGAGCAATGCAAGCAATGGTTATCTAAATTTAATTATTTAAATAAAGCGAAATAAACGTAATAAAAACTAATCCAATCCCTACTATAGATATATAAGAGAATTTAGTTCGGATTCTTGTCACTGAATATATAAATGAATTTTTACTTTAAATTTTGTTCATATATATTAATTTTACATGGTACAATTAAGTTGCACAAAGTATAGAACTTGTGGTACACCAAAAAACTTAATTTGCAGCTACAACTTCCGTTGACACGCAGTTTGCGTCGATCGAAGGCTGCATTTACTCTTTTCCTTTGAAATTCTTAACCGCTTTGATTGCAAATATTATTTCAGATCCAGAGCTACCGCTGAGCCAGCCAGTGTTATATTTTTTCCTCGCACCACTGATATTTAAACAACTTATTACGGCAATTTTCACTCTTTTATATAGGTCATGTAGTATGGAAACGAAATTAATTTCTTCGAAAAAATTATTCTTCATGTATTTTTTTCCTGCCATATATTATATACAACAAATAATAATTATCAAGATGAATGTTGTAAAATAAAAATGTCTTACATTTAAATCTACTGTTTCAGATTAAAACAGGATGCCTATCAAAGTAGAAGGTATTAAATTAAATGGCCATATATCTGGATCGGATATTTTGTTATCTATAAAAGTAAAAATTACAATCTTACGAAATGAAAATAAGGACAAGGACTACAAACCATGGGAACTTCATTTTTAACCAATAAAAGTTGTCAGTTTATTTTAAGACAATTAACAATCTTCCATGAGCCCCAGCAAAGTACGGTGTATTTTTTTTTTAATTCACAAAAAATTTCTGTCTATTATAATAAATAATATAGCCGTGAGAGAATCCGTTAGACGTGGATTGCTGGTGGCAGGAGTGCAGGTCTCGCACCGCGATGAGTGAGGTGCCGTTTTCTCGGCGGCAGCACACTCGATCAGTGTCAAAATACATATATAAACGCGCCCCGTTATTACGGCAAGTGCAAAATTTCTACGTACAAGCTACAATGATTTGCAAAGTGCGCACAAAAACCTTTATTATAAAAATCTATGATTGATCCTCGATACAAAATTCGGTGGTTATCAATCAGAGGTTAACGAAAGCTCGCTTATTTTTGGAAAAATTTGCTTTGCGCTCCTCCATTAATCCAAACTTCAGCGCTCATACGCTCTTTGCGCATTAAAATTTGCGTTATACATAAGAAAATTCAACATCAACAATAACTTAAATAAAAATATATTAAATAAATAATTTTGGGTTTACCGCGGCGGCCGTGTCTCTTTTGATGTCGGGCGTTTTAGCAGACATCTGCTAGTTGTAAACCCTTTCTTCTCTTTTTTTCTCCAATTTAACAATTTTTGTACAGACCGAGAAGAATAAATAATAATAATAACTAAACAACAATAATAATTCAAAGTAATGTAATTTGAATAATCAATCATCAGCAAGTTTTTATTTATACAAAGTTAGTGTGCGACTGTGCGTGTTTTTTCTGCTCTTATTAGTATAGAGTAAAGTGTGCAATTGTGCATACTATTTTTCTCCTCATTTCCCATCCTTTAAAAAATCTTTTCCAGACATGTAAATAATGTTTAAAACTAGAATTTTAAGTTCATTGAAGTTAAAATTGCAAATTTTGCCTTTCTGACTTCAATTTTTTTTTTTCGAAATGGCAATTTCCTCCATCAAGAATAGGCCTTTAACGCAATACTATTCTGATACATTTAGCATTTAAGCAGCGCTACAAAAACATGATTATAATTTTATTAAAAAAAAGCATGAAAATATTATTCAAACTCCAGACAGATTTATTTCAAGTCTAACTTAAGCGGTGAATTACAACGTGAATTTCGACGCATCCACAAGCGTGACTGTCAGTGATTGCGGTTTTTCTTACAATTCAATGATATATTATATTTACTTAATTAAAAATTTAATAGTTTTAAGATAAATTAACTGGAACTGTACTGGATAGTTTTGCGATTGTTTATATTAAAGGATTTAATTAATTTCATTGCTTAGGTGCTCTTATTTGAGAGTTTTGGGTGGCCCTTAAAAGGGCCGATTTTCGCTGTTGTCTGTTGGGGGTGAACAGCTTAGCCGCCGAAGCCGTAGAGGGTGCGTCCCTGCCTCTTGAGGGCGTAGACGACGTCCATGGCGGTGACGGTCTTCCTCTTGGCGTGCTCGGTGTAGGTGACAGCGTCGCGGATCACATTCTCAAGGAACACCTTGAGCACGCCGCGGGTCTCCTCGTAGATGAGGCCCGAGATACGCTTGACTCCGCCGCGGCGAGCCAGACGGCGGATGGCCGGCTTGGTGATGCCCTGGATGTTGTCACGCAGAACCTTGCGGTGACGCTTGGCGCCTCCCTTGCCGAGCCCCTTGCCTCCCTTTCCACGTCCGGTCATGTTGATTCTTGTTCAGAGTTGGAATGAAACTGATGATGTCCTAGGGTTTTGCCCCTCTACTTATACCGGCCGGCGCAAGCAACGACGGTAAAAAAGCCCCCTCCAACCGACTGCAGGCGCGCCAAACTCGGCCGAGGGGCGGAGCCAAAAAGAGGATAAATAGCGGGGTCGCGACGAGTTTGGACACGTTTCAACTCGTCTCAACATGGCACGTACGAAGCAAACCGCCCGCAAGTCGACTGGAGGAAAGGCCCCTCGCAAGCAGCTGGCCACCAAGGCAGCCCGCAAGAGCGCCCCCGCCACCGGAGGGGTCAAGAAGCCCCATCGCTACAGACCCGGCACGGTCGCCCTCCGTGAGATCCGTCGCTACCAGAAGAGCACCGAGCTGCTGATCCGCAAGCTGCCCTTCCAGCGCCTCGTCCGTGAAATCGCCCAGGACTTCAAGACCGACCTGCGCTTCCAGTCGAGCGCCGTCATGGCCCTGCAGGAGGCCAGCGAGGCCTACCTGGTCGGCCTCTTCGAGGACACCAACCTGTGCGCCATCCACGCCAAGCGCGTCACCATCATGCCCAAGGACATCCAGCTGGCCCGCCGCATCCGCGGAGAGCGTGCTTAAGCTAAACAGCTCAAACACCAAAAATCGGCCCTTTTAAGGGCCACCAAAATAATCAAGTAAAACCACAAAGCAATATGCAAAGACAAACTAAAGAGACTTATATAAATTTAACATTGGTTTATAATATAGACAGCAGAAATAAAAAAAACCCAAGATAAAGTTTTCTAATGCAAAACTTCTTTTTCATTATTTGAGTGAAATTTAAGGAATTTGAGCAAATAAATAATAAATGTCGCTCTAAAATCTAAATTCATTTGCGACCCTCCTATACATACTATAGGACTAGCCAGGGAACGTCAGGCTTCTTAAAATGTATACCTACGATATAAATATGACAGGTAAAAGTGTTGGATGAAATAATAAAATATTATAACATTATTTTGGATTATTTTGTTTCATTAATATAATTATTTATATCAACTGGCCAAGAGTATAAAAAAAATGCGGAATTATTGCAGGGTATCAATTTAATAGTTCAGCCATAGCATTAAAAAGCTCATCAGTCATCAGCATTTTTTTCTAGATTTCCATTTAAATCATGTCAAAACATTAGCACTCGCGCAAAATAAAACAGAAAAGTTTCAATTGCATAGGATTCTTTTTATGTTAATTAATTTAGTTGTTTTTGATATTGTTTTTAGTTATAAAAATAATTTTGAATTTTCCAACTAGAAAAAGTTGATTCTATAATTCTGCCTTTGCAAAATATTGTAATATGTAAAGCAAAAAAGTATAGTTATTTTGTGATATGCAAAAACGATATGTTTTAAAAAAGAAACTTTTGAAAGACAGAAAAGAAAGGAAAAAACCGGGACTGAACGCATAATTTTTTTCTCGGCAGCTGCGTTCACGATAGCCGGTAAAAGGAGAGGCAAAAGCTGATGTGATATTATCCTCTCTGACACGTGTGCCGTGTGGTTGTTCTTGGCGGGAACTTTGCGCTTGTGATGCCATTTGAAAGAAAAGTATAGCTTTTATTTTACCAAAATCATGCGTATATTTGTGAGCCATCGTGAGTTTCATTTGTTTGAGCATAAATATAAATCTGTAGGTGTGATGAAACAAAATAATGTTAAAAATCAAATTTATTTTCAATCCTTCACATTGAAACCAATAAATATGCGAAATAATTATGCAGTTATTGCAGTATTCCTATCTGGTTTTTTTTTTAAACACTATATATGTGATTTTTCATTGTTATTCAAGAATGGAAGAAAATATCAGAAATTATTGAAATTATCCTAGTAAGAAGTTGTCACTGTCAAAGCAGAAAAAAAGTAGGTAGCACGTCGCGGTACATTTTATTCGGCAAGTGATCACGCGTTGCCCCACAGAGACAGGCCGTTTAACGCGCGCGCTCGATTATGTCTATGATGCTAACATTAAGTTAGCACAGCGCAACCATAATTTTTACTTCACATATGATTTTACGAGTTATGTGTTAAACTTAATAATAATTTTTTTTCAAGCCCAGATTTTTTTATTATTGGAAATCAGTCGGTAAGGTTTATAAAGATGCATAAAAATATCTTTAAGCACAAATTAAGAGATAAAATACGACACCCTGATTTGGTCAAGTTTTTTTTTCATTTGAAATTTTTAATCAATTTTTTAATTTTTCAAATTGTCTTTCCTTCTCGGGAAAGGGCCGGGTTGGAAGGAGTATTGTGGCTGTTGCTAATTTCTATCACTGAAAATTATTAAAATTATTTGACGATATTAAGCAAAAACTATCATGCTTATAAAAAAAAATATATAAATCCAACGCTTTTAGATCAAAAAAATTGAAATTGCTTGAGCATTCTAGAGGAAAATTAAGTAATTGAGACTTGAATGCTTAGCCGACCTAATACTTCAGGTAACTGAAAATATCGCATCAGATATTATATCTTTGGTTAATGTATAATTTTATATCATAGAAGCAAACAAAAAGTAACACTGTAGTAGTAGGAGTTGAAGCGCGAATGTAAGTTTGAATTTTTTAATGCTGCTTTTATACAACAATACATTACTTTTTGCCGATTAAAAGTTTTTTTGTTTATGCGAAGAAGAATAAAAATTAATAATCTGTTGACAAAGCTGGTGAGTAAAATTTAAAAAAGAAATTTAAATAATTCAAAAAAATACACATGACACCTTACTAGAAATTATTTTTTAAGATTTTACAAATATCGTGCACTTAGAACTTATGGATGTATTGAGGAGTGAATGTTAAAGTTTATCAAATATTCATCATTGCTTAGTGGCTTTACTTGAGTGTTTTGGGTGGCCCTGAAAAGGGCCGATTTTCGCCTCAAGCTTGCTGCTGAACAGCTTACTTGGAGCTGGTGTACTTGGTGACGGCCTTGGTGCCCTCAGACACGGCGTGCTTGGCCAACTCTCCGGGCAGGAGGAGACGGACGGCGGTCTGGATCTCCCGGGAGGTGATGGTGGAGCGCTTGTTGTAGTGGGCGAGACGGCTGGCCTCGGAGGCGATGCGCTCGAAGATGTCGTTGACGAACGAGTTCATGATGCTCATGGCCTTGCTCGAGACGCCAGTGTCGGGGTGGACCTGCTTCAACACCTTGTAGATGTAGATGGCGTACGACTCCTTCCTGCGCTTCCTCTTGCCCTTCTTGTCCGACTTGCTGATGTTCTTCTGGGCCTTGCCAGACTTCTTGGCAGCCTTTCCGGAGGTTTTGGGTGGCATGGTGAGTGCGGTTCAGTCCAAACAGATCTGATGCTGCCCCAGTGAAAGGGCCCCGTATTTATCCGGCAGCGGCGGAGCGGCGCGCGAGCCACTCTCCTCTCTCCGCAACTTCCATTGGTTCGGAACCGCTAACTCGGTCGGCGGCCTTTTGTCGCGCCGCACTCCCCCCTTCGAGTATAAATACTCTGAGGCGGCCCTAGGCTGGCATCTGTTTCGTTTCGTCGCAACAAGAACAAGCATCAACATGTCTGGACGTGGCAAGGGAGGAAAGGTGAAGGGAAAGGCAAAGACCCGCTCCAGCCGTGCCGGACTTCAGTTCCCCGTCGGCAGAATCCACCGTCTGCTGAGGAAGGGCAACTACGCCGAGCGCGTCGGTGCCGGCGCCCCCGTCTACCTGGCCGCCGTCATGGAGTACTTGGCCGCTGAAGTCCTCGAGTTGGCCGGCAACGCCGCCCGCGACAACAAGAAGTCAAGAATCATCCCCCGTCACTTGCAGCTCGCCATCCGCAACGACGAGGAGTTGAACAAGCTGCTCTCCGGCGTCACCATCGCCCAGGGAGGTGTCCTGCCCAACATCCAGGCCGTCCTCCTCCCCAAGAAGACCGACAAGAAGGCATAAGCGCCCGAAACATCAGTCTTCGAAAATCGGCCCTTTTCAGGGCCACCCAAATTACTCAAATAAGAGTGCGAAAGCAATGATGGAAATATTCAGTTAATGATGATATTTAATTAGTGCCAACTGCCATTTATAAAAATAAAAATGAGTGCATTAACATAAATGCCATAAACTTGCAATCAGTTAAATTATATATCACAAATCTTTAGGAAACAGTTCTGCTTTAAAAAAAACTTTTGTGGGGTTGCTTTAAACTATACATCTCAGGTCTAAAAGATGGTAAAATAACCATGCTGCACAGATTTAAAGAAAATTTGGTTAAGAATTAAGACTATCAGTAAATACAGGATTTAAGTTTAATTTGCCAATGCAACTACAAAGTAAGGAAAAAGAAATGTTGTCTTACTGAAAATTCTCCCCAACCTTCAAAAGCTGTTCCTTGCATTAACTTTTGATTCTGGCAGGCTCATCTTACTCGTCCAGTTCTCTATCCAACGTTTCCTTTAAAGCTTTGCGGTACAAAGCTACTGCATCTCTGTTGGAGTCTCTGTTCTTCACGTCCTGACAAAGTTTATAGTAAACAATAACAAAATTTATTTATTATAATAAGAATTGAAAACCTTTTCCAGTTCTCTGAGCATCTGACGAAAGGTCTCCACTCTTTTTGTGTGCTTGAACTTCATTTTCTGCAACATCGTAGTGTTTTCTTGCAGAAGTTCTATCATTTGAGTAACTTTGATGCTCTAGAAAAAGTAAATAACCTTCATAACATTGTTCACATTTATGCAAGAAAAATAAAAACTGTGATCATTTTGAAATTACCTCTTTTCAAAAGTCCATGAAATTAATGAACACAATAATTAAATTAAATGACATGCCACAAGCTACTCTTAATTATTTTCTTTTGAACTTACATACTCATCAATTTTCATGCAATCCTCTAAAATCTTGGTGCACACTGGCTTCAGAATCTCCATGATTTTGACAATGTTTGTCAGTCTTTTGTTGCAGGTCTCTTCAAGAATTTTTTCAATTTGCTCTTCGTAATTTTCCACAACTCCTATTAATAAAAAAAAAACTTATTAAACGTCCGCCATAAAAATCTTCACATAAACCCTCTAAACACTTAAAAAAGTATATCAAAATCAGTAATGAGATATTTGTATTTCACCTTGCATTTCCTGCCTCTTCTTGTCCATCATCTTCTTTACAAAAGGTGTCTTCAAAGCATCAGTTGCTTTGTTTTCTGGACAAGACTTTTCATCGTCCGAGGACGATTCCCAGGAATTCTTGGACTCCTTGACGGGAGGCTCATCCTCTTCTTCAAAACCAAAATAGTCATCGTGTCTCTTCTTGCTGGAAGAGCGGTTCATCGTCATTTTTCCGCCAGTGTTGCTGCTGCTGGCTCTATCCTTGTAAATCGTGGTGTTGAGATTGTTATTTGCTTTGAGCAGAGATGAGGAAGTCGTCTTTTTGGTGGAATCCATTTTGTTCTTAAGAACAGAAAAATAAAACATTTTTAACATAAAAATATACCAAACAAATACAAAATTGCATCAAATTAAGTATTTTTTATGCTTTACTTTAGGGTGTTTTATGTTGCGTTTATGCATTGAATTTCCATAAAATCAATCCATGTAAATTTTGATAATTATCTCAATTATCTTAAATCCCACAGCTAGAGACTGGGAGGACAAATAAAAAAAACTGAAAATTAGCAATAAATTTAAGAATGAAAAGAAAATAATGCAGGCCGATGATACAATGGCCCAGAAATGACCGGCCGCACCAGGGCAAAAATGCTAGCTCGCAAAAATGTATCTTCTTTCGCCCATCTCGATCAGCCTGTCCACGCGTCCATGCGGGGATTTGGAATTTGGACGTCCGTGTATCTATTCAATAACACACCCACGGGAATTAACTCACCGGAGTGTTTCAGATAATATGAGAGGTGCTAAAGGTGCTTTGCTCTCCGCCTCAAAAACCGGGAAGTCCCAAAAATGTACGGCCATAAAAGCTTGGGCTTTTTCAAAGATGGGAAGAAGCCGAATATGGCGGCAAAAACTGAACTTACTTCGCTTCGGGTAGTCACACGTCATGGAATGAATCCAATAGATTCTGGAATGACTTGAATAATGTCTAATGTCTGTCTGGATGGATACACTCAAATGAGGCACGAAAACGAAAACTTACAAAACGCAATTGTCGCAATTCTCCTTTTCTCCTGGATTGCATTGGCGCTCGTCCGCTCCCCCCGCTCCAGACACCCCTTCTCCCCCACTTTTAAATAGCAAAAGCAAGGAGAAATTAATATGAATATATGTATTGTTCTCCTATTGATATAAAAAAGCCTTGTGTTGAAGTTTCATTGAATTGTTTTTTAGAGTCAACGAACATTTTCAGCATTTTCATATCACACTCAATTTACATTACAAGGCACAGCCGATTGTATGATATTATTAATTATTATGTATGGTGCAAATAAGCATAATTATATTATGAATATGTGTATATTTTGTAGAGCTGCTGCAGAGTCACACATAAACGAATTTTTCAGACGACTCAAGGAAAAAGAGCGTTAAATTGAATATATAATAATCAATGATGCAAAGAGTTGCTTCATTTAAGCAAAAAATAATAATAATAATTTATCTAAAACCACCTCAATCCACTTTTCAATATAGCTAAACCATGATATTTTTTTCGTAAAATAAGATATTTGTCTATTAAGTTAATTTCATTATTCCAGTATATTTACCAAAAAGACGGCCAAATATACTATAAAATAATATTAACTATGGAAGTGATATTCGTGATCGTATTATTTATTTTGTATGTTCATTTAATTTTGTAAATATAAGAGGTCATCCGCTTTTTTTCTTGATCCTTTATTTCGTACATTGACATTTTTACTTCTATTCATATTTTTCTTACCACTATAAGTCAACATACAGACAGAATTAGTTTTAGATTTATCTTAATTCAGGCATAAAGAATTCTTGTAAACATAACATGGCTTTCGACTGCGGCGAAAGAATGATTTGAACAGAAAGATAATTTGTTCAGTATATTAAAAATCCTCAATGCAGTTATTCAAGCATGCGACACAATTGAACGGTTAAAAAAAGAACTTTTCCCGATTTTGCGACTTCTACAATTTTTTAACAAGAAATTTACGCACAAATGTATAGTGTCGTTTGACTTTGAATTTCAAAATTCTGTCATGACCTAACGAATTTAACATTCATTGCATTATTTTGACAGATGATATTTAATTTCACTGAATGCAGCAAAATGTTGCTAGTTTTAAATGGCATTTATTTTTATATATTCCCATGCACTTGATCTTCTGATCCAAATCTTTTCACAAAATTCAATTAAAAAAAATGTCTAGTTTTGCCCATCTAGTCATCAAGGAAAACATAAGTGAACTTTTCTTGGAAAGAAGACAACTGGCTGTAAAGCTTAATTTATCTTAACTTGTTTACAGTTATAGTAGCTTGCATGAAACTTACCAACACAATTAATAAGAGTATAATATTCCATCATGTACAGTAAAACCCAGAAAAATGAAGTTGACGCTTTGTATAAAAATTTTGCTAGGTGAAAAAAGGTGCCCGAATACAACAATAATGAGGAAAAAAATAGTCCTGCATTTGAAACCGTATTTGGCAAGCACAAATTTCAAACTTCTAGTGTAGAATCATGAAATGCACAAGTAGAATAAAAAGGGAATTTTCTGAAGGTATAATAGCTTTACAGCTCTTCGTCGCCTAGATCGTGCTTGACTTTTGAGAAGTCAAAATCTTCACCGGTGCCTCGACGGAAGATGTCCAGCACGTCAAGGCAGGTAGTTTCAAAGTGAGTGGTTGCATCGTAGGATTTGCTGATGAAGATGCCCGAGCTCAGCCCGTCATCAATTGGCTCATAATAATCTTGGATCCAAATAAACCTGTAACAAGAATTTTTGTTATAATCAGTGAAAAGGAAATGATATTTTAAAAATATTCGAAGCTAAGCTCATTGTTTTTTATAGAGTCGCAACGTCTCTTAAGATTTATATTAATTTTTCTGAACTCTGTTATTTTCAAATGAAATGTTTTTAAAAGTTAAGTTGTATGCAATAAATTTACAATAATTTATAAATTTTTGTTTCAATATAAGCTTACTTTTGCTGAATAGGCCCAAGGAGTCGGAGACCGTGCTGGATTTCATTTTCAGGTGTATCAGTTTCAACAGTGGTCGACACCATCGCGATAAACCAGCCCTTCGCTGCTACCTGATGCGTGTAGCTCACCAATGAAACGTATATGTCTAAAATAAGAATTTTTATAATCCTTGTTCTTTACTAGTGGAATTTTTCTAGTACCAGACTTGCGGCCAACTTGCTTTTGGGGGATGATGATTTGTGTCGAGAGGGCGTCATTGGTGCCCGGTACAGGATGATTCATCAAGCAAATGCATCTGATAACTTGTCCCGTCTAAAATTATCTGATTAGTTATTAATCACCGATGAAAAAGATGAACACACTTTTCTAGCTTTTTCGGGCACGTACGATGGATCGCAGTAGACTTGCTTGCACCTTGCCACCTCGTTGCCTGATCTGACACCCACGATACAGCCATTCTCGATAACAAGCTCATCCACGGGTTTGTCTAGCATATATGTGCCTCCATAAATGGCACTCAACCTGCAAAAGAAGGATTTTATTCAACATAATGAAAATAGGTAATGATAGTCACAAACCTGGCAAAACCTTGGGGTAGCTCTCCAAGCCCATACATTGGATACAGGTACGGCGACTTTCCATATCGGGCCAGAGAGTCACTGTACAGCTTGATTCTACGAATGGTAGTCAAAGAGGGCTGATTCAAGTAGTCATCGTCCCTAAAATTTATAGTAAATTAAATGTTTAGATAAGAATGATTATTTTTCTTCTTTTGCTTATATTGAGACCCCTAAAATTTTAGCTTCAAAAAATTTACAGCGGTGAAACATTTTAGAGGTTTTAACCTACTTAATTGAAGTTGAAGGACCAGAATTATTGCGTTACAACGATAATTTTGATCTTTCTGTCAGGAAACTGACCTGTACAGGGCTAGCGCATGACCAGTGAAATCTTGTGTGTTGGGGTCCAGGCCAAACTTGTCATAGACTTGCTTCATCGTGGTAGTGTTGGGGTTCATGTCTTTCCAGGTCTTGGGATCGTCATCTCTAAAATCCTGGACGTAGACTAAAAAGTTCTTGAAGCGCCGTTTCTCAAACAGTCCCATCAAATCTGCAAATAATAAAAATTAGATTTTTTTCCATACTGAGAATGCTGTAAATATTTTTAAGTCCTCGTACTTTTAAATAAATAAAGGAAATAAGTTTATTTTCGTTGATTTGGTACCTGACGAAAAGGCTTCCTTTTCATCCACAGGGACTTTTGAAATTCTGCCGGATTTGTTGTAGACATAGCTGCCTTCCACCGACTTGAACTCCAGATACCGAGTAACACCCGTGTGGATTAATAACTTGACAAGTTGTCCGTGAGCCATGAGGAATTTTGGAATGAGGTCTGCATTCCAGTCGCGACCTCGGCCGTAGGATTCGTCAGGCTTTGGTGCGTTGAAACGGCTGAAGAGATCTTCGAGAGGAGTAATTGAAGCGGACTCACCGCCGTAGTACTTGTTTCTGTCGATGTGCAGAACCTTTTTGCCGGACACAGATAACATGCCGCTGAGGATGCATTCCTGTAAACATAAATTGCCAAATTTAAAACCATTTAATTGTAATTTTGCCATGAAACCACAGTGCAGATCATCACAAAAGAGAAATCTTTTCAAAATTTAACAAAATTCACTCTTTGTTTTGAAATTTAGGCCACCCTTTTTAATAAAGGGCGTTTCCCGCAGTCAGAAGTTTTTAATAAATTCATAAACGACGCAAAAATGTATTTCATTTAGGAACTGCGGTATGAGTTGAGACAAAAAGGGTGCTCATGCAGTCAAAATTTCAAGGTTCTAGGTTCAATGCCGCTGTGTAGCCGCAAGACGAGCCGATTATGACACGACACGTCAGGAGATCCAATCACAACCACCAATGTGTCGGTTCCCTGCAATTTTGAGAATGATTCTCCACGTTTAAGATACCTTAAGGCCTGTTCCAAGCACGATGGCATCGTATTGTTCATCCATCTTTGTCGCGTTTTATGATAATTTGCGACGAAAAATAAATCTGAGCTTTCTAAAAGTCAGAACACCGAGCACCTTATTAGCCGAATCGAAGCGCGATGCTATGGCGGAAGGTTCGATTTGAGACACAATAATTATGCGTGTGTGGCACGGAAAGGATAACAAGTCAGCGCCATGACAGGTGCAGCATAACGAACCTGCCAATCCACAAAATTATCCGGGGATGAAAGAATTAAACGCCCCTTCGCATCTCCTACCGCACCACACTCTTTCTTTGGAGAACGAGAAACTCGCTTGCAGCGCCTCTACCGACGATATTTACTGTCCAGCGCGAAATCGCAAAATTAAATTGTATTTGTGCAAAAAAAAAAATAATAATAATAAATTGGATGTTCCAGAATAATAATTTTTTTTATGTATTTGTGCCATTTATATATTTGATCTACAACACTACACAAAAAAAATTTAATGGAAGACACAACTAGCGCGGATGACTAAACAACAATAAAAATTTACATAATTATTATAAGTGAGTTTTGATTAGAGATTGATTTTTTTTTTTTAATTTTAATGATGGTCTTTATACGCGCAGTTTTTGTTTTTATCAAATTTTATTGCATTTGAAAATCACACTGCTCTGGATTATGGCTAAACAGCTTCCACCCCCTAAGTTGCAATTAGCGCGAATTTTGGTGAGAAAGAGCTTTAGCACAGAGTAGTGACTATAATAATAACATAAGACCTGATTGATCTACTATTTTAAATGGTTCACTCTCACTCGGCGACTGTCTCTAACAACATCAGATGTTTTAAAAGACTTCTGCTAGTTGTGCTACCATTATTTACTTTCATGTGTCAACAATATTTAATTTTGCCTCTGCATTTACATGAATAAATAATAATAACAAAATTACATGTTCAGAAAATGAAATCACAAATAATTTTATAAAACGAAGCTGCTCCCAAGTTGGGAAAGCTACTTACAAATTCAAATCCTCTCTCCACTTCACACACTAATTTGTCTTTCACAATCAGGACAATATATAATAATCTTTTTTAATACATTTCAAAAGTTACTATTTATGATCTCAACAGTTTTGCTCCACCACCTTTCACGCAAACCAATATAATAGGTGGTAGCCAGTAGACACTAAAGAACCACTCATATTTTATAACAGACTTCATAGATTTTTAAATTTTTTGCAATAAAAACAAGTATCACAAGTCCACAGGTGACACCAATTTATAGAACCACAAAACTGAGGTTACTTGATGGTCAGCATTCTTTTTGTCACATTATACATCCACCAAGATTTAAGTGGAGGTTAAAATATAACCATCTTTTTATTATTATTTTTTTTTGTTATTTATGGTTCATTCATAGTGCTGCCTATTCATCATCGGAGTCACCATCACTGGAGTAATCCTGCACAGCCACAGTACGACTGAAGGGAGCAGCGGTAGTTTGACTGCAAAAATAATAATATAAAATGTAAACATAATAATATATGAAAATTTGTGGGCTAATAAAACTTATTTTTAAGATAATCAGAATTAGTTTGAAAAATCGCTCTCAACAAATAGGTTTTTATCAACTTCACTCAAGACCACGATGCAGCCGAATGAGTCAAATTTGGCTAATTTTCATCACAGGTTTTTAAATTAAATTTTAAGAGGAATTAAAAATGCTCACCCAAGACGTCTGTAGTGGTTGAGCCATTCCTCTATCATTTGAGCCACAAGCAATGGTCTCTTGTCGAGTCTCTGCTGGGCTACCAACAGGCCCCCCTCAGTCACACACACATCCAGCCATTGTCGAAGAAGCGCTTCTTCCATACCCACCTAGAACAAGTTTGATTGAATAAACTTTATAATAGCAAATGGAAAAAAATTGTAGCAAAAAAAAAAATAATAATTTTTTTCATCGAATGCAATTTTTACATAAATCTTCCATTCAAATTGTTTTATTAATGAAAAACTGGAATCTTTTCAATGCGATTAATAAAAATTTATCAAGAATATGAAATTTTACCTCAGCGTGTGTGAGGAAGTGCACTGGAAGCAATTTTCGATCGTGGCTTTGCAGTGGCAAGAAGGTCACTTGTAAATCGTCATTGGTTACGGGAGTGGCACCCCTGATTGGATTCATGTAGGGTTCGATGGGCACAAGGGCTGAAAAGTGGCCCCGCGTGTAACCCAACGCCAGAGGTGATTTGTGACAGAACGACCTGTCCCACAGCAGGGGCAGGTAGACACCCTCAAATCTCGCGTAGCCGAGCGCCTCGCCCCGAAAACTTTTGACAAATTTCACACCGTACACAATGATTGGGCGTCTGAGGACGTGTGCCAGGGCAAACACATGTAGTTGCTCAAGACTGGCGCCAGGTTGAGCAGCAAGTGACAGCAGACCTGACCAGTCTTCTTCCCATTGGCTGTCGTCCAAAGAGAAGTGCATTAGGGACGCTTGCAACTCTTCGTACTCTCGCCACCTAAAAGTCAATCAATTATGATATATTGAGAATTCTATTTGAACGAGTAAGTTAAATATTTTATTTTTTTATTTAAATTTTTTAAAGAAAATTTACGAGTTATAAATTTTTTCTAAATAATCTAAATTTTTAAATAAACTTGACATTAATTTAATATAACTAACCTAGGATAAAAAATATGCCCGCCATGACGCAAGCTTTCAGCTATGGCTCGTCTCAGAGTGTTGTCCCTGTCGAATACACCCCATGAAGCTTGCATGGCTGAATCAAGCAGACAATCGCCCGCAGAACGATTCCAGAGGGCAAACAGTCTAGATCCCAGACGCATTGTGATCTCTAAGGACCAATTCAGAGCTGGAGGATCATTCTCTAGTTGTGTCTGTGCGTCACGGTCCAGCAATTCGTCGTACAACTGCTCCTGCACTGACTGCGGAAGGTCCTCCACTTCTGGAATACACAAGAAAATTCAATGACTAAAAAATTGAAATTATATTAAAATATCTTAATTTGATATTCATATGCATCAAATAGCTTAATGTTATGCATTGGGATAAACTTGATTGACTTAAATTGAGATAACTTAAACGCCTTTTTTGTCAAACTCTAAACAAATAACACAATATTTTTCTTTGCATTTGTTTTTCAGAGATGAATTTCTCTGCTAAAATATACAAAACTTACCGGCTGGTAGAGCAAAAGTAGCAACATCTGCGACGTAGAAGCACGGGAAATTCACACCCTTGCGTTGCCGAACAAGCGAAGCAACCTGTCTACGAACATCAGCAGCAAGTTCTGGGGCTACATACGAAGGTACACGCTTGATTCCGGCACCGCCACCCTCAATCTGAGACAGAAGTGTGGCCAAAAGGTCCTCCTTTTGGAACCTAAAATGCAGGTTTAAAAACTGAAGCAGAAAAGTAAAGCCGAGTTCAAACCTGATGGCCAAGTGCACAAGAGTGTGACCGACATCGAAAGCCGAAGGTCGGTTTAGGAGTGCCACTTCGGTGGCCGTCAGCTGCCTTGTAGGGTCTCCACCTGAGGCCAAATAAGCCTCAACGGGGTTGGCATCGCCCTGGATGACCCCAATGCAAGCGTCCAGCCACGGCCAGTCGGCCTGGTGAGCGTGACGGCGCCAACGTTTCGAATCGGAGTTGTTGTTTGCAACAGGAAAATCGTGAGGTGGAGATTCTCGCATGGCCTGCAGTCGGTTGTCAGCCGACACAACTCCACAGGCCGTTTCTGGGCTGTTGACGGTCTGGCGTTTGTGGCTGCACATGGCGCAACGCATGGCGCGCGTCCAATTTTGGTAAGTGCACCGCTGACAGATCCATTTGAGTTGATCATTTAGCCTGCAAACAAGTTCAAAATTTTTTAAATTCGCCAGACGTGTTAGGTTATTTAAGCACAGTGAGCAAGTGATAAAATTTTAGCTTCCAAGTAAAAAAAGAGCATAAAATTTTCAAAAACTCGAAAGCATACTAAGTTTCAAAATGCTAATAAAGCAATTTCCATTACTGTATTTTAAGAAATTTCTCTTTTGCAGAGGTCATTAATGTCGAGCTATTTGTATTTTTAAACAATTATAAAAGCTTTGAGCATTTTCTTTCTTCTCAAATAGATTAAAAATGTATTTATGAGGTCTGTTGACAATAATTTATCTTACACATCGTCTGCCAGCTGGAGGGCTGCAAACTGTTCCTGCAAATCCACCTCATTGGCGGTTGTGGCCTCGGCACCTCCAGGCTTCGGTGAACTTTTGCCAGTGCACAATTCTGAAGTTGCAGCTGGTTGACAGAGCTCGTAGATGTCACTCTGCATGAAGAAAAAATAAATTAATTTCGTAAAGCGCCACAAAAATGGAAAAGGGAAATCTAAAATTATGGTGACAAAAAATGCGAAAACAAACAAGAGACGTTTGATAGCGCCTCAAGCAACCAATTTGGTCCTTTTTCTCGCTTTCCAAATGCGTTTTTATTTCGCATCTTTATTCAGAAAAAACTTGCCTGCTCGATGAGAGCCCTCGAAGCCCTGCACATCGTGCATTTTATGGCTGAAGGGTAGTTTTCGTACGTGCAGTAATCACAGGCCCACTTTTCACGCTCCGTCGACATATTTCAAGGATTCGGCGATTCGGCCGTCGCAGAGCCCTCAGAAGTGCGGGGGCCTGAAGGCCCCTGTCCCAGAGCAAGTTACCTCACTTTTTCCGACCCTTCGTTGTTTACATAATCCTTGCTGTTTTAATAAAAGGAAAAAGAGAACACGATTTACGGAAGAGAAAAAAGTTTTTTAACTTCACGAAACGTCATGGCGACACTGACGGCAATGATACATGACCGACGGTGGCGCCGTTAGTTCTATGTTGTAGCAAGGGATAGAAAATGCGGTGAGCAATTGATGAACTGCACCGATGAAATTTGTGAAATCGCTAAATTAGAAATAGATGCAGCACACAATACACCTGCCATGTGAAATTCGGTCACTTGTATTTTACGAATGTGGCAACCAATGCGAAAGTTTAAATTAATTTAAATGGATATTCTAGCGAAAATTTTCCTTTTTTTTTCATTTTTAAAACAGATTTATATTCAAACCATTAATTGGAAAAAGAATAAAGGAAATAATATTAATCATCCGAAAAAAAAACAAAATTAATTAAAATAAATTAATTTCAAAATATTTGATTTCAATAGTATTGTAATATAACTGATGATTTATATGCCAGAGAATTTTCAGAATTTAATTGCTGCTCTTATAATGTTTATTACATTTTTACATCATATATCAATATATCAGTAAGTCGTGATTTTTAATAATTTTTACATTTTATAAATCAGAAATGCTTTGGATTCGGACACTTAAAAATAAAAAAGGACAGTACTTGTTATCTAAAACATTATATCAAGATTACACAATTTTTATCTTACAGTTAATAAACTGGTGAATTAAATTGCAAGGGTAAATTCCTATGGTTGAAATATAAGCACATTTTTTAGTATGATTGGGACTTACTTTTATTATTTTTTTTAACCAGATAAAGTTTCAAGATGAGAGGTAAACTGGTACAACGTTGGGCACAGATATTTAAATTAATTTTATTACCAATATAATTATAAATTATAAGGCAATAAAAGTTAAAATATCAAATATTATTATATGACCCCAACTTAAGAACGACTAGAAGATTTTGTGCGTAAACTTAAATAAGGGTAAAACTTATTCAGCCCAATATAAAATAGTTATAGAAGAAACATATTTAGCTTAATTATTATTCAATCAGAATCTGTTTGCTTTGTGAATGACGGCATTTTGTAAGTAATAAATCGTTAAAAATAAAGATTCGTGTAGAAAAATTACAAAAGTTTGTCAGGTATATTAGGATTCTTAATAATTGATTTTTCACGTTTTCAAAGATTGCATCTCCACAGATATTGGAATATCCTTGTGATTTTTGCACTGTCAAATGCATTTCATGGCTTGGAATAGTGACAGAAAATGTAAAAATCAGTAAAAATTCCAAATACGCTACAAGAAGGGAAAGGAAATCAATCCAAATAACTTAATTTGTGCAAAAATATTTCTTCGTTGAAAAAAAAATCAAAATGTATATTATTTGTACTTCTCTATATACTTGATCACGCAAAGATTTTTTGCATCTGTTTGCGGTTCAGTATATTAGCATGTCATGGACAAGTCTTCATTGACACAAAAACTAGCTTGGACTTTGTTGCGAATCTCCTCGCAAGTGAAAATGTTCGGGCCCTGCGCATAAAAAAATCGTTTCCTTCCCCATCTCGCAATCTATTGTTTCTTTTCTACAAATTTTCTCATTTCCTCAACATTTGAATAATAATTACATCCAACTTAATACTAATATTTCAGCTACCTATTGGGTAGAAAGTGTGGTATTTTCAAGACATCACACACTCAGATCTACGAGTTTGGTGGAAAAAATCATGCAAGATGGCGTTTGTTCCGTTGTTAAAAAATCTCAGGCTTGTCATTTGTTCAGTTATCGGTAAGTAAAAAAATGTAAAATGTGGTGGTTTGAGTATTGCAATGTAAGAATTTCGAATCATGGCACCAGAATTGCTCAAAAACGAATTAGGCTTTGTAGCGGTCCATGGAACGAATTGCGCAGCAAAGGACGATTGAGAAGAGCAGGCCGAAGAGCTCCAAGGCAATGATGCCCACAAATATCAGCACAAATGTCGGTGTGTTGTCGACTTTCCACTGGAGAATTTTTGCGGTACAACCCTGTTCAGAGTAAAAATTATAGAATCCTTCAGGATAAGTATTTAAAATGTGCTTACTTCAGAGAAAATCGACACCTGCTTCAAAATGGCGCCAGTTAAAGGCCCCTTGATTTCGGTGGCCGCTTGGCACTCTTCAGATTCTGGGTCACCCGAGCAGCAACTAGTGGGCACCTTGTATGACTCAATGGCCGAACTGATCATAATCTCGAAGCCGCTGCTCGGATTTTTTTGGTTGAACGTGCTGAGGGCCCAGTCGGAAGGTCCTTTGGCTCCACAACATTCAAGCTGTTGAATTAATAAAATGTTAAAGATTTTCTTTAATTTGCATGAAAATGAAATCCGTACTCTTTGCTGCACTGTGTCGAATGTTCTTGCACGGGATGGACCATCGGTGTAGTCTCTCTTGACAGTTGTCATAACACTGTCCTCAATAAGAGCATCTAGACGGTCCTGGTGAGTGTACGCCCATGCTCCAGCTGCGATCTCAGCAACCAGGATGATCAATAGGAAGCAGAAGAACTGGTATAAATAAAATGTTAAATTAATATTCCAATTAGATAAAATAATTACAAAATTTTCACAATTTTTAGCTCAATCTAATAAATATAATTAAATCTTTGACAAATTTAACACATTTTGATTTGCAAATTTTAATCAATTTGACTTACAAAACTGTCTTATATTATTTGTTACTGCAATTATTAATTTTAGGTGTTTCAATTTTTTTATTTTTTTTATTTTGCAAAGAAATTTACTCACCAAAACCAGCATGCACTGAGATTCTCTGAAAGCGCCAGTGCATCCAAGAAAGCCGATTATGAACATCAGAGCACCAACGATCAGCAGGATGTACAGGGAGATGAAGTAGTTCTGCTCTTCGTCCAACAGGGACGTATACATCCGTGGGTCCACTATTAGCCATGTTGCCAGCCCCAGAATCGCCAAACCTGCCAACTGAAATTTCAAATCGATTAATTTTTATGATATAAAAAAAAATCATAATGCATCATGAATTGATATTAATTTTGTACAGAGGAAAAAAAGTAAAAAATAAATAAGATTCAAAAAATGCTTTAAAAAATAATTGTTTCAGTGTATTATCGTTAAGGTAAAATATGAATTTTTACTAAAATTCAAAGATAGTATAAATTTAAATTAATAACAATAATAAACGTTCATTATAAGCCCTGACTCTAGGTTGCAAATTTACCTTATTTTAAGTTTCAAAGTGGCCATTTCAACTCACTTCAATTGATGTATATATTATTTAGTTTTACATAAATAATTTTTTTTAAATACATAATGAAAATCATATCAATAAAAAGAAATTAATTAACTAAAATTTAATTAAAAGAAAAAAAGCTTTGACTCATTCGGTCATATAATGCTCTCTCTTCGACTGCCTGCCAATGGGAAAAAAGTCAGTGGTCGGGCATTGTACATAATGAGAGTCGAGACTTGACTCTAAAATACGTGAGTTGGGGGTGGGCGGATGTACCGAAATAACTGAATGGTTTGGTTTGTTTTTTTGCCAAGTGGTGTTTGTGATTGGTGTTCGATTATGACAAATTTTTGAATGCCGAATGCACTCCAAAATCACCCTCACTTAATTATACGAAATGAAAATCGCAATCGCAGTTTACGAACGTCAGCTGCACAAGATTTTTAGGTAAATTGAACGAGTTTATTGTGTTTAAATGTCTCACCCAGAAGACGAGGTTGACGATGACGACTATGTACTTCAACAGCCCGCAACATCCTCTTAGCGCCATTTCGCGGCGCCTCTCTGTTTTTCACTTTATGCTGGAGACAAAGAGTTTACTGTCGAGCAACGACGCGAACCCTTTAACTTGTAAAAGCGCAATTTGTACTCGATTTTCGGAAGAGAAACAATCAATGTGACGACGACGCCCAATAGTTTCTCTGGAGTCTGCACAGATGGACCACAGGGGAAGAGAAATTTGACACGCGCATGCGCAGCTTTATTATTTTTATCTTTTTTTTACTTTTTTTTGGAAATTTTGTGTCGATTTTGGGCTGTTTTAATTTTATTTATATGAATTTCATGAATCCGAAAAATTTTATATATTTATCAGGAAATTAAAAAAGGAAACACTATGATAAATAACAAGGAGATAAATAAATTTGAAAGGACCAAAAAAATCATTTCTCTTTACATTTGTGCTTTCCTTTTTAACCAAAAGAGGGCCAGCGGAGAAGAACTGCGGATAAACTGGAAACAAAAGGCGCTAAAAACTATACATTATGGGCCGGAAACGTCCAAAATGTGCGCGTGTTCCTTGCAATTATTGATATATTATACAAAAAAACGTGACGAGGTCTGGTTGGATTGGGACAAACGCTTATAGTCACAAAAACAATTATACAATCCCACACTGCCAATTTTCTGAATTATATGTACTTAAAATTTTTATTATATGCAAAAAATGTTTTTAGTAAAAATTTTGAAAACTAAATCCAATGATTATGATGTAAATGCAAAATTTATCAATTTCTCTTTGAATTTTAAATGATATATTGTAATGAAATGCAAAGTTGAAGAACGACTTCAATTTATTTTAATCTTAAATAATTTTCATCAATTATGGATATAAATTTATTACTTTTCAAAGTTTCGGATCACTTAAAATGCCCGGCGGACATAATTATGTTGCAGTGGGTTGCACTCGGTTGCAGTGGATCAAAAGGAGCCTGAAAGAGGCGAATTTAGGCAACCTGCTAGGTGCGTGTGTCAAGAATTTGCCTAGTGTGAAGGGGCTTCTGAAATATAGTTTTGCCACTAACAATTACGTTATTAATGATGAATGCTTATTTGAAATTTGAAACTCTCTTTATCTCTTTAAAAATAAAATTTTCATTATACTTCCTGAACAAAAATTTAATGATTTATTCAATAAATAAATTTAATTATGATTTTCAGAAACTTGTTAGTGTGCATGTGTTTTTTCTGTTCTAATTAGTGTAGAGTAGTGTTTTGTTTGTGTTGTAAAGATAGTAAGTTTGTAGGTCTGGCGCGAAATTCTGTCCTGTCTTGTTATAGTATATAATTGAAAGTAATAAACTTATCTTAAATTTTCTTTTATCACCCGCTTATTGAGAAAATTTGGAGGCGTAAAAAAGATGTAAAAAATACCTTCTAAATCACGTTCTAATTTCCTGAGAAAAAAAATAAGAAAAGGCTATCAAGTGACTTTATTTGTAGCTGTTTAAAAATTCAAATCAAGCAAACGTCGTCCAAGGACAGAAAATAAATTGGCAAAACCGCAAAAGCAGCTCCAAGATATGACAGGAGCAAGAGAGAGAGGGAGGGTGGGGTGTGGTCGCAAAATTTTGCTGCCGGAGTGAAATACTTTCAAAGGGAGTTTCCTTCTTACACGTTTATTTATCGAAACACTGCTTAATGGCAAGGCCGCATATTGATATATAAAAAGTAGCTGCAGCAAGTCGCCGGGGAGATGTGAGAGAGAAAAGGCTCACAGGCGACTTTCAAGGATAGCTGCTTTTTTCGTCCATAGTGCTTTTATATTCGATAGGCAATTTTGAAACTCGGATATATCGCGACACACCCTCTCGCCGGCATTTCCTGATTTTCATTACAATTTAATTACATATGCACGGAAAAAGCAACACACCACATTTTTATAGCAAATAGTTTTTTTATTACCTGTAAAAATGTTTATTTTCTTAATCTTTGGTGTGCCTTCATTATCTGTCGCATTTTTATTATCTGCGACTTCAATGTCAAGTTTACGCACTTGTCGGCGCTCTTTTGCGTCATGTTGACGGCTCGGATCTCATGTATGTTTGGGACAAATCCTTTTTAATACCGGTCATAATTATTGCAGAAATAGTCACTGCAAGGCGGAAGAAGTCTGAATTTGACCGTAAAATTTTCTGTCAAGAAAACACGGATATTGTTTGCGGTTTATTTCTATTATGAATAAAATCTATAATTGTGCATTTGTGCAAAATCCGCCACATTCTTCTAAATATATAGGCTTGCAAGCCACGCTCCTATCTGTTTCATATACTTTTGAGTCAACAGGCATAAAAAGAGAAATTAAAAAAAAGAGACACGAGCTTTCGCCTGCTTACTCTCTATATAGAAAATACCAAGGGAATGCTTTTTTCGGTTTTTTTTTTTCATATCTTTTACTAAAATATAAGATATAACTAAGGATATATTATAAAATTGTAAATTGCTAATAGACATGTCTTTTTTTAAGTATAATGAGAGAAATCTTGTACGCGCATCAAAACGTTTTATTACTGACTTATCCTTGCGTTGATAATTAATAATATAACCAAGTTTGTAATTTTTGATAAAGAAAATTTTTGATATCAAACAGCACTTAATAATTACATAGGCATACATATTTTGAATTTTTTCAGTTACCTTTCCCACATATAGAGTCCTTATCGAAAATCAAAATAAAAAATTCAGCAAGTAATAAAATCAATGAAATGAAAAAATTGCTATTAAATAGAGAATTAATAAAAAATTAGAGTACAGAGAAAAATTAGATTGCTTGAATAAAAAAAATTATCAATTTGGGTATCGATCCATACGAGTTTTTTAATTTGTTTGCCAGAGGCGTTTCTTTCTAATTTTGTGAAATTATATGTTTTGAACTTGATTTTTTTAAGAGCAATTAATAATAATTATACTTCTGGTGAAATTCGTAATAAAACCAAGGGCATTATAATGAAATTTATGGTGTAGTTTTTTTTATCCTAACGGTCCAGGAATCTATCCAGGAGACCTTATTGTTCCCCAAATTACAAACACGTATGAACCGCTGGAATTTATAAACATTATTTGATAATTTTTTTTATTATTTCGACTCAATTTTTTACGTTTCGTGCTCTCACCAGCTACGTGCCCGTTTTATACCGGGAGAGCGCGACGCGCGATTGGTGCGTTCTACGCTGGTGAGTACTGCTTAAGAGGCGCGATGAAAGCGAGGAAATATTTTAATCGGTATCGGCACGTCTGTGTAGTGCAGTCTGTCCGCGGACGTACCACGGAGTCTATCGTGTTGGTGAAATCAGCTTGAAAGTGATTAATTTGTTTGGGAACAACAACGTGAAAACAGAGGCAAGTTAAAACTAATAACAAAAATACCACAGAATAATTTACGAATTTAGTTTTAAATTAATAATTCTTTAAAATAATAAGTCATTTGTAATTTCACTGAATGACGATTTGCGAATTCTAGTCCACGCTTAGATTTTATTAATAACTATATCTTTGTTAAAGACAAAAATTTTTATTTTAATATTTGAGGTTTAATTCAATTTCCATTCAACGAAACTCGTCCCCTTCAAATAACAATTAATTGCACTCTTTGCAATTTGCAACTATCATAATTTGCCGATCAATATGGTACTTGTAATATAGAAAGGGAATGTATTGCTGGCATGACTTAATGATCGAGAAAGTAGTCGTAATCAACTCCGTGTTCAGCAGCGGTTTGATTGCCTAAAGTGGGTCAATTTTAGATTCTATACTTTTATATTGTTGCCACCTTTTAATGGATTTATTTGAAAAATCCTAAAAAAAGTACAAAGAAATGTGTTTTACCAGAAAATATGTTTACTTTTCACAAATCGAAAGTGAGACATTTTATAAATGTCAAGGAACGGCTTCACGTCTCAACTGTTGCATAAAAATTATTAAGTAATTAAGATCTGCTATGTAAAAGCAAGGTTGTCTCGTAGACCATAATACTTCCCAGCACTTCACGCATGATTAAAACTCCAGTAAATATAAATATAATAGCAACTGTGTAGATCGCAGGCGAGCGGAAAACGGCTTTTCACTTTCAATAACCATTGAACTGCATCAGCGACAGATAGAAAGTAAAAATCCGCTTTTGACAAAAGAGTTTATGCGCTCACACTTGAAAGTGCAGTGAGATATGCTTCATGATTGAAAATTAATATATCAATATTTGATTTGCAATAAGTTGAATTAAAGGTTCATTCCAAAGACTTGAAATAAGGTCTGGAGCCACAGTCTGTAAAAAAACCGCAATCAAAATTTAAAGAATATTCAATTTTCCCACTGAATGCTTTCAATAGGAGAAAATTTTATTTAAAAAATTATAAAAAGAAAATGTCGGTATGTTCAGGTAGCAAAAAATGTGATTTTCGCCTCAGTTTTAAATTTGGTATCAAAGGTAAGGCACGAAAATAAATAAAAATAAATTATTATATAATCTATAATTGTGTACTGGATTGATGGCTCCTGTTTTGTTTTTGTTGCAACATTTTAATATTTAAATTTTCTTACTGACCTCTCCCTTTCTCCTCCCGATGGTAAACAGAGGCAACACATAATAAAAATATTTATATTTTCAACCCCCAAGCAAAAAATAGCAAGCAATACAAAATTGTATTTGCTCTAGATTCAAAATGGTTTTTAACTTCAAATTTAATATTTTCTTTTCAAACAAATTATACCGGTCTGAATTCCAATTTTTGTAATTTATTTTTGGAAATAGAAAATTTTGTTTTGATCTAATGAAACTCTCTAAACACATATCTAATCCTTGAAAAATTTTAGCAGACGTAATTATTGGAGAAAACCAAAAACTACAAAGAGTCAAAATGATGAATGGAGCCGAACTGGAGATTTTAGAGGCTCGCCTCAGCTCTTTTGGTCAGCAGCATCTTCTACAATTCTGGCCACAACTTTCTCCTGCGGAAAGAAAGGAGCTCTTCGACGAGATCCTTAAGTAAGTAGTACTGATTGTAACCACTATGTTACTCACAAGAATGTAATAATTATTGATCATGAACTTGGAATTCTTGATTAAAATCTTGAAAAATATTGCAGTAATATAAGCTAAAAGAAAATATGACAAAAAAAAAACGATACCAGAGTCGAGATTATTTTGCACACACATGGGTTGGTCTCGAATTTTTTTAATAAATCATTATCTGGAGTGCGCCTCTTGTTGTACTTGCTGCAAGCGCAGTTTTTGTTTAAAAAATTTTTGTTGCAAATTGGGTTGTTTAATAATTGTGTACTTTAATCTGCTAGTTTTTGTGAGAATTTACAGAACAATGTTGATTGCATTAAAAGATTTCTAAACGTGTGTCAGATGAGATTAATGATCTAAAACGAAAACCGGCTTTGTTTTTTTTTGCGAAATAATATAAACGCGTAAATACTAAAAAAATTATAGCACAAGTTTATAATAAAGAAGCACATGGCAGGCTGGATGAACAATAATGATATTAAATTCACAATTGCATAAGCATTTTTCAGAAAACTAAAACTTAAATAAGCTTAAGTTTAAGAATAAATAACTTCCGCTCAAAATAAACAAATAAATGAGGAGACGCACTTTCCTAAGTTTCTAAATTATATCCTGCATTAATAATTTAATTAATAATGTGACTTTCCAAATTTTCATTAATTATTTTACAGTTTGAAATTGGAGGAGGTCACACAATTCTTCAAGCGCACCATGTCCTTCTCATCCACGGATCAGAAAAAACTCGACGATCGTTTGCAGCCGGTGGCCGACGATGTGTACGGCTCTGCGCTCAGAACGAATGAAGACAAACTTGAGCTTTACGAAAATATTGGTAAACAAATCTATATTATTTCAACTTGAAGACAACGGTGCATGAATTTTACTGCTCAAACAGGTCTGCGAGAAATCGCGAATGGCACCGTCGGCGTTCTCCTTCTTGCTGGGGGTCAAGGCACTCGGCTCGGAGTCAGCTACCCCAAGGGCATGTACAACGTTGGACTTCCATCGCAGAAGACGCTGTACCAAATTCAGGCCGAGCGCATTCGAAGACTCGAGACTCTTGCCTCAGAAAAATTCAATGGGATCAAGGGCAACGGAATCCCTTGGTAAGAATTTCTCACCTAAATGCAATTTTTTTTTTAAATTTATTCTTAAGGAATAAAAAAAATAGTAATTAGCAATAATTACTAGCTTCGAACAATAATTTACACAAAAAAATGCAAGATTGATTTTTTTTATTAATATATTATATTAAGTAAAAACGTTTGGTCAATAACTTCATTACTTTACATTTTCCATTAAAAACGTTTCTTGGAACCTTTGGAGGAAAGTCAAAGAATTAAAATAGCATCATAATTACTGTTTTAAATTCATTGTGATTTTGCACGCTGGTTCACTATTTATGTAACTTTTTCCTTCATTTAAGAAAAATTTTCCATATATATGAAACTACTTTTTACTCTCAAAAGGTACATTATGACAAGTGAGCACACTAAAGAACCAACCTTGGATTACTTTGCCAAGCACAACTACTTCGGGCTGAAACGAGAAAATCTGGTAGTGTTTGAGCAGGGCATGTTGCCTTGCTTCACATTCGATGGCAAAATCATCCTCGAGACTAAATCCAAAATCTCGAAATCCCCTGGTAAGAAGAAAATTATATAGAAAATCAAATTTAAAATTTCAAAAACTCCGCCGCAGACGGCAACGGGGGGTTGTACAGAGCCCTTCGTGAAAAGAAAATCCTGGACGACGTCGAAAGAAGAGGAATTCAGTATTTGCACGTCTACTGCGTGGACAACATTTTGGTGAAGATGGCTGACCCCGTCTTCATGGGATTCGCCATTAGCAAGGGTGCCGATTGTGCCGCCAAAGTAAGCCGAGTTTTTTTATTATTCAATTAATTAAATATTGATTTATTAAAAAAAAATGTTTCTAAATCTTAATTTGCAAATTTTTTTATTTCAATTTTATCCAGACTGTGGAGAAGACTTTCCCGGAAGAAGCGGTTGGTGTTGTGTGCAAAGTCGACGGAAAATATAGAGTTGTGGAATACAGTGAAATTACACTGAACACGGCCAAGAGGCGCAACGACGACGGCCGATTAACTTTCTCAGCCGGCAACATTTGCAACCATTTCTTTACGACGGAATTCCTTCGTAACATTATCGAGTATAATTTGAATTTTAAAAATTTCTTCTCAATAATTTTAATGAAAAAAATTCTCACAATAAAGCAACGAAGAAAACTCTCTGATGCACCACGTTGCCAAGAAAAAGATCCCGACAGTCGATGAAAATGGCAAAACCTTCGTTCCCAGCGCGCCCAACGGAATTAAAATGGAAAAATTCGTTTTTGACGTTTTCCAATGCTCCAAGTAATTTACAAAGAAACCAAAGCAAGAATGGTTAAATCAACTTGACTTTTCTTCAGGAATTTCGTCGTGTGGGACGTGGTGCGCGATGAAGAGTTCAGCCCATTGAAAAACGCCGACGGCGCGGCTAAGGACACGCCGACAACTGCCCGGCACGATCTCTACACACTGCACGAGCGGTTCCTTCGAAAAGCCGGTGCCGTATTTGTCAACAAGGACAAATCTATCATTCCTCCTCTGTAATTATCTTTATTAATTAAAAAAAAAAAAATCCAAAACTTAGAAAAAGAATCGACAAACTGAAACGAGCCCAAGCAATTTTTTTATATGATTGTGAATGTTGTCATGCACTTTCACTTATTACATTTCGTAACAATCTCGACAACACCACACTCCTTTGTTATTATTATCTATGACATTTTATAATATGGGTATTATATTTTCAGGTTGAATGGTCTCAACGGTACAACCAACGGCCAGGAAGCAAATAACAATGACATGTAAGTATATAAAAACCACAGCTTTCCTAAACTATATCCGCTCTATAATATCAGCAAAAAATTTCAACCTTTGTTTGAATTTGCACAAAAAATACACAAAATCTTAAAATGAAATATTAAAGAGTATCTTTTTTAGCACAAACAGAGGGTCAAATAAATTATTTTTCCCCCCAGTTTTTGTCTGTTAAAGTAAGTTTTTCCATAAATGTTTTAAATTTTATGGTTTTTCAAAAAAAAATTCTTTATAGTGCCAATTAAAAATATCTTTAGAAACTGTTAATTTCAATTTCGATTTCAAATAAATGTGTTTTGCAATTGCAATTTTTACAGAGAGAAATGTGGTATGAAGCGACCTGAGGTGATCGTTTGTGAGATCTCGCCTTTGGTATCGTACAGCGGAGAAAATCTGGAGCACTTTGTTGCTGGAAAAACTCTCTGTCAGCCGTTCACACTCAGGGCCCCGGAAGAGTAACCTTGATTTGAAGAACAGCGCAAAAAGGAGTGATCTTGACTTTTTACTAAGTGTGTGTGGTTAAAAAAAAAAAATATTTGGTAATTGCAAGTTGAAAGAAATGTCCGGTCGCGTGCAAGAGCTTCTTTTATAAGATTGATAAACGTGTAAATATTATGTAAATTTATTGGATTTTAAGTTCATTCTATTTTTGTAACAAATAAACTAAATGTTTACTTGATATGAGTGAAATGTTTATTTTATCTCATGAGTGTATGTTCTTGACTAACATAAAATAAAAATATATTATGAACTCCAATAAATAACAATGCTTTTCTTTAAACATAGATCAGAAAAATCATTCCATCCGAGAAAAGCATAAATTCTCTTTACACTTTAGGAAAAAATAATATAGAACTTTTGACATTATGACATAATTTTCTTTCAAAAATTAAAGGCTAAAAAAGGTTCTATTAAAAAAGACAGGCGCTTAATAAATCCATACCTTTTAGCTTAAGTGGGACATTTTAAATATTTATGTAAATAAAATTTAAAATTAGTTAAAAAAATAACCATCCTTATTTTTGTCCCGAGTTGCAATATCACCTCCCATGTTTTTATTTTATTTTTTTTTTTCCGGGAAAGTTATAATCTAATAATTAAAGTCAAAATATTATACTAACTGAAAGTTTTTAATGTTTAATTTTTTTTAAATGAAATTAAATAAAAATTTAAGGACAGCGTATATATGAAAAATTAATTGAAGTGAAGAAAAGGCGTACACTCTATTTCTTGAGCATGAAAAAATAAAAATAAATGTTGAAAATTTGGAAAATTACCTAAAATTGGGAAAACATCAATTTAAAATATTTAATAATACATTTTTTTTATACAGACGAAGGCTATGAAGTTCCAAGCTTCTTCACTCAAATTTAAATGTCCACATAATAGGTAAAAGTGTAAAACATAAAATTGTTCAAGATTACCCAAATTACCTTTTGTTGTCAAAGAAATGTAATTTAAATCTCGCTCACTTTCTGAATCCACGTTAAATTTCTTTTGGAAAATGAAAACGAAAACTACGCAACGCAGACACGACATTAACTCTACACAAAATAAATAAATAAAAAAACACTCATATTATTTATTTTATAAATTATAACTTATTGTTAGGTCACTATAGTCGCTCGTTGCAAAAGGTGCAATATCATGTTTCTTGACTATAATGCAAATTATTTTAAGTAGTATGACTGAAATTCACTGTATAGTTTTAAGGAGAAGTGCGTGATAATTCCAGTTTTTATACATAGAGTCACAATCGCAGACAACAGTTTATGTTTCCAAATCGCTTATCAATGGATCAGTGAAATTCCCGGCCATAAATACATATCTCTGGGTGAGAATTAAATTATCTTTGTTTTTAATGATTCAATTGTTTAAAAATTACATTTCTCAAAAAAATATGTTTTCGTTCGATAAAAATTCAAAATTTTTAAATATTTTCTAAATTAGGATTTTTTGTTTACTATTGTTAACTATATACAATAATATATATGTTATTGTGTAAAATAAAAATTACCGTGTGCAATGCGAAGGAACTGGAAAAGAGGGAAAGCGGCTGCTGCGTCCAATGCCGCGGACAACGGCGACAAGAAGATCTCTAGATCTACACGATCTCAACACCTGCAGTCAAGTCAAGTGTCCAACAACTCTGGGTTATCCGCAGCAGGAACTGAACTTGAACTGAATTACGGACGCAAAACACTTGCGGACTGCGGAGGTGCAGTGAGAATGAGAAAATGGAACAATTGAAAGACGGCCGCCGTTGGCGCACGGAACGGCGGCTTCTTATTGGCTAACTTCCTTTGGTTGGCCAGAATGAGGTTTTTGCCACATTCCCAACTGGACTGCAAATAGCTCGGCTCAAAACCGATTTGCCACCACCTGTGTTTTGATTTGAGAAAACATCTGTTTTGTTCAGCAGAGCTGAATTGACCTGATCTGTTGATCCTGATCGTGTTGTGCGACTGCAGAAGAAATGGCCGTACGAATTTTTCGCGAATTGGCATTGGCAAGAGCAAGTTCTGTGATAGGAAGAAGTAAGTTTACTTCAGGCAAATATAATACGAAGAAATTAATTTTTCTGTGCAATCAGCCATATATTCTTGCCAAAAATTTAATTATTACATAACACGCAAACAATAACACAACTATCACTTTATTCAAGGTCGTTTTGTTTTTTTAATTAAACACATATTCATTTTTTTCAGCGCAAAATCTATCAAGCTCTGCTTCTGCAGCAATTAAAGGTTTGTAATGACGATTGTCTAAATTTAAAAAAATCTGACTTTTAAGAATATTCTACATAATATACATGATCCAAATTTAATTATCAAATATTTAGGTTTTTTCCAGTTTTTTCGTTTTATTTTTTTTATCATAGATAAAAAAATGCAATAAATTTTAAATTATTTGCAGCCAAATTTGACTGGGAAGATGCTTTAAATTTGAATGCAAATTTGACTCAAGATGAAGTGATTGTTCGAGATTCGTTTCGCAGCTATTGCCAAGAAAAATTGATGCCCAGAGTCTTGTTGGCAAACAGAAATGAAGGTATAAATTTAAACTACTCTAATCAATTCCATTATTGTATCAAATGATATTTGTTATGTTGCTAAAATATAATATAGCAAACTAATATTTCAACTGTGTCTTCTTTTTTACAGTTTTCCATCGAGAAATTATGAGTGAAATGGGCCAACTTGGCGTTTTGGGCGCCACAATTAAGACTCACGGCTGTGCAGGTGTTTCTTCCGTAGCCTACGGTCTCTTGGCCAGGGAGATCGAACGAGTAGACAGCGGATACAGATCTGCTATGAGCGTGCAGTCGTCGCTCGTGATGCATCCCATTTATGCATACGGTACTGACAGCCAGAAGGACCGATTCTTGCCGAAACTTGGTATGCAGTTATTATTATTAAAAAAATAAAAGATTATTTTCTAAATTTCATTTGCACTGGAATTGGACGAATTAATTTTTTTAATCCTCCACATTTTGCAATTTTTTTAAATTTTTTCGGCTTTAATACTTTTTAAAATATCATTGTTTTTTATATAATGCTTTCTTTCTAGCCAAAGGTGAACTGGTCGGATGCTTCGGTCTAACAGAACCAAATCACGGAAGTGACCCAGCAGGCATGGAAACCCGTGCTAAATATGACAAAGAATCAAAAACTTATTTTCTAAGTGGCAGCAAAACTTGGTAAATATTAAACCAATAAACCTCTCACATAATAATTATGTTTACCTTACCATTAGGATCACTAACTCACCCATAGCCGATGTGTGCATTGTTTGGGCCAAGTGCGACGATAATCAAATCAGGGGCTTCATCGTCGAGAGAGGTTTTCCTGGATTGTCAACACCCAAAATTGAGGGAAAATTTTCTCTCCGAGCATCAATTACGGGAATGATTTTGATGGATCAGGTTCCTGTCCCAGAAGAAAACCTGCTTCCAAATGTTGCTGGCTTGAAGGTTGAATTAAAACATGTCAAGTTATAATAATCTTAATATGGAATTTTCTTCTAGGGTCCTTTCGGCTGTCTCAATAATGCTCGATATGGAATTGCTTGGGGTACAATGGGAGCAGCCGAATTCTGCCTCTCTGCAGCTCGGCAATATACTCTAGACCGCAAGCAATTCAATCGACCACTGGCAGCCAACCAAATTATGCAGTTGAAAATGGCTGATATGCTGACGGAAATCAGCATTGGATTGCAGGCATGCATTCAAGTTGGCCGACTCAAAGATGAGAATAAGTAAGATCTTCTTTACAAGTGATGAGACCTTTGCGGAACTTCAATTTTTTTAGGGCTACGCCTGAGATGATTTCCTTGATTAAGAGGAATTCCTGTGGGAAAGCGCTACAAATTGCTAGGGTTGCCCGAGACATGCTCGGCGGCAACGGAATTTCGGACGAGTATCACATTATTCGACATGTTATGAATCTCGAAGCTGTGAACACTTATGAAGGTACTATTGAAAATAAGATTTATAAATTGAAATAAAAAATATTTTTTTTTAGGGACACATGACATCCACGCTTTAATCCTCGGAAGAGCAATTACTGGGATTCCTGCATTTTAGCTTTAGAATGATGAAAGAATAAGCTCAAAATATATTATAATGATTCATATATTTTTATTCCTGTTATCAATTAAAATCGATACTGCTGTGCCAATATTTTTCTACATAAATTTATTTTTAACTAACTGGTTTGAATGAAATAAATAATCTTGAAAACATATGACGTTATTAATTTTGTACGGAGTGTAGAAATTTAAATAGAAGGAGAAAAATTATTTCCACCTTGAATGTGGCTGCAGACACTTTTACTAAATAGTTGATTTGCATTCACTGTTTTGGTCTCGCAATGGTAGCATCCAGGTGTTTGATTAGAGCATCTCTGTCCCTGAGCAGCTTCCAGATGGGCTCTTGTTCTTTCTTGGTCATGATTTTCCTCTTTATCTTATTTGCAACAATTTTCTTGTGCATTTCCACAAGCTGAAAGCAGATATTGTGAATTTAAATTTTACACAATCAACGCATGTTGTTTTACGATCAAACTATTTTTGCTCTCAATTAAATGTTAAGTTAATATATGTATACTTAAGTTTTTTTTACCTGAGCATCAATTTGGTGCAATTTTCTACGAATTTCTTGTCTGCCCATTTCTTCTGTGGCACATTTGAGAAGTCTTTGAAGTGATTTCACGTTGTGTTCATTGACTCTATTCATTTCCTCGTGGCACAATTTAAGCTCTTCAAAAATTTCATCGTCAGCTTCCTAAATGTAAAGAGTTGATATTTTAGCTAAATTAGTTTTTAGGGTACTTAAATTAAATAGAGCATAAAACTTTTATCTACTCTAGAAAAATGAGAAAAATTATATAAAATTTTCGTACATGCTGAAGTTCCTTGGGGTCAAAGAGATCCATTTCCATCAGTTCCTTCCTCATTCGTGATTCCAAACTGGCAGCTCCCGACAATGAGAGACCATTACTGATAGCTCTGAGCATTGTATCATCTAAATTGTAAAACTTATAATTCCGTCGACCAAGAAATTGATTAGCTTTTCACCTTTGCCAGAATCCAAACTGTGCTTCGACGAAGGTATGGGACCCTCTTCCAAAAGAGCGCTGACAATACGCTGTGTTATTGGCCCAGCAGCGGCAGCTCGAACACTGAAATTGAAAATAAAATTAAGTGTCAATTACCAGAGGATAACAAAAGAAATAGAAAATACTTGAGCTTTTCTGCCTTTTTAAGGTAAAGTTCGTTGTGAGCTGCTTTTGTCTTGCCCGGTGGATTGGCATCTTGAGTCACTTCCTCGTCGATCCACAGGGCCGAGTAGTGTTTACCAAGAGGTGGGATGTTCAAAGCACTTGCTTGGTTTGCATTTGCGCTGATCAAGTCTTTCAAGACCTGGGTATTTGATTTTGAGAATTGATTACATTTTAAATTTTAGTTGCTTACTTGAATGTCAGCTGTGGTGATTTCTGAGCAGTATGGCTCAACTGATGCCCAAAACTTGTTGGGAACGTCATTCTTAGGGTCAGATACATTCACCTCTACTTTAGGAAGTGCATCTATATCAATATCAGGTACTTGGAACTGGAAAATTGTGACAAAACTTAAATTTTTGGAAATTTTAACACAAATAACAATAAAAAATTAATAATCAATGAAGAGTGAAATTTGTAGGAATAGGTAGATTTTCTTGACGATCAGCAGAATTATGATAATTACATTTGATGGAGCTAATGTTGCAGGTGGATTTTTGACTTTAGTAAACTTAATGGGCAGAGGGCTCTGTGTCTCTGTAGATTTGCTACCAGATTCTCTAGACCTTTTGCTTGGTACCTCGTCCTTGAGCTTTGAACCACTTTTCTTGACCTATAGACAGAATTTGTTGTACCCTAATTTTCCAGGTTAGATAAAGATTATTACTGTTTTCACAATCCTTGACTTCTTGTCCTTCTTCTCCTCCTGGTTCTCCATAGTTCCAACTTCACCTTGGAGGGCTCTGATGCGTACGGCGGCTGCTGACAGCAGGACCTCAAGCTCAAGCTGCAGGGTGTCCAAATCTTCCATACTAATGCCTTCTTTTTCACTACGTCCAAGAACTGGTAAAGCAAAATGAATGGTTTAAAAATCAAGCTAAAATTAAAAAGGTTAATTTAACGTACTGGCTGTGTATCGAGGCAAGGTCTTAGCATTGTCACTGATTTTTACAAGCGGAAATGACAAGGTGGCCTCCTTGCTGTCCGGTGAGTCGGACGATGAGTACATCATCGATGTTGAGGCCAAAGGAGAGTTGGGGACTACTTCGGGTTGCTTTTTCCCTTCCGGAGATGACTGCTGTTTTGACCCAGGCTTTCCTGACTTTCTGACTCCTCGACTGCTCATTTTTCGTGCAATAACTTGGGGTAAGGTTAAAAATAACGCTCGTCAAACGAAGAATGTTCCTGTCACAATCAGTTCTTCTCTGGTTTCTCTTTTCTTCCTTCTTCCTCTCTCTTCACTTTTGTTATTTGTTCTGTTCTTTTGTTGTTGTTTTCAAAACAAACCCGGCTGACGTCACACAGGCTCCATGACAGATTTTCATAAATGAAAATGATATGGGTCCTGAGGCCAGGTGGCAGCACCAGGCGAGCCGTGGGGTCACACTTTTCCATTCTTGCATTTTGAATGTTGCTATAAAGTTGCAAATCTGGTCCTTTACCACTTATGGTCCGCGTCCGTAAAAACGTATGATTACATATATTTTGAAAGGAAGTGGGCTGTAAATCCTGCTTTTGGCCAGAAGTGCGAATTTACCATACAAATGCCCAGCCCCGAGCGCCGACACACAGCAACCAAAAAGGATTTCCTTGCCACAACAAACTGAACAAACCGGAACAAACATCGACTTTCTTTAAATTTCAGATTAAATTACGAGACTATTCAGGTTTCGCAGGTAGACTTTGGTGTTATATCTTGCCGTTTTTCCAACTCTATAAAATCTATAATTTTTTTTCAGAAGGCCAAGCGTCGAAAACAAGACTTCGTCGGTAAACATTGACTGCAAAAATTTTTGCACTTTGCAGTTGATAGGTCTCGGTCATAGAATTTGACGTTACACCTTAAAAAAATGGCTTTTAACTTGTCAATCTTCACCCTTAATTGTTGGTAAGTAATGAAAAATTTTAATGAATAAAAAAGTGAACTTTTCCGCAGATTTTTTTAAGAATATGTACATAATTAAACATTAACTTGTGTAATTTTATTACTGAATCCATAATTATTCAATATTATAATTACTTATATTTAATAATTTCAATTTATTATTCAGTAATATTTTGCTGAGTCTCAATGACTTGCTTTGTTTATAAATTGACTGCTATGTATTTTTTTTTATGATTTTTCCTGTGATAATTTAAAATGAAAAAACTGAATTAATTAATTTTCCTTATTTAGGGGCATCCCTTTTTTATCCAAAGATGTGCCAGTGCGAATGAATGCTATAGCCAATTTTCTGGCGCAGTGTTCGTTTGATGTAATCTGTTTGCAAGAAGTCTGGTCCAATTCCGACTACGAACTCATCAAGAACAGAGTACAAGACAATCTTCCTTATTCTCACTATTTTCACAGGTGCGACAATTGAATTTTCTTGATCAAAAAACATGAAAAAACTTTTAAACCAAAACAAAATATAAGCAAATTAGAAGTTTTCATAAAATTAAAAAAAATTTCAGCGGTGTCATAGGCTCCGGACTTTGCATTTTCTCCCGATACCCAATAATCGACAGTCTGTTCCATCAGTGGGCTGTCAATGGGTATGTTCACAAGATTCAGCATGGCGATTGGTTTGGTGGCAAGGGAGTTGGTCTCTGTCGAATCCTAGTCGGAGAACATCACGTCAATGTTTACACTGCACATGTAAGTGTTTAAAAGTTTATTTACCAAATGAATTTTAATGGGTAAAATAATTTGCAAGTTTTTTTGTCGAAAAAATATATATTTTGACCCTCTTCATCCATATTAGATTGATTTTTAAATTTGATAGTTTGTGCTGTAAAATTTATTTTTGGTTATTGTAAGTTATTCTTCTTTTAGTTGCATGCCGAATACGACCGTGAGAATGATGAATATTTGGCTCATCGAGTTGTTCAAGCCTTTGACACAGCCCAATTCATTAAGTTGTCAAGTTCACCTCACGAAATCAGTGTGGTTGCCGGCGATCTGAATACCGAGCCGTACGACAATGCATTCCACATCATTAAGCATGTGCCTGGCCTGCATGATTGCCAAGACTATGTAAGGCAAATCTATCATAAGTTTTTTTAATGTCATTATGACGAGAGAAATAATTTTTGCAGAAAAGTGAGGAACTAATGACAAACGAGGCTAAGAGCAATAATTACCGGCTAATGACGGCTGCATCGCCCACCGCACCAGGAAAAAGGATCGACTTTATTCTTTTTAAGCCACCCCAAGGGGTTTCGGTTGATGTGAGAGATTTTGGATACGCATTGCCAGGCAAAGTCGAAGGCACAGATTTGAGCTATTCGGACCACGAGGCACTGCTTGCAGTTCTATCAATTAACTTTTCAATGAAAAGTGATGATAATAAAGGTATAAATTTTTAAATAGTTTAGATGTTCGCCTTATTTAAATTTAGTAACCAAATTAGTTGGTATAGATAAAAGTTTTGTTTTCGTATTTAAATCCAATTTCTTTGATATTTTTCTAATTTTGATCATTTTACAGTAAGCGAGGTGCAAACTTTAAGAGTAAATGCTCTTGAAAAAGCCATCAATGTATGTGAAGAGGCGTTGCACGATCTAAAACAGAAGCAACTTCGCCTGACCTATGGTGTTGTTTTTACTTTGCTGGCGCTCTTGGCAACACACATCCTCCTTCCGAAGTTGCTGCCTGATGGACCTTTGGCTACTGGTTTCAACGTCGTCCTGCACCTCTCTTTATTGCTGACAGAAGTCTTTTTGCTGTTCATGATCACTATTTGGCACAGGATGGAGGTGAACGGTATAAACGCAGGAAAACTGGGTATGCAGCTCACATTAGACAAGCTCATTAATGCCTAAATTATTGACTATGGCAAGAATCATATTTAACTGAAAAAGACGAGGGTCTCATACGAATGCTCGTATGCATCTTGTGGATGCAAGAGGCAAACATGCATTATAAATATATTGCTATATTTTTTCTTTTCAATTACTGCTCTCAATGATGACAATCTGTGTCCGAGCTACATGTCAGACCAAGACCCTCTTGTTAGTAAACCAGTGCCCCCTTTTCTCGTAGTGCAGAAGACATCAAACCTTTTTTTTCCGTTTATATTACAGTGTTGGAAATTGGTGAGATATGCTGTGAACGAAAATTCATGCAATGAATTTATAATTATTGCGGACAAGAATATTTTTAAGCGTGTCAGATGATACAATAATTTTGAGGGGAATTAGAAGTTTGCTGAGTTAAAAAGAAAAACAGGCTAAAGTTAAAGAAAGAGTGGATTATTTTGCTGATCAAGCTTGCACAAAAGATTTTTCTTCTCCAATCTGCGGTGAATTATTATTAATCGAGAGCTTAAATATATATTCGAAAAGAGAAATAAAGGCAAAATTTAAAGTAAGTTTTGTAGATAAATATAATATATTATTTTCATAATCAAATTTGAGAATTGAAGTGATCTGCTGAATGCAAAGTGGCTTCAAATGGAGAAGAATCTTTTTTCAAGTCACCATCTAAAAAAAAATTTATTCACGTGGTTTTTTTCCTTTCAGTAATTATACTCATTGTGAGTAATATAATTTCAAAAATTTCTAATTTTTGTTAACAAGAAGAAGAAAGCTTTAGCTTGTCACGATATTATTAAAAGATAAAAAAAAATTGCACATGTTGAGCAAAAAGCAAGCATATTTTCTGATGGTAACAAAAAAGAGGTGCACACAATGTTGTTGTTTTGCCATGTCTCTTTCATGTGTTAAATCGGTTGAATCGATCGAATGAAAAAAATATATAATAAAAATGCACCATAGCAGTGCTGCGGTGGTTTGGTTGTAAATGTAATCAACTACAAGTTTTCATGAAAAAGTCTTCTATTCTTCTGTTTGTGCTTACGTTTATGCTCAAAAGAATAGGATACCGCCTGTAAACAAAATGTTTCTTGCTATATATTTTATTTGAACACTTTTTATGCTGCCCAACATAAAGCCAAGACAAAGATCCCGCTCCAAACAAGTATATCGTAAGACTTAATCTTACAGTTAGACGCCTTGTGTGTGTTATTTGTTATGCTTTAAATTTATGTGATAATAGTAATTTTAAATCAAAAGATTTTAATTTATATAAGTATCGAGTAATTTGAAAATAATGGCATACAGGTAGAGGAAAGAGAATTTCAGCAATATTTAAAACACTTGTAAGTGCTTGCACACAGATATACACCTGCTTACATTTAGACTGAAGCATTTTATTTTCTGAAGTCTATCAAATTTTGTGTGATTGCAACTGTGTACCTTTTGTACAATTTTTATATTTCGCCATAGAAATAAGTTAAATCTCAACTTGTTTGTCAGCACAAAAGAGATACGTGTTTTATGTTAAAAAATATTTTTGAGAAATAGATTAAGGCGTTATCAAAAATTATAGCTTTGCTACTAGATGTCTCAACGAGTTAAATATAAAAATATTAGAAAAAAATTGTTTTAGCTTGTGGATTTGTTTTTTTAATTTCACGTGAAATTTTTTGACATAAAATTACGAAACGATGATATTTGATATCATCGAGGAGGAAAGAACTCTTCTATTAACAGACGCGTCAGTCTTCATCAGGAGCGCGAATTCATTTTACTTATCTTTGTTTCAAATGTTGGGACTCAAGAATTCTAAAGCACATGACTTGTATGGATAGTTAAAGGTTTTTATTAAATAATCAATTGTTCTTTTTCATTTTTATACACGTGCATATATGTTAATTATTGGTTGTTGAATTATTCAGTTTGTGAAAAATAAATATAGTTACATTAAATTTGGCTCAGATTAATTATAATTACCAATATTAATATTTTTTTGCAAATTAGAGCCCATTATTATATTATTCTGATTTGATTCTAAAACGTACTAAATTATTTTATTGTCCAGTGTGTGTTAATATTCAGCACGTCATTTCTCCCCAAATCCTATTCTCCTCTTTTGGTTCGGATGTAATAAATTAATTTTGGAGTTTATTGCTTTGGCAAAAGTTATTCTGCACATGGAGTGGGGGAAAGGGAAACCTTGCAGCGGCACCTTATTCCCTGTCCACTTTCTTATTTCTATATTCATATAGCTCTTGCTTGAGCCAGTCGGTGTTGGTGTTTTCTCACTGTCGTACCGTACAGGCAAGAAGGTGTGCTGCTGTTCGTCTTTCAGCGTTGACAAAATACCCTCCTCAATAATTAACATTCACAAAACACTAGTCGGTGGCATTTCGTAGGATTCAGCCGCGATAGATAGGCAACCTGTGTGTCACCCCAACAGAGTCTTTATTCAAATACAAATCCTCGATTTTTTTTTCGCCACTGGGTTTGAGTAATTTCCGAGTGTAATAAGTCGACTGTCAGCTGCACAGATGGGAACCACTGACGGGTGAAGTTTCTTGCTTGTGATGTCGCAGCAAAGCCGCAGGCAACTTGTGTTTTGGCCGCGTGTCGGAGGCCGCCAAATGTCTTTCTGGGATGGTTCGCACCTCAGTCTTGCGGACGACTCACCCTCACGCACGCCCGCAGATGAGGGAAGTGACCCCGAGAGCGAATCCCAGTTCTACGACACAATCGACAGTGAGTTCAAATTAATTGGCATTGTATTATGAATGTAATGAATTAAAATGTCTCATTACGTAATAATTCCCATTTATACAAAGCCCAAGCAAAATTTCAGCAAACATTTGATTGCGTTTTCATATTAATTAGAAAAAAATAGAACAAATTAATTTTAAAGCGAAGTTGAATCCTTTTTTTATATATGATTTACAAAAAAAGAATAATATCAAATTTTTCGAAATTTTCTAAAAAAAAAAAACATTTTCTTGCGGATATAAGAACAATTCAAAGAAGCGTTTCCATCTAAAATATTATGGATTTTCTGGATATAAAATTAATGCTGATATGAAGAATTTTTATTAAAATATAATTTTTTACTATCCGCGAGTGGCCGAGTGCGCATTCATGTGAATACGAGTTTTCAGTAAACCTGTTTTTTCCTTGCTTTAAATAGTAAATTAAATATGAAATAAAAATCTCAATCTATTCAATTATTCCAATTATTGTTTTTTTTTATTTTAGTCAGGAGAGTGTTGGGATTTCTACACGGAGAGACTCTGTGTCCGATCATACTTCAATTTTATACGATCTGATCGCCTAAAAACGACACAGTGAAAAAAATCGTACAGCGTTTACGATCTACTGATCGGACAGAGCGTGCAAGCTGGATTGTATAGCGCGTTCGGCGTGCTCGCATAAGCTATACGAGCCAAAGTCTACTATTTTGTCCGATCAGAGATCGGACAAAACAGCATAGCACTCAATCGGCTGCTCTTTACGATCTTTGATCGGACAAACTAGAGGATCTTTGCTTGTATAAGCTTTACAATTTAGATCTTCTGTTATTATTTTTATTTTTCATTTCATATTTATTTTTATTTTAGGAATTCAAGTTATTAACAAAAACAAGTTCAAATAGAGTTTCATATTTTTTATTTAGGAGTACAAAGTACAGAATATAAAATTTATTTGTTATACATAGTCAAAAATCAAATTAACAAATAATTAATGGCACAAAAGTTTGACAAGTTTCTTCAGCTTGTCGTCATGCTCAAGAATTTTATGTGACGTATTATTAGTCTCTTTTACAATAAATTTAAAAAAAATGCTACTCTGGCTCATTTTTTATGCTATTCAATTCTGGCATAATTCCTTTAAATTTAACAATATCATATCAAGCTAAATTTGCGGAATTCAAATTTCAAAGAAAGAAAATGGACTCATCACTCTTAAAAGGTTGATCCTCAGTTTTAGTATCCTGGTGGGATGAAATTTTGATGTTGTCCATCCCGGCCGGATGCAGTTTGGTTCTTGTGGTTTGCGAATCAGTGAAAATTTCTGCAACATTTGAAATTGACAAATTAAATTGCTATAATGATCATTTTAGGCATTGCTGTACCAAAGCATTTATGAATTAATTTCCTAATAGAAATGCAAACAAGAAGACACCTCACCTTTTTTAAAGTTAGTTTCTTTGAGCATTCTTGTTCCAATTTTGAGCCGCTGCGTAGCACTGCATTCAGGGAGGACTCATAGCTTGGCAGCAGCTGAATTAACTCATGAGATTTTTCTGAAAACACAGATGGAAATCGAATTTCAAATACAAGACCTTTTAATTCAATGTGTTTTAATTTACCTTCAGTGCGTGGAATTTGAATTCGATCTCAGGGGCAGTTTTCTTTTTAAATTGTTTGAAATTTTACAAACAGGAGCAATACATCCGCACAGGTCCAGGTCTTCTCTCCAACTGACGCCAAGCCAAAGTTTTGGAGGGAAGCTTCGTAAAAACGACCGTTGGCTATTTTTGAAAAGGAATTTCTCGAAAGTTGCTGATAAACAAGCACGGTTCTCTTAGGCGCGTTCCGATCAGACCAGAAATTTTGTCTGATCGCTGATCGGACACTCCGTTCATTCACGCTGATCGTCTCATGTAGAAGAACTGGGTCGCATATTTTGTCCGATCAGTGATTGTAAGGACTATTCTTTACGATCTAGATCGGACAATTTATACAATCACTTTTAGGTGATCAAAAATCTTACTTTACTTCCGATCAGATCGGATACATTATACGATTGATCGGAAGGTTTTGCTCCATACGATCACGCTCGGACATCCAGTCTCTCCGTGTATGATGAATGCAGATCTGCAGATGAATGAAAATATCAAGAGATTATAACTCTACAAAACAGTACAAAAATCTCTTGCGTTTTATATAATTTCAAAGATGCAAAAAAAAAAAACTTTCATCTTACAATTTATGAAAATAATAAAATAAACTTAGTTAGAATAAATTAGGGAACCATTGTGATGCAGGCACGGATTAATTTTACGAATCATTTCAGTGAGTTTTAAAAATTACGATTTTTCTAATAATTTATAATATTAATTTTTATTAAATAATTCCTGCTTGCATCCGTTTTGCTACTTAAATAAAACCTAAGCAAAAATCATTGATCAATATTAATTTTAATTATCTATGTTGTTGCAAAAAAAATTAACTATTAATTTAATTTGCTACGCGCATTTCTTGATATTAAAATTCCAAGGCTACATATTATGGCTGCGAATTATAATATTCACAGAAAGATACAGAAAATGTGTGTGGATAGAATAATCCCGAGCTTGTGTTGGCAGAGGATTGAATTCGCTTTCAAGGATCGAGTCACGTGCATATTGATTCAGGCCGACCAGCGACTTGGCAGGTGAGGTGAGCCGGCCAGTCTGGTCGGCCCAACACTCAATCTGCACACGGACTGTGGCGAGGTTCGTACTATTTTGCAAAGCGCGTCGCACATTCCTATTTTGGCTTGACAAAAACGCCGCTGCTTTATTTCAAAATTTCGAAAAATTTACTATAGCATTTAAGAATCAATTTTCTGCATATCGCTCTCAACGCGTTTGCGCGCAGATTCTATTTCTCCGATTTTGTATAAATACTTTACTTTTTATAGCGCATTTTAGCTTTTAATCCTTGACCAGCAACAGAGGCCGTGAAGGGACACACTTAACAGTAACAGGTTCTGCTGGAACCAGCATTTTGTGTCCCAATATGAGTAAAATTCAACAGCGCCGCAGCTTTATTATAATAAGAGAGGAGATAATATATTAAATTAACAGAGTGAACCGCAACCCTTTACTCTCTGGCAGTTTTTTTATTGCATTTTAATATATCTGGTTTCATTTCAATAAAAAAAATTGCTCTTAATTTTTTTCAATATTGGCAATAAAAAAAAATACTGATGAGTGAAATCATTCTTGTGAATTATTATTCTTGAATTTTGTTTGTTCTCTAGCAAAAATAAATATATACGCATTTTGAAGACGACGCATCAGATTGGGCTGTATGTGCTTTTATTTTGCAACAGAAATTTGTTATTTATAATCCACGATTTTAAAAGAGAGGAAGGTTTCTAGTTTTTACTTGATTATTGCAATTTCAATTTCAAATCTTTTGATTCTGAACAACTTGAACAATGAGTACTTCTTGATTTGTTTGTGCTTCCAAATTATGTTGATCATCGGAGAAATAATTATTGTGATATATAAGTGTTTACAGATAAATATTTATCTATTCAAATTCTATTCCATTTAAGTGAGTCATCCCCACATGCTTTCAGAGTTCCACACAATGCCGGAGAAGTTGTTCAAAGTGATCATTATTGGAGACCCGACAGTAGGAAAGACATCCTTCGTACAACGCTATGTTCAGGATACATTCAAGAGGGATTATAAAGGCACCGTCGGAGTTGATTTCGCGCTCAAAATACTTCACTGGCCCGACACGCAAACTATTAAGCTGCAGCTGTGGGACATCGCAGGTATATAATTAAATTATATATTTATTTTTTACTAATCAATTTAAATAATGAAATATTTCCTTTTAATTTTATATTCAATTTTACAGGACAGGAGAGGTTCACATGGATGACTCGAGTGTATTACAAGGATGCGCACGGCTGTGTGATAATGTTCGATTTGAGCAACAAAAACTCGTTCCTTAACTCTTTAAAATGGAAGAAGGATGTCGACTCAAAATGCACACTTCCTGACGGCAGTCCCATACCTTGTATGTTACTGGCAAATAAGGTAACGAAAGAAAAACAATGTATTATGCATTTGCATAAGGCAGAAACGGGACTGGCAATTGCACTAAAATTATTATTTTAAATAAAAAATTGAATTTTATTTTTCTAGTGCGATTTGCCAAACCGGCAAGTGGATCAAATGGAAATCGAATCATTTTACAAGGAAAATAATTTCATTGGGTGGACCGAGACTTCGGCAAAAGAGGGTCTGATGGTGCATGATTCGATGAGGTGTGTTGTCATTTTTGCGTTGAGAAATTTAATCTTTATAATTAATTCTTTTGACTCGATATTATTTTTTTGTAGATTCCTCGTGGATGTTATGATGCGGCAAGATGGGGGAAATGGGCTAGAAAACTACTCTGGAAGTTTAACTTTAAAGAATTCCGCTCATCCGCAAAAAAAGAGTTGTCCTTGTTGATATTGATATAGTGAAGATATTTTGTTTTCAACTTCATATAAGTCACTCTCATTCCTGTATAAGAGTATAAAACAAATCCATAATTCATCTTAATAAATAATATTAGGTTTTTCGCCGCACGAAAAATGTATTTAATTTCTTAGCCGTTTTTGGTTCAACAAAAAAAGATTTAAAAAAAAAATTAATAAATTTTTTTATATTTGAAACAAAATATCCAAGGAATGATTATTTTTACAATTAGTGTTCCATGAGTATTGGTAATGAAATTAGTACGTCAGTTACGTCACCATAGTTATATGTATAAAAAATTAAATTTTATTTTATCCTGATTTTATCTAAATTTGTTTTCACTGTTCAAAAAGCAACGGATTAATGTTAATTCCATTTATACTTAGTTTTTAAAAATTCATATATACGATATATACTGTTTTGTAAGAGTAAAAAGATAAAAGTCAAATCAAGGATAATTCAACATTAAAATTTCGAAAATTTCGCTATAGTTCAGCTTTCGCGCCCAAACCGTAAATATAAAGAGTTGAAAACTTTCGCCCAATCATTTGTCATGTTGAAAAAACACGATCATTGAAATGAAAATCAATGAACAGGAGCTTCTCGGTGGGCTAATTGCCGAACATCTTTGGCCCTCTCTGATTGGCTATCGCGTATCAACAGCATGGGCCGCTCATCGACTGCAGCGCCATTTGTACTACTTTCGTTAACCTGAGATTTCTTGACTCTTGTTGTTCATCAACCCTCCCCGTTACGCCCCTTTCATGGTACGCCTCTGGACCTACGGACACCCAGGAATCGCTCTGATTGTGAGTAATTTTAATCATCACGACTCAACTATTTAGGTGACTTTCTCTGGTTCATTCTGACTTCATTGACGAACCTTTCTTTTAAAACGGGCTCGGGTGAACGAAAAACCATTATCAATAGAAATTACCTAGGATTATTGCTTTATCGAAGCATACGTTGTGGAAATCTTTTGAAGCACTAGACATGAAGTATGTGTCTCTGCACTAATATATCTATATGGCAATCTTTATATTTTTTATTCGTTCTTCGTTCTTTGATGTTTGATAGTTCAACATAGCCACATGCGAAATTAATTGTGATTTCATATATTTATCTGTTAGCAGAATCGGTGATAGAAAAATTGATTGTTATTTTTTACATTTCTACCCTCTTCAAAAAATATGAGACATTTAATTGATATGTATTTTCCTTCTCTAAATTCACTCGGTCAGTTAAAAGTGCATAATTATGTTAATTACATTTAATTGAAATGAAGATAAAATTAAATGTCAACGATTTAGTATACAAGCTTTTCTTGATTTTTCCGCAGCAATCGTCTCGCAGTGCAATGAGGAAAAACCTACACTGAACTTATTGCGAGTTATTTGCCTCTGCAACAGAAGTTTTGTGCCCAGGAGAAGTCATTAACAAGGTAATGCTCACAAAATTAAATTACTTGTTAATTAATGATAGAGTACATTGTTTATTTACTGAAGTGTTTTTGATTTTTCAGAAAAGAAATGTCAAGTGATTCGCCCACAAGAGAGGATGTCGAGGCCAGCAAGAACAAGGTGGACAATAAAGAGTGTGGAGTGTGCGGCGACAAAGCCTTTGGTTACAATTTCAACGCTGTCACATGTGAATCTTGCAAGGCTTTTTTCCGAAGAAATGCCTTGAAAAATAAGGTAAATTTCAATGTTTTGGTGGTTTATGAATTCCGACTCTCATGGAAAATTTTCCTCATTTGTTTAAACTCGTGTTAAAACTGTTAAAATAAATAAAACCAATCAAATTTTTGGAGTGGTTTCACCATTTTTTTTTTTTAAAATCTGCTATTGCAGAAAGTACAAAACTAAGCGCTTATTAACAAAATACTTACTGATCAAAATTTTCCCTTGCGTCTTCTTAAAGGAATTCAGGTGCCCCTTTACTGGAAATTGCAGCATCACGGCAGTCACCAGACGATTCTGCCAGAAGTGTCGACTGCAGAAATGTATCGACATTGGTATGAGAAAGGACTGGATTATGTCCGACGAGGACAAACAGCTGAAGAAGATCAAAATCGAGCAAAACAGGGCAAAAAGACGAGACAGCCGAGGAAAGATGTTGGATTGTATTAGGCCAACAAAGGTACATAAATACAGTAAAAGTATTTAAAAAAAAAGTAAATTTAAAAACACATTAATTTGTTCACAAGGGAAAGGCAAATTTTTCACTACAATAGTCCTCTTGAATGCACAATTTTTCTCATATTATGAGTTATATTAATTGAATTTTATATGCTCAAATCCCTCTAATGTTAATTCTTGACCACCATGTAGCAACAATTGTGATTAATATTCCTTTCACGTTTTTAGGTTATGAAGCTAGATGAAGAAGAGGACACCGGAGGCCTGCCTGAGAGCCCCTCGACTACCTCGTTTTATCCCTCCAGTCCATCAAGCTCTTCATCTTCCGTAGCTGTGAGTGTCATCACCTCACCCCAACCACGGCTCGAGGCTGCCGAAGGAGCCTTACCTGTTCCTGCTCAGCCCATTGCAGGGGCCAGAGAATCTGTGTGCGCTCTGCCCCTACTCTCGTCACTAATCGGGCCTTCGTCGGGGGAAAACTTGTCTTCCGACTCAGCCGATGTACATGATGCAAGGGGCAGTGGGTCATCTTTAGAGGAAGAGTCGAACATCAAATTTGAGCCGCTTTCACCACCTGGTTTGCCGCCGTTGCCAACTGCTTTTTTGGCAATTCCATCACCAAAGAGCACCGTGTGTTCATTTAATGGTGGTGACAATCAGACGGAGGAAAACTCGGATGCTTTCATGCCGTCAGCAAGGTTTGTAGAATTTATTTATTTGTCCGATTAATTAATTCTTACTGTCATCACAGCATGAATATTTGTGAGCCAAACTCTATTGAGTCGATACTGAGTGAGGCCATAAAACTTGAGTTTGAAGCTTATGGTGCCCGAGCTGCAGCTAACAACAACCGCCCGCTTAATGAGTCTGAGCGAGCCAAACTAAACGAACTTGTATTGGCTAACAAAGCCCTGTTGGCTCCATTGGACGACGACCTAAATGCTCTTGTTGGAGAAGACTCCAAATTCAATGTAGGTCATCCTCCACAAGTATTATAAAATGATTGCACCAATACTTTTTATTTTAGGACGGGCAGGGTCCTATGCTGCTAGATGTCATAAACTTGACTGCAATTGCGATTCGAAGGTTGATCAAAATGGCCAAAAAGATCAGCGCCTTCAAAAATATGTGCCAAGAAGACCAAGTAGCTCTGCTGAAAGGTGGCTGCACTGAAATGATGATCCTTCGAAGTGCCATGACTTATGATCCTGATAATGCTGCATGGAAGGTATATATTTTTCTGCTAGAAAAGTGTTTTAAGTACCAATTTTAAATTCTTAGTTAGGAAATTACAAATGCTCATTGATGAAAAATTAAATTTTTTTTACACTTAATCTCAGACTCTGACTCCAACGGGAATTTTTATTACAAATTATATTTTATTAAATATTAATCTCTTTACAGATACCTCATAGTCAAGAGCGTCTAAATGTTAGAGTTGACGTTCTAAAGGAGGCAAGAGGCAACATTTACCAGGAGCACCAGCGCTTTTTACAAACCTTTGATGCTGCCTGGCGTAACGACGAAAGCATAATGTTGCTTTTAGGTGCCATCACGCTGTTCACCCCAGATAGGGCTAATGTGGTCCACCAGGACGTTATCAAACTTGAACAGGTAGGGCCAGTAGATGAAGCAAATCCTTTGTTTTGATTACATTTATTTTAAATTGAGCACAAGATTTAACAAATGATTCATAATTTTTCAGAATTCCTACTACTACCTATTGAGGCGATATCTTGAAAGCAAATTTCAAGGCTGCGAGGCAAGGTCTGTCTTCTTGAAACTTATCCAGAAGATGGCCGAACTTCATAAACTCAATGAAGATCATGTGCGCGTGTACCTTGATGTCAACCCTAGAGATGTGGAGCCACTGCTGATTGAGATTTTTGATCTCAAGCAGCGCTAAGTCAGTTTCAGGTTAATAATTTTACAACAACTCTCCTAAACAAAACCTAAAAAGCAAACCCGGACTGGTGCAAATCTTTCCAACCCTTCATTTAGGCAGCCGACTTAAAAAGTGTGTGGCTAGCCAGGCTCGTAAGTCCTATTTTAAAAGAGCCTCGGTCCGATGGGAGTTTTCCCCCCACAGACCAGTCCGAGCCTGCTGCTAAGTGATTTTGTTTATTGTGATGCCTTGGCCTTGTGATGAAATTCTTGCTTAATTTAAAACTTGTTAATGTTTATTACGTTTATTATAATCATATTTTATCCACATTGGGTTAAACTTTTTATCCACAGTATGTGGATTTTGAAATAAGGTACATTACATTATTTTATGCTGCTGATTTGTGTGCATCAATGAACAATACAATTATTACCAATTCATCTGAAGTAATCATCGAATATTCTCTGCAACTGCGCAAACAACCTTTCTTTCCCCTAAACAAATGTTCTAAATAAACTAGCATAAAATACTGCAACATCAATAATTATTTTGTCTGAAGGGTCTCAAAGGCAAAACTGTTTATGCATTTGCCGAAATCTCTTAATTTGAACCATCAACTTCTAACCTCATAGTTTATTTTTTTCACAATCAATTTTTTTAAGCATTTTATTTTTTATGCGTTTCTTTGTGCAAAAAATTATTTTCAAGCAATCAAAACTCAATCCTTTAACTGCCACTATTATTTTCCGTTTTCTGTAGCTCGATTTGCAGTCTCATCCTCTCCACTTTAAGTCTCTTTCGTTCGACCTTCAGTCTTTTGCTCTGGACATCGAGCAGTTTTTTCATCACTTGCAATTTCTGCATTTCAATTTCCTTCGGTGGTGCCTCTTCTTCGGAGCTCTGCCCAGTCCCGATTTGTGGACTTGCAGCAGAGTCATCACCTTTATTAAATTCAACCTTGCAATTAGTGCTGTTGCCGAATTCCATGGGCGGCGAATCGTGATCTTCGTCGATTTGCACCTCAGGCTGCAGCAAAAGTTCAGGATCTTCATCTTCTTCCTCTAGGTCGTGCCGATTGATTTCCGACCTGTTAATAATTTTCGGTGTCATTCCACAGTAAGCATTTGCACATGCAAGGGCCTCGTCGGCCGGACACCGAATTCCTCTGCCTAGTCCACCTATCAAAGAGGTCAGTAAATTTGGCTGCCTCAGTTTTCTTCGGAACGAGCTGACCACATTCTCCCATTTCTTGCGAACCTCGCGCACTGTCCTTCTTTCGCCAAACTCGGCGCCGTTGACGACGGCGGCTACTTCTCGCCACTTGCACATTTTCTCGGTGCTCTTTGCGACGCCGTTTGTGCAGGACGTTCGGCCGCGAGAGCTGAAGAGAACGTCGCGTCGGGCGGCCACCTCGCGCACCAGGATTTCGACCTCGGCGTTGCTGAAGTTGGACTTGCGTTGTCTGCGCAGACCACATCGATGTTGAGCTGCGCTCGCCGGTGCTGGTGCAGCCGAACGCTTGGTGCCAGGGCTGACAAGTGCTTGCATAAAAATCTGGAATTAAATGACAATAGCTGAATACATTAAATGAATTAATAAAAAGTATTCTCAATTCAATTTTTAATATTTTTTTTATTCAAATTTTAATTGAAAAAGAAAATATTAAAATTTAAGCAAAGATATTTCAACTTTGGATTTTTTCCTGGATAATTACGCGACAAGAAAGTTTCTGAGTTTTCGTATTTTATTACTAATTTAAGTCTCAATGTAAATTAGGGGATGATAAAAAAATTCTGAATTGTAGACAAGTTTAATTTTTCAATTTAGTATTTTTCACCTTCTTTGTATGAATTAAGTTAAAATTTGGTGTGGTGTGAACCAACAATTATATAAAAAAATTATACCAAAAATTAATATTTTTGATATAAAAATGTTACTATATGTAAACAGAAATTTAATTACTATTTTTGTACAATTTCTTTTTACGTGCCACACAATATTAATGAGTAAAATATCACTTACCTTTGGTTGCAAAATCTTAAGCCGTTATTTTTGTTATTAATATTGCAACTGAAGCTCCAATGGAGATGTTTGGTGGCTATTTTCAGGCACACAGAACGTTAATGTAAATGGATCAATTTTTATATCTCGTCTGCTGTAGCCTTTTGTGGAAGAAGACGAGTTTGCACATTTCCCCTATGAAGGCGGCGCTTTAGTGTCCCCCTTAGTGTAGCTTTTTCTTGTGGTGCTCAGCGCGCGGTGCTGATTTTGCCTCTCAAATTTACCATTTTTGATCAATATCGGTGTTCGGCGCTTTTTCATTTGGCATGCATCGATTCGGCGCTGAGGATTGTACTTTTTTTATCATATTTTATATATATCCGCCTGCCCAACTCGCGTTTACTCTATATATTGAAATGTAGCACTTAAACTCCTCCCTTAAATGCGGAGCAGCCCTCAGTCAGCAGCGCAACCCAGCACCTCACTTTACCCCACCCCATATTTCTACCCTCTGCTATACTTGGAATGTACATGGCTTAATTTTTCATTAATCAATAATAAAAAGGAGCTGTAACGACAGCCAGTGTTGCAAAATTTGGCATTCAGTCTAATGTAGCATGCTCTTCTTAAATTTTGCACAAATTAAAATTTTTAACTAAAATTGTAGTGGTTTTTAGATATAATAGGGAATTTGGTATTGACAAAGTGAGCGGAAATAAGATTGAAAAAATACTTTAAAAAAATCTTGAAGTTGTTTGCCCATTTTATAGAACTAAAATCGTGTATCTATACTTTTAAAAATTTCTGTTTGAAAAATAAGAAAATGATTTTTATAGATGGTGAATTTTGAGTGTATTTTAAATCTAATTTTTTTAAAGAAAAATTCTCCGGGTTGGGTTTAAAATTTTTCTTAACTCGATCCTATGAGAAGCTTTCGTCAAGAAAAAGCCCTAATTAGTTAAGTTCACGCAACCTGTAGTAAAAGCGAGTAAAAGTGATAAATAATTCCAAGATGGTACTTAATATATGGATTAATTTATTATAATTATGTTTACTGAAAAAGATAAATCAATTTTATGAAACAAATATTGGAATATTAAACTAAAACTATTATGTTTTGTTATCTTGTTTGACCCAGGTTTGACCTTTAATCGCAGTATAGTAAAAAAAAAACTTGTAATTGATTATAGGATCGAGTGGATCATAAAAAAAAAACATTTTTAATATTTAGCGCAATTAAAAAAATTAATAACAATAACATATTAAAGAACGCTTATACACCGAGTTGGAAAAAATATAATCTGACAAAGGTAAATAAAATTATTTTATTTAAATTAAAATACAACTAGAGGAGTTCAAACGAAAAAATTGAAACTTATCGGTCTGCAATGTCTATACGTGAAATAATATGATTTTGACGGTCCTTGCATACTTTTATATATTAATTGATTAAATTAATTTAATTAATTCTGGACCAAAGTTTACATCATTTTAATCGCGCTTTATGACATTACGACATTATTTATTAATGTCGTTGATTTCCTTACAATATAAAATACACATAATTATATTCGGAATTAAATTCAATTATAACCCCCCGCGCATGGAAGATAAATATGGAAATATTTTTCAAGAGGAGGAAAAAAAGAATGATGTGAAAAACAGCGCCTCTGTTGAATTAGCGGCCAAGCAGAAAACTAGCGCTGTTACTGCGCCGAACCGACCCAAGCCAGCGAAAACGAGAACACGGAGCCATCTCGATAATGTTGAAACGTCACCAGCATTTTGCTAGCCTGTAAAGCGAGCAATTCAATCCGTCAGATAGCACCTAACACGAACTCGTGAAAATCGAAATTCCTAAACAACTGCCACTGAAAGTGGGCATCATCGCAAAGTGTGGACTGCGTCACTTTTGGGCCGGATTTCGAAAAGAAATCCGCGCTCTCGTAATTCTCCCCGAACGCCCATCTTAACCCGCTTCTTGCACTTCTCGTTCGCCATCGTCCGTCGATTACATATTTCGGCCTGTGCCGAGTGGTTGTTGCCACGACCCTTGCTTAAATGCGACTCTTTCTTTCGCTGCGGTCACCCCGCGGACGCATTATAAGCGACGCATGAATTTTTAAACACCTATTTTGTCGCGAGACTTCTCCATTCAAATTATATCGACGTTCAACATGGCGCTCGAAAGTGTCGAAAGCAATTATATCCCCGCCGACGACGGACTTATAAAAGCTGGAAAGAATGACAGGTGGAGTAATCCTCGAATGTTTCCCATTCATTTTCGAAATTCAATAACGTTCCGGTCACTCTCAGTAATGAGGGTTTGAAATGATCGAGAATTTATAATGCCCCCTTGGGCGCCCCTCTAATCAATGATTAAAAAAAAACACGTCACCCTCCCGCGAAATCGAAAAAAAAAATCCATTTTATTCAAGCACTAATTTTTTTCTTTCAATTCGTTTAAAAATTAGAAAAAAATTAATAATAAAATAATAAATTCTCGAATCTTTAATTTTTTAAGTCATTTACGCATGAGCGAGACTTTCTGATAAAATTTTCTTAAAATATACCACCACATCGTCACTTAATTTCAAGTGAATCATGTGATAGAGATAGTGAGTGACGTCACTTCAAAAGTTTCCGGTGACTTTTATCATGGTCAAGAATCAGTTATGAGCCGACTTCAGGTTGGTTGTGCTGTAAAAAAAATTATGGCGATGCGTGCGCAAACCATGCGATTTTATTGGTCATAATACGGTTGTGGACCAGAGTTTTTGAAAACCAGTTTTATTCAAGTGCGGTTTATAAACGTATGAAGTAGGAAAATTTCGGATAAAATGAATTATCAAATTATTAATTTTATCGAGGCAATAATCTGCTATTCTGCAATATGATTATTTGACAATTTATTAAAAAAAATTTAATTTTTGCTGACCAAATTAAATAGAAGGTTCAAATAAAAATAAATTATAAATGCAATCATATCATTGAATAAATATGAAATGATTTAACATAAGAGGCTATTTAATAAAAGTTGATATTTGATAAATTGCAAATGATGACAAGATCAGACGAGATGGGAGGAAAGGTTTGAAATAAATTTTAAATAGTGTGCTAAAGGATTGACAAAATATGATGTTGCCTCAATATTTAATTTTTTTCAATCTGAGGAAATTTATCTTAATTCCGTTTTGTAACTTTAACGTCTTTAAAAAAAAATCACAATTTGGTAAGAAATTTGATTATGTTGATATAATATGAATAGATAACTAAATATCATACAATTAGTTTTGACGATGATAAAATTTTGCAATCGGGAGATTTTGCTGCAAACTAAATTTTTAATATTTGCCCTTTCATCTTTAGTTACTGGCTTTATTTTTATTTTTTTTTTAAATATAAAATAAAGGACGAATTTTTATAAAGCTAGAGATAAACACAGTAGAACTATTTAATTACAATTTTTTATTGTTCTTCAATTAACACGTGAATTAATTCAATCGCAAACTTCAAGTATTTTACAAAAACCTCAGATTTATTTATTTGCGAACGTCATCTTTGTGTTATGTAATACGCAATAGCTCCTAAAATTTTAAACCTGTTTGTTCCAAATTGTTTGCTGAATAGCGCCAGTGCTATAGCCTAATAATATGGTCCAAAGTCTGAAAGTCTCCATGCTTGGAATACTTGACAGAGACAATAAAGCATGACAAAATTTCCAGAATGTATCATAGATGGCATTTTTGCAGAATTATCAAAATTTTTGTGTAAAGTACATTTTCTTGACCTTGACATCTTGTCAGGCTTAATGCAAAAATGTTATTTTTACTCAGAGAGTTTCCGTAATTTCAATTTTTACAAAAGCAGTGCAAAGTACCGAAAATGGAATAAAGAGTTAAAAATTTAAATTAATTATAAGAAATGAAGATTTTATTATAGCATAAAAAATCACCAAGTTTGTAAACAAACTTTTTTCACTGTCTCTAAACATAAATAGATAAAATGAAAGAACGGAGTCGTATAAAAAGAGTACCCTGGTTTCGGAGTGTTTAAAATTTTTAAATCAAAGCATAATTAAAATCATGCATTCTTCAATCCATTTTATTAATTTCTTTTTCATTTTTAAACGTAATTTCCTTGCAAAATTTCAGAAGACCTAGATGATTACAAAAATATTAAGAATAATTTATTGTGTTTAGCAATAATGAGAAAATTATGATGTTTTAAGCAAAGAGTTTGATGACCTGCATACTTGCCATACTTACAATTTTACGGAAAGTCCAGCTCTAGACCTATTCAATAAAAACGAAAATCATTTATATTTAAAAAAAATACTTATATTGAAATTTTCAAACGCCTTATATCATAAATTCTATTTTATCTCTCTTCATAGTGATGAGGAGGATTTGGAAGACGGAGAAATAGCAGACGAAGAAGAGGCAGAAGAAGGTGCAATTGAAGGACCAGATGATGTTGCGGAGCAAATTCCAAAGAAATCCCAGACCTCTAATCAAACCCATCCTGATCAACAAAATGTAATTTGAAAATTTTTCATTAAGACGGCCGAAAATATAATTTAAATTTCCAATTTATATGATTCCTTATGATTTTTGAATAATTAAATGAATTTCCTTTCCCAGAGTCCTGTCAAAAGAGGAAGATCTGCTCAGCCTGAGTTTGATAGGAGGTCACCCATCGGAAGACATGAGCACCAAAAGCGTAGAAGAAAACGCCCTGAAAAGGTTTGATCTGCTGAAAATTTTGGGATTTTTCATGATAAATCAAATTTCAGGTTCGAAATAGGAAAAAACGGCAGCACGAAGCGCCTCCTGAGCAGCATCATGATAGATTTTCTCAGGGGCCATCTGAGAGAAAACATTCCCCACGTTTTGGCAGAGAAGGTTACTTGGAAATATTTAATCTAGAAAATTTTTTTCAAATTTTTTTTCCAGATGACGCTGGTTTTGGGTCCGACGAAGAAAGTTTCCAAGCGAGGAAAAAGAAACGATTGGAGCCCGCTGAGTTCCAACGAGGTCACCAAAGGCCTAGCACTGAGAAAAGAGACAAACTTGCCCAACAGCACAACAAACGCTTCCCTGAGCATCGGAGAAAGCCGTGTATGTTCTATTTGCAGGGGAAATGCCACAAGGTAGGATCAAAAATTTAAGCCTTTTTTGTGTATGGTTAAATAATTTTGAATAATTTTTTGTTAAATTAGGGCGAACTTTGCACCTTCTCTCATTCAGGCACCCCTGAACACAAAAATGAACTGTGCAAGTTTTACTTGATGGACTGCTGTGCCAAGAAAGAAAAATGCTTATACATGCACTCCGAGTTTCCCTGCAAATTTTTCCACACTGGCATGAAATGTTACTCCAAAGAAAACTGCAAGTTCAGCCATGATCCTTTGACTGAGAGAACAAGAGAAATTCTGCTCAAGGTATTATTTATTTAATTTTACCAATATTCAGTTTTGTAATTTTATCATAATTTAAAGACACAGTTTGATACTGATTATAGGGTACGTTTAAATTTTCACCTCTCCATTATTTGTAGTAAAATGCAATTTTTGTTAATATTTTGTGGCTGTTCACAGCATATCGAAACAGCGCCTAAAGAAATATTAGGAGAATTTCCGCAGCTTCCAAGGAATGAGATTGGTGAAGTCGTTCTACCAACAGCAATCCCACCTCCTGATACAGATGGATCAATTCCATCGCTATTCGATATTAAAATCTACACTGTTGATAAAAACGAAATTATCGACAATGCCCAGCAAAGTGGTTCTAGTCTGCAAAATGTTGATAATTGGCCTAATCAGAGCCAGGAAGATTTTGACATCCAGTTACAACAGCGTTTAGAAGCTCAGAGGCTTGAGCGAGAGCAAAGAGAGAAGGATGCACCGCCAACATTTAACTTTTACCGTGACACAATTGAATCCGGTTCGGAAAAGAAAAGGAATAGATCGCCAAGAAAATCAGTACGGGACGACTCTGACGAAGAACATGGCCTTGTTATCATGGATGAACGAGAAGATGATAATAATAGTCAGAGAGGTCAGTTTTAATTTTTTATTTTTAAAATAACAAATAACTATATCCTATAGAATCTGGAAACGAGGACGTTGCCGTTCCTTCAAATCTTCCCAAGAGGCAGAGGGAGCTGTTTTTACGAATACAACACCAGGAGCAGCAGCGAGAAGCTGACGCTGCAGCTAATTCAGACGAAAAAGACGAGGATGAGAAAAGTGAGGACGAAGAGGGAAGTGCTCGTGCTGAAAATTGGTATTCCAGTGACGACGAAGCTGAAGAGCAAAGCTTGACAAACGTTTTGAAAAACTTGGATAAGGTAGTTTTTTTTTATATCATTAATGTGTAAGAATCCTAGGCATATTTAATCTTTTCTACAGTCTGACGCTTCAAAAGTGAACACGAAGACTGCTGATGCTCCTTATGATTTATCAGGGATCAACTTAAACGATGACCTAACCAAGCTTCTGTCTTCTCTTAAGCCTAAAGAGAGTACCAACAGGTTTGTACCAATTATCAAAATTTTACGTGAAGAAATTTTTTTATGGAATAGTTCATTATTCATGGGAGTAACTTCAATTTTGTAGTCCATCACATTTTAAATTTGCAACTTTACCATTTCATCTTTATTGGTGTTTAATTAAAGTTTTGAATTATCATATTTTGCGGGTTAAATAGAACTCCAGGTGTGTTAAGTGTGCAAACCCCACTTGGAAGTTAAATCTATCTTATTTAATTTCAGTGTGGATAGTGATTGGGATCCGCAGAATGCTAAACATAACTACCAAGACTCAATGTAAATTGGTGTTTGAAAAAAATTATGTTCTTACATTTGCTGAAAAATTTTAGGGATCCACGAGCGAGAGACCCTCGAGCAAGACAAGAGGCACCAAAACCCCAAGCTGCCTCCTCCAAAGATGTGGACCTTCGAATACCGCTACAAAAATCAGAACCCCGAATGCCTGTTTCCTGCGACACTGACCTACGCCAGACCTTGTTCGGTGACACAGACCTGCGAGACATGCTTGATCCTAAAAGCATGCCCTTCAAACCACCCCCACTGCACCCTCCATGTGAGGAAATCGAATGCTCAATAACCCTGAACCCCAATATTAAATATGTGCTGAAAACCCTGCCCGTTGAAAAAATTGATTACTCGACGCTTCGGCTCAACTTCTCAAACCCTTCGTTGCGGCAGGACCCCCGACTGCAGAAAGTTATTGCTGACTACGACTCCAACACCGCCTCTCCGATGTCCCCACCGTCTGCTTCTGCAGAGCCAAGAAATGACCCTCGTCAGAGGGTTCTGGCCTCTGACCCTCGTAGTATGGCAAGGAGTCTACAACCGCAAGCAATGCAAGTCCAACAACAACCGCCAATGATGCAGCAACAGCCTCCTTTGATGGACAACTTGGCCTACATGATGCAGATGTCTGTGGCAAACGGTCAAGGAATCATGGGCTCAGGGCCTCCGATGAACGTCATGCAAGGAATGATCCCACCTGGAATGTCCAACACGCAGCACAACTTCCAACCTAACCCACAGCATCACAACAATTCCAGGGGTCGGGGCGGAAAAGGCTGGGGCCGCGGCAGGGGCAGAGGAAGAGGTTTCAGGAACAATCGTGGTGGCTGGGGCAAGTTTCCCAGGGATAGGGATGACAGAGGGTCACCCTCAGACCGTACTCATGAGTATTCTCGTGACTCGGACAATTGAAAATTATAAGCACTATTCAAGTACGGATAACAAAAAGTAATGAAGTTGATTATTATTTTATGCTGATCTACATGACCCTTGCAATTGTTCAAATTATTTAGATAATTGCTTATTTATAACTATTATCGTGCATAAATCACTTGGCAAGTCTGCAGACTGTTGGTTATTAATTTATATAGATCATCAGCAACTATAGCGTAATATTTATGAAAATAAATATAATATTATTATAATATTTAATTAGTTTTTTGTTTGTTTTAATTGCTGTTATTAAAATAAACAGACAAGAGCACCTTTTAATTTTTAGATCGATATATTTATTTAATCTTTCCCATGGCAGTTATTTATAATTGTAAAAATGCACTGAACCGACTGAACTTAAATAATTGTAAATAGAGAAACTGATATATTTATTTTTGCGATTTTCATAAGTTTATCAAAAAAATTGAAATTTTTGTAAATTGCAACGTCCTGTAATTATTTTTACCATCACAAGCAGAAAGACCTACTTTAGAAGGAGAGGGTTTTGTTGGAATACAAATTTGATGAAAATTTACGATAATTTTATTTTCGCGGCTTCCGTGTTCAAAACGAGTCGCTGCTTTTGTTGCTCGTTCGCGGCAGGTCGACCAGGCAGGCTGTGACGTCAGCGGTCTGTTGTTGAGACTGGAAGTGTAAAACATGGCGGTGGTGCAACAACTGAATCGACTGTAGGATGGTTTCGGCCGCCGACAAATATGTAGCCGTAGCTTTTATTTTACACTTTTTGTCAATCGAAAATGCCCAGTAAGGTGTCCAAGAAGGTAGCCGGAATGATCGTGAGGAATAGGAAGACCGTCAAGGACGGCGTGGTCACGGTAAGTCGAAAGACACACATTGAACTTTTTGACACTCCATGCAAAAATTCCGGGCTACACCCGCAGTTAAATGTTTTTTCAAATATTTCCGCGAAGGAAAATCGCAATGCATTATGATATTAACAAATTTTATTAAAAACTTTTATTAAATCAGTGCAATAATAATTTTTAACGAATAATTCACTAGGATAATGAAACACTGATAACTTTGTTATCAGTTTCGCTGATTGAGACTGACGTGTTTCATTATTTGTTTTGCATTATTCATCACTTTAATGAATACTAACTCTTTTTATGTGTTGAATGTATAAAAATCTATTTATTTCTCTATCTAGAGTATTTTTTTTTTTAATTATTACAAAAAGTGGATTATAGCTTGCCAAAAAAACCCAAAATAAAATTTACTGGCTTCCAATTATGATGACATGGTACGTCGTGGTCCACTAAAAATCGCAATTTGTATAAGGGCATTGAATGGAACGAAGGAGCTACTACGGTTAATTTTAACTTTAAAAACACAAAATTGTTGAATTCCTGTAAGATTAATTTATTTTACTTGATTGCATGTTCGTTTATTTAGTTTCATCGCAATTTTTGGCTGAAATACCTTGAGATATTAATGAAAACTGTTTAAATGGTTATAAAGGTTTGTTGGCCACTTAAGTGCAACTGTTTATTAACTCAACAATGATAAAGCATCAGGAAATGATGGTGTTTGTAAAGCAAGATTAGAAGCCAGCGACAGTTCTTGAGGTCGCCTGTTTTTTTACCAGCCTTTTTTAAATGAGATAATTAATTAATTTTACAAACTTATTTTACTGAACTAGTTGTTAAAAATTTGTTATTAACAGCAATACCTAAGGATTTGATTAAAATCACCTCACATGTTTTAACGTAACCAATTTGAATATTTTTAGTGACTTGATGTAACTAAAAAAGCAAGCCCTAGAAATATCTAATTCAATAATGCCACGGATGGACGTCATGGGATGACTGTATTTATTTTAAATAAGTCACAGAAATTGAAATTACAACTTTTCAAATAACTTAAAAAATCGTTCAATTCGGACATAAAAACATAATTTTTTTGATTCAAATTTGGGTATTTTTTGAATAATTTATTATGCGATAACCAAATTGTAAACAGGTACACTGGTTTGACCTTTGCAACAAGTCGCGTTCAAATGGTAGCAGGTAATCAATTTGCATAAAAAATGAAAGTGCTTGCGCGCCACTCTGCAGACGGTCGTCAACATAAGCATTATTTATATTCGACTATCGAACCACCATTCAAAGTGTACAACAGAGAATGGTATCTCATTGTAAAGCCAAAATCAATGCCATAATTTAACGAGTATAAAATTCATTTGTGCTGTAGAATTCATATTTCATGCATTTCATGAAAGGAATATAAAAATGATCTTTCTTTCAAGTTTCAGCACAGAATAGTTTTTTTTTTTTGCAATTGTGCAATCTTAAATGTTAAATTGTTAATTTAATTAGACTTGGCTCGGCAACTAAAACTCCCTCATTATACAACTCCTCATATTTCTGGATATTTTTATGCATTGTTTTTCAAAACACTTTCTTTTGCGCCTCTTGCGCTACTTTTACCCGGAGCGTAACAAACAAAAACAGATTATTTTCAGCTAGTAAATACGTTTAATTTATTTAGCAGGGCACATCATAATTGTGAATTTCTGAAGTTCAAAATTATGATTCAATTTTTAAAATTTCTGCCTTATAAAATTTGCACGGTTGTTTGACGGGAACGGGAATTCAATTTCAACGCGTCCTCATGGGATTCCCACAAAATTGACACTAAAATTGAAGTCGAGCATACAATTTATTTTTCCCAATGATAATTATTTAAAAATCGTGAAAAAAGATTATTTATAGCAAATTTTAATTAATTTTAGATTTTTCTGCTGTTTTTTTTATGTGAAAAATAATTCTTTTCATTGTTACACAAGAGTTTTATTTTTTTATTTGTCCTGGAGCTTTTTGAAGTAACTATTATTAATTTTACATTAATTTCCACATTTTTTGAAACAGATTTCACTACATATTATTAAATTGTGTTTCTTTTAAAATTTATTACCTAAGTTATGCTTCTTCACATCTGCTTTCGATTATTATCTCAACAGTTACACCACATTTCAGTATCGAAATAGCTTTTTGTATTAGTAAAGACCTAGAATATGCGTAAACAAACGGAGAATGAGAGCGGCGGGCCGAGATAATAATATTCGGCAATGCTAAAGAGAGTGAAAGTCCCAAGTTGGCCGGCCGATGGTGCTAGTGGTGCTCACCTGGTGCTCACACACGAATGCGGCGGCTGGTCAAGGTCATTGCTCTCTTGACCGCATTCGCGCGGTGCTGCTCACAATTTCGCCTGCATCCGACGAGTGCAGAGGTGCACCAACGCCGGTACTTGGAGGGCCCATCTGCGTGAGCGGCGCCTGTGGAGAGCGCGAAGGGATCATCTCGCGGCCCAACTGATCGATGACCCGCATGGCGGAAAATCAATCTGGCGGAATCTGCTGCAGTGGCAAAGCGGCGGCTTGGCCCGCGGCCCGCAGGCGAGAAGATCGTCTGCTCCTTTTCGTTTTGACGATGTAGCGGTACTTTGGTGGGTCCTGAAGCGAGGAATAAACCTGCTCTTGTGCGTGGCAAGGCTAGTGACTGCGCCGAAACCCGTTTTATACTTGGATTTTCGTATAAAATGACAATCATCTGTGACAATTATTGCCGACAACATTCGAGTTGAACTCGCTGTGCCTTAAAAACGCGGATTTCCAAGGAAAACGCAGGTCAATCTAATCATGCAGAAGGAGGGCAAAAAGGCGACCCTCGCGTCCCAGGAGACGCTCTCTACGTCGTCCGAGGTGAACGCAGAAGCCCCTGAGAAGACAAAAAAACAGGTTGGAATTCATCAGGCTGTTTTTTTGGTTTCTATAATGAATAACAATTGAAAAACCAATCGTTTTAGAATTTTCGGGGAATACTGAAACTGTACGAGGTAATTGAATGGTTTTGAGGTCAGGATTTAATACCATAACCTGAAATTTTAATTAAATTTTATTCTGTTCTAGCTCAGTGTTTTTTTACTTGTAGAAAATTGAAATTTTATATTAAAAATTGTCTATTTGAACAATAAAAAATTTCAATTGGGAGTGATGAATGGAGGATTTTTCAATATGTTGAAAATTCTACCTCAACACACTTATTTTCTGTATACATTGATAACTACTGCGGAAATTTAAGTGGAGCAACCTTGCTTTTTAGACAGGCATTGAATTTGAAAAACAGCGCAAGTTTTATGATAGCCTTGAATAGTTACTTTTATTAAAACTAAAAATATTTTTCAGAACAATTTGTGACACCAAAAGATATTGATTTAAAAAGTTTATCCTTAGATTTTCAAACCAATTAACTTTTTGTGGAACTTAACTCGAAAGTAATTAAAATAAATACTTCCCAAATTTTGTTATTATTTCGTATTGTAAAAATATCTTTCGGCCTTATTTTAATTTGTACTGGAGTGTCAAAGTTTGAAATTGAAGACATAATTATTTTTTCTTTGAAATATTGAAATATTTTTCCTTTGTTTGTTTCAGTCGTCCGGAATTGGAGAACCGAGTGTATTCCATGCTCTTGTGGTTATTTTTCTTGAGTTCTTTGCGTGGGGGCTTCTGACTGTACCTATCATTGCTGTACGTATACTTAAACCTTAAAACAAATTAAGATCTGCGTGTAAAAAATGATTTTTAACCTTGAATTCAAGGGTTATATAAGTTAAAATTACTATTCTGGGCAGTTTTAATAACAACACGTTAATTTTGTTCTGCAGGTGCTAAATGATACGTTTCCCGATCACACCTTCCTAATGAACGGATTAATTATGGGTATCAAGGTGAGTCTTTTAGAGAATTGAATTCGTCACCGACCCTCTTGACGCAAATTGCTTTCGTAGGGTTTCCTCTCGTTCATGAGCGCGCCCCTGATTGGCGCCCTGTCCGACGTGTGGGGCCGAAAGTTTTTCCTGCTCATCACCGTTTTCTTCACGTGTTCGCCTATCCCGCTGATGACCATCAACACGTGGTGGTTTTTCGCCATGATCTCCATCTCGGGCGTGTTTGCCGTCACCTTTTCAGTTGTCTTTGCTTATGTGGCCGACGTGACCGAAGAGAGTGAGCGCAGTCTGGCCTATGGACAGGTGAGCATTTAATTTTTTTGCTAATAGGCAATGCAAATTTTTTTATTTTTGCTAATATTTTATTGTGCTATTTTTTTTACAGCTAACTTTTGCTTTCTCTCACAATGTGGTTTTCTTTAAAAACCACCTTGTTCCCAAAACTACTTTATGCTTAACAACATGAACACGATACTCTACTCAGCACAAAATTTACATACTACACACATGCACGCACATGCACTAACAATAATTGTTGAGTGCACCTTTTTTTAATTTCCTCACGGTCGAGGTTTGGTTGGCATTGCCAGCAATTGCTCTCATTATAAAACAGTTGTTGTAATCACAAACTCCAATTTGCCTTCAAGGTCTCTGCCACTTTTGCTGCAAGCATGGTGATTTCACCTGCCCTGGGTGCCTACTTAATGGACATGTACGGAGAATCCGTGGTCGTTGCTCTGGCCACGGCCATCGCGGTTTTAGACGTCTTTTTCATTCTGGTCGCAGTGCCGGAATCCTTGCCTGAAAAAATAAGACCGTCGTCGTGGGGCGCCCCCATCTCCTGGGAACAGGCAGACCCCTTTGCTGTAAGTTCTAATTTCTTCAAGAAATCAGCAGATTAAATTTTGATTCAATTTATTTTTATCTTGCAGGCACTTAAGAAAGTTCGCAAGGACCCGACTATTTTAATGTTATGCGTGACAGTATTTCTCTCGTACTTGCCCGAAGCTGGCCAATACTCATGTATCTTCGTTTATCTTAAATTAGTAAGCAAATTCTATCGTATTTTCTATTTTTGTTAACACGGGCTCTCCAGGTGATGGGATTCAGTGTGGTCATGGTGGCAATATTCATTGCTGTAATTGGCATCCTCTCAGTTTGCGCCCAGCTGATTCTTGGCTTCTTGATGAGGGTGTTGGGCTCGAAGAAGACCATCATGGTAGGACTCTTCCTGGAAATGCTGCAGCTCCTGTGGTACGGTCTTGGCTCACAAACTTGGTAAGACTCGGAAGTAGTTCATTTCTTATTGCGAGTTTAAAATAATCTTGTACAGGATGATGTGGGCTGCAGGACTTTTGGCCTCGATTTCCAGCATCACCTACCCAGCTATCAGCGCATTTGTATCCATGCACACTGATGCTGACAAGCAAGGTGTGTGCTTACTTTTTTTATAGATAATTTTGGCTTGAATATTGAAAATTTAAAAAGAAAGTTATTTAACACATAAATTTGTATTTTTCCCTAGGTTTGGTGCAAGGAATGGTCACTGGAATGAGAGGGCTTTGCAATGGTCTTGGCCCTGCTATGTTTGGCGTCATTTTTTACCTTTTCCACGTTGACTTGAATGAAGTCAGCTCCCCTTCACCCATCGCTTCAAACATTTCACGCACTCCTGAAGTCCACTGGCGTCACTCGGATCAGGTATTATTTAAAAACGAAACTTTGTTTTCGAGTCTAATTTTGCGTGTGACAACAGGCGTTGCCGGGTCCCCCTTTTGTTTTTGGAGCTGCCCTGGTGGTATGCGCCCTTCTTGTTGCGTACTTCATACCTGAGGGAAGTTCAATGGGAAGTAACCTGCGCCCAACTGCATCACGGAGACACTCAGGTGGGTCATTTAATTGTTAGCCAGAATTCTTTTAAGTATTTGGTAACCTCTCAATCTCATAGTTAGGCCAAATTTATTGAAATAATTGTTCTACTCTTAACCTATTGACATACAATAAGCTTAGAGGAATTGAGTTTGTATCATTAATGTCATTGAAATTCCGGCAGGGAAAAAAGTAATAAAATGCAAGGTTCCTGTAAAAGAAAGAGGGGTGACAATAATTATTCAGCCAAACTGATAGTGCGGCTTACTGAACAGGCAGCGTGGCTGATTATTAAATGTGTCCTATTTGTTTAGGTTTGTCCGTGGAAATACAGTACGAGTTGGATAGGAAAAAGCATGACACACCTGGACCTCATTCACCACTAGTGGAGGACCCTGATATACTGTAAGATTCTTCATCTTGACACACAGACATTACAGATAACACAAAAACTAGTCCCCAGTTAAACTGTATCTCTTTCAAAGTTACTTTTCGTGTATGATGAGTGTTCCTGCACTCTCCGCAAGAAAAAAAAACAAGGACGTTCCCTTGAAAGCCAATGGTTACATACAATATTATTGTAAATGTTTTAGATAATTGTATATATATCATGTTAAACAATAGTTTGTTTCGGAGGCGCACTAAATATAAAGAACTTGTATTTTTTCAAAAGAACTCATTATTACTTGATTTTTTTCTAAGACATTGATAACAGAGCATTTCATCATGGCGCCTCCTTTAAAATTTTGGCCGATTAAGAGCTCGTAATTATGTTTTGTTTTTGAACCAGCTGACTCTTTTTAGCAGATCAACTTACGTAGCAGGAAAGACATTCTATTGTAATTGTGCATTTAGAGCTGTTTCCAATTCAGTTAGATGCAGTTGTTAAAGTGGTTCTGCTCATTTTAGCTATGGATGTGTTATAGATTTATAGAGTATTTATAACAAATCCATGGTTTCAGCAGACCAGTCTGTGTCCTATTGACCATGTCTTTAGGTGTCAAAAAATTTTAAGACAAAACATTAGCACTTAAATGTGAAATACCAAAATTTAGGAACCCAACCAGGTTTATCAGTTATGATCTCATAGATGGAAGATTGTGACAAGTATAACCATCATGTAACCCAACCACTTTGTCATGGTAGCGTGGGAATTAAAAAAAAAACTTATGGAAATCTGTAGACTCCTATATATTGTAAAGAAATGAAAATTGTGGCAATAATTGAAGTTTTTCTCCAGATATTTTCTGATTTCCTTGCTGCCGTGAAAATATACAAATTCATTTTTTGCTAGAGTTATCCAAATAGTCTAAGGGTTTCAACAACCCATTGTAAAGTTGCTACTTTGACACCATGAATTGATTTCGGAAGGTAGAGCAAAAATGCAATCTGCTGCTCACTCCACAAAATGTTAACACCACTGCTGCTTTTTTCTTGTGATTGTTGTTGCAGCAATAGTGAATTCTCCAAAGCAAACATTTTGCGATCGCAGCTATAGCTTTGGGTTGTCGCTTCTGATCTGAAGACATATTGACCTTAGGAATCAATTCACATTGTCAGAAGACAACTAAAAAAATCAACCCCATGAATTTTTAAACATAGTTTTGAATTGTTGGAATGAATTTATCACTTCGCATTGAAACAAAATTGATTAAACAGTTGAGAATTGCATAATCAGAAAACTTAAAACCAGCCAAGATGGTGTTCCATTTTAATTTGTTCTCAAGTGCTTGCCAATTAGTTAATAAATGCATTTTTTTTACGAAGAATATGCAAGACACTAATTTATTACGGGAAAATTAACTTTTCATTGATATTCTTTTGTAAACATTTGACATGATGGTTTCAAAATTTATACTCTTGAATCGTGAATATATTGCAGTATAAAAATTTCATACAATGTACTGTTGTGTAATAAGTCATTTGTAATCAAAAGTTGGCTGGCATAATTTGTATGATTGCTATCAACTTAATTGTATTTTTTGCAACAAATGTACCACCGTAAAACATTGACATATTGAATGAGGTATAGCTGAGTGAACATGAAGCAGAGTTCAATAGGGAATATTTTCTTCTGTTTCAATAAAAGAAGTTAAACAAAAAGAGTTTAGATCTTATTCGTTTGACAAAATTTTGGTAACTTTTTTTCCTTTTTTTCATTACATCTTTTACAGATCTTAAAAAAAGAACTTTTAAAAATTTTAATAATCCATGAATGAATTAAAAAATGAAAACTAAAGGATGCTTGCTGCTGTATAATAATTTGACTACAGAACTTATTTTCATTTCCAACACTGTACAGGAAATGTAATTGAAAAAAATAGCAAGAGATTTCAGACAGCATGGATTGTTATCTAACAGAGTCAACAGACATGCCTCAAAAAAGCTCTTTGTTCTTTACTTGGTAACGGTACTGGCTACATATTGACTAGTATCTTCTATTGCTTGACAAAGTTAATTCCAACTTTCATCTTGTACAGTCCATTTTATTTCCATAATTCAACATATTTTTATTTAACATTCAATTAACTTTTCTTTAATTAAGGGTTCATCTAGAGTTCCGTCGATACGACTGCATTCCAACCAAATTGCGGATCTAAAATTTAATAACAACAAATTATGAATAATCTTTTTGTCATGCCATTTATTATTACCATCGTTAGTGATGACTCAGCAATGTCTCGGAGGATTTTCTGCTGCTTGTCGCAATGCCCGCCAAATTCCTCCACCTTCCTCAAATCTTCGATTCTCCTCGACAACATGGACCATGTATCACCAAATTCGATGCTCTTGTCCTGTACTAGACTCAATTCTCCAGTAATGTAAAGACCAGCTACTGCTGCTCTTTTTGTATACCAAGTGGCCTAAATATTTTTTGTTTAGTTTTTAATCCAGTCGTAATAGCATTAATTTGACAATTTACATTAAAAGAACGATCACCAGCAAAGTAGCAAATGTCATCGGACAATTCGTAAATGAGTTTATAGGATTCTAATGAGCTCTGCGGTCGAGCCATTAAAGCCATGGCCTGCGGCCACTTTGAAAGGTGGGGCAAGATCATCTGCAGCCTTTTTTCCAGCAGTATTTGAACTTTAGAGAGCTCATCACTGGAAAAAAATTAAAATGAAGTTTAATTTGTTTTAAATTTAGCAATGCATGCATAAAATTAACTATCTGAAATGCAATTTTTTTTATAAATTGAAAAGTACCTTGTGTTGCTAACATCTAATTTATTGCGGAGAGCAATTTCTCTAAGTTCCTTGTTGCAGATTTTATGGAAGAATTGCACAAAGGAGGCTCCGCCTTGTTCAAAAATACCTTGACTGCTCTTAGAATAGCCAATTGATTCCGCACCTGTCCAATTAAAATTCATAAAATGAGATAAACCAAAATATAGGCACGACTATTAAAATCTAACAAAGTTAATTACTTTAACCTAACGAAGTTCACCATCAGGCTTAAAATTATTTTTATTCTCACCTGCTTCAAGACATTCCTTTGTCCATCCATACTGCGGCACAAGAGGCAATGCAGCTGTGAATATTTTCAATTTCACATCATCCTCTTTATTGGAACTGTCCTGCTCGTCCTTTGTCTCATTTTTATCATTTACAGGAGCACCTTCGGCAGTTCCGTTTGTTGAGAAACTGCAATTCATCTGCGCATGCTGTGCGATTTTTGTTCGGTTGCTGTTGAAGATGTTCCTACCATAACAGTGAACAACTCGAGCAAGCACTGCCAAAAAAAGATAAATCTCAGTAAGATAAATTATATTACATAATAATTATGTAATTTGCAACATACTATCTGAAAGTTTTTTTAAATTTTAAGATGAAATCCAAGGGCCTTAAGATTTTCCTTAGAACCTGGAAAAAGTTCTTAGTTCTGGACTATTTTCTGGGAGAGTGATGAAAAAATGTCCATACAAGGTTAGGTTCTCAAAGTTCGATTGTTAATGTATGTTTTGGTTGTCATAAATCTTGAATGTCAGATTTCAATAATTTGTAGATCTAAAAAACAGAAATATAAAGTTATTGACTTCGCTGATATGCTTAATCCTTTTTCCTACGATTAAATTGCCAAAAAGATCTTGAAGTCTGAATCTCTGCTGAAAAATGAAAAATATTTACGTTTGGGGGGCGTGGCTGCTGTATATTAGTTCTGGGAATTTTCCACTAGGGGGCAGACAGGACAAACGAAAAAAAAATGAAAAATTCCTCATTGTGTGACATCAAGGACATGCGCAGTCGTCCACTGTTGTTCCTTCTTTCTCAAGCAACTTCCAACTTTGCTTTGCTTTTGCTCTTGCTTGCAATCGAAATGCGAAGTGTGGCGAAACTTGGTGTGTATGTGTGACTTTAACCAGTGAGTTGCGGAAAAGACGAATGGCTTTTGGAATGGAACGCAAAGACGCAACGCGCGTGTTCTGCAAAGATTCGTGAGGTGAGTCGGACGGCAGAAAATAACAACGGATCTTTTACTGGAGGCCGGCGAATGTAGGTCCGTGTTGCGCTTTGTTTTTGCCAATCTAGAAAAGACGATTTCAAATATCTTAGAGACGGCGGAAGGGTTAATGCAAAATTTTCCCGATCAATGTTGCACCAACATATGGGCTGGTGCGTGGGCCGATTCAATTTGGTCGTCCGGGCACAGCCACGGCTATTTCTTTTCCAACAGGGGTGTCAAAGGGGTGTGGTTTTAGGGGAAAAATTGTGCTAAAGTGACAAATTTGATCATTTTTTTAGTCCAAAATTTTAAAGACGGAGGAAAAATTCACCAGCAAAACTGTGATGCAAATTAAGTGCAATACATACATATTTATAAGGAATTTAAAATAATAGTTTTTTTTTAAATCTAATTACAACCAGAGTAATAATTAAAATGAGTGCACGAAATTAACTTTTTAATTTTGTGCGAAATGATTTGACTTTTGTTCTCTCTTCGTGTACGACCAATTGTATAAAATCACACGCTATAAAAAGAGGTCTCAAATTTGAGAGAAAATGTGCTAAAAGCTTGCTAATTATGTACTTATCGCTGAGCGTTCTTGCAACCTTGCCGAGATTTCAGCAGGCGGCCAATTTTGACAAGTAAATTTTTATGTATTCCTCAAAGTTGTCAGGGAAACTTAATCTATCCAGAAGTTTTAGAATTTATAAAATAAATGCCAGAATTTGCAGAGGGTTATGATCGGAAATCTTTTTACCGATATGAATTTTGCCCTTAATTACTTTGCCATTAGTGCGAAAGTTGTAGGCCAAAGTTTGCAAGTATGAATCAAATATTTATACATTCCTGACTAAAAAGCGGCTCTTTTCAGGGCCACTGACTAATTTATTCCAATATTTTACTAATTCCTCTGCAAAAAATTTATTTCTTGGTCAAGTCGGTTGCGTGGTTTGATAACGGCATACGACAAAAAATGGAACCGCATATTGGAAAATGTTACACATTTTGCTTACTAGAAAAAACACGGTATTTTTTTCAAGATTTCCATTAAAAATCAGAGACGCATTCTCGTAGGGAAGTGTTTTCAAATAAATTCAGTCCTATCAGCCGGACCAAGGGGAAACAAAATGATAATACAATGAAAATATCCAAGCCAAATTTATATTGTATCCGTTTTTCATTCCGCTCAGTTAAATGCAATCAAAATAAGAAAAAAATTAAACGCAGACTTATTGTAAACAAAACCCATCAAGATCAATTTATTTAAACCTAATCTAATAAATTATGAAAATAAATCGCATCCTATTGAACAAACTGCACGTGAGCTGAATCGTTTTTATTGAGAGAGTCACATGACATCGATGATTACATAACGTCATAAAGATTTAACCAAACCACAATGTTAAGAACCCAATTAACTTGTCATCGATAATGCACCTTTCAATTTGTTCAAATTAAAATCCTTATTCATTTATTACGAGATGAAATAATTTTTTCTCGGAAACGGAGGCATCGCCCTCGGAATGAAATTTGATCTGTTTGTCAGTCATGTGGTTTAAGAAGAAGAAGAAGTCAAACCCTTCTCTGGCAGCCTTAAAACTGGTTTCGATGGGTTTGGCAGACGGAATTCCTCGTCCTGTTCATTAAGCTCGAGGCCGCGGTGTCGATCGGCGGCGTCACGTGCTCGTCACATTGCCGATTTTGCTTTTGCTCGTGACTTCGACCAACCCTTCGCTAATTGATGCTCCAAAAGAAAGCATTCTCGTAAGTGGGAATTCGTAATTAATAGTTTATTATACATTATAAAATTAACTTTGTGAACTGAATTTAGTAGAATGGAATGTAATGGTTAAATAATTAATGTTTAAAGTGCGTTGACTCCTGCGGTTATTTAAATTTTACAAAAAAAGGGAAAATGGTTTTATTTCTCTTTTTCTCTGTCAATGAGCAGTTTTTAGGGTTCAATCAACGATGGTGTGTGCGTCAGAGTAAAATCGTCCAGGAAATAGTATGAAGTCACTATCCGGCTTTTTATGGCAATCATTGACAAAACAAAAAAAATTACTAAGACGTTAAGGCGAAGGCGGTGCTTGTGGTAGTTGTGGTATTCGCACTGAGGATGAGTTGAGTTTTTACTTGAATGCGTTTTTCATAATATAAATCAATGTATATTTTGAAGGCCCTAGATTTTATTTTGCAAACATTATTAGGGTGAAATCTTTATTCATTTTACTCTGGCAGAAAATGAAAAAAAATACTTAAGTTAATAAATTCCGAAATGAAATTGAAAAAATTCAATTTTTTAGATCAATCAAAGCCATAACATAACCTCTGAACGTCATCAAAATCAGTTTTTTTTTGCTCAAATACCTCTTTATGTAAATTAAAAGCAATGCTATTTCTTGAAAAACTTAAACAGGGCATACCTCGTTGCAAAGAAAAAATACAAAAAAAGACAACTGACCTCAATAGGTGACCTGTGGTCTGCTGGTACTGGTTTTGTCGTGTCTAAACTAAAATAAAAGGGAAGGAATTCGTAAATTTTTTTAAATAAAATGGGGAGAATTTAATTATTATTATTATTTTTTTTAATTGTTTATCCCTCTTGGGAATTTTTTTTAAGGATTCCTTATTGACATAGTCAAATCAAGTCTTTACAACAATGGTGATTAAATTTTCCAATTATTGATAAAAATGTTTCCTTTTGTTGAAAAGACTTGATTTTGATTGTGTCAATAAGGAGACCTATATTTAATGCTATTTCTGTTTAATTAATTTCAATTACTTCTAAAGAAGTATTGACAGGTGTGCGCAAATTAAAATTTGGGCCTGTTTTAGTTGAAAACTTTTTTTTCATTATCTTGGCTGGGATTTATATGTTTGGCCAATTAATTTTTTATCCAGAGCGCAACGGTAAAGAACGTTAAATAGCAAGCTTGGCCTTGAGTGGTTAGGCAACCATCCTTTTTCATAAGGTCACTTTTTTCACCCATACACCTGTTTCTATTTGCACGGTAAATAAGTCTTAAGTGCTTTTTTATATTATAACAACGTTGTCTGACTTGTCTGCACTGCTCGTTTTTCAGATGCTGCGTGTCGATTCGGCCGCATTTCTGCCGCTTCTGCATAACCTTTGCTTCTCTTCACTATCGCCTCGACGGTACTCCAGTGAGTGAGAGAGTCCGGCCCTAAAACGCAAGACTGATACCATCGCGTGTGCGTTTTCCAGATAATGCAGCAGCGCCGGCACCGTGAGTCACCGCCTGAATACTCGCTCGGCTGATGCATCTGTCATTATCTTATCGAACTCCATTCTGCTGAAGTTGCCAAGAGGGTCGGCCGCGCGCACCGAGCAGCTCTTCTTGAAGGCACAGCACCCCGCCAGAGATGCTGGACCCACTCTCTCCGACATTCACAGTCGACGTCCTCGCCCTCGGCATCATCATAGGATGGCTTTTCGTCTGGTCCATGCATCTCATTGCCATCATCTATGGGTGAGTTCGGAGCAACAAATTTGGACCTTTTACACAATCAAATTATGTTTTGGTTTTTGCCTCCAAAAAAGTAGTCAAGACAGTCTAATCAAACCTGTTGCAAACTAAGTTGAACTGGTCAAAGTCTGATATATCCAGTATCCAGTGTTTATATTTTTCAAAAATTAGTATTTTTATTTTCATTAAAAGTAGTTTTTTTCATGGAGATTAAATAAATAAACAAAATTTGTTAATCAATAATTATTTAAAACCCTGTTAAATAAAGATAAAGCCTCAAATAAGTAATAAAAATTATCATTTTTATATTAATCTGAAAAATGGAGACATAAAAATTCTGCAAAAGATTAAGATTAATTTGGAATCCTTATTGATAAAATTTTACCCAAAGATTAAATATGAAATTCGCATCCAATTTTTCATTTAGTGTTTTGCATGAATATTTTTTAGGGGGAATATTATTGGAATTTTTAAGACGTTGGCTTGTAAGCACTGATTATAAGGAAAAAACTCCTTCAAAACAAGGACACTTACGTATTGTTAAATGACATGACGAATCACAGACAATGAATAATGGCAGCAACCTCCATTCATTGTCGGTTAATGTTTGCTCCCAATATTCTGCAGGCATTTTTAGAGATAACACTTATCAAAAATTACTAATTAAAATTTAAGTTGGTAATCGATAACATCGAACAAGTAAACCTTTTCCAACAATTTGTTAACAATTTTTTCTTTCCAGCAAATACCGACTCCATCGAAAGGTGCTGAAATATCCTGCGGAACATCCGTACCCGGGCGTTTCAATCTTAAAGCCTCTGATGGGAGTTGACCCGCACCTTCTGGGAAATCTCGAAACCTATTTTACACTCAGCTATCCCAAGGTGAGTTTCATTTTTGTGGAGATAAGCCTAGTCAAACATGAGACAAAGAGAGGAACCGCTGAAGCTCATTATTTCATCTGTTTTCAGTACGAACTGCTGATATGCATAGAGGATGAGAGTGATCCTGCAATAATGATTGCCAAAAGTCTGATCGAGAAGTATCCAACGGTAGACGCGCGTCTTTTCATTGGTGCGTCATAATCTTGTTCTATCAAAATGTTACTTATTTTGAGTGTTTTAATCAGGAGGGGAAGACGTTGGTGTGAACCCTAAAATCAATAATATGCAACCTGGTTATGCGGCATCAAAATACGAACTGATCATGATTTCGGATAGTGGGATCCGAGGTGAGTATTTTTCTTTTCATTTCATTAAATATTATTTACTAGTTGAGCAAAAATCTACGTAAATATTAAATCTTATTGTCTCTTCAGTTAAGGAGGACACTTTACTAGACATGGTTAGCTACATGAAAGATGACATTGCACTAGTCCACCAGATGCCGTTTACTTGTGATCGTGATGGATTCGCTGCCACGTTTGAAAAGGTAAATAATTCTCGGTATTTATTTAAAAATTCGAAACAGTCTCTTTTACTGCTACACTAGATATTTTTGCTTTTTTCCTTATTAATTGTTAAATTTGGTTTTCAGATTTACTTTGGCACCATTCAGTCGCGTATTTATCTCTCCGCGGAGTTCTTCTCCATCATCTGTCACACCGGCATGTCAACGTTAATGAGAAAGAAGCTGCTAGATGAAGTAGGAGGCATTAGAGCGTTTGGCTGTTATTTGGCCGAAGACTACTTTTTTGCCAAGTCACTCAGAGATAGGGGCTGGAAGTCTTGCATTAGCAGTCAGCCTGCTTTGCAGAATTCCGGCATATGTGATATCTCCAGTTTTCAGAAGAGATTGACCAGGTAACATGATATAAAGCTGTTATATTGAGAAATCTCATTTTTGTCTTCTCCAAAATCAAGATGGGTTAAGTTGCGAGTGGCTATGGTGCCATTTACGATCATCCTCGAGCCACTCTCGGAGTGCCTCATCCTAGGTGCCATCGCTGCATTTTCAGCCAACTACCTGTTCAAGTGGGACCCTCTCGTATTTTATCTAGTTCATGTGCTTGTCTGGTTTCTTTTGGACTGGATCCTCCTCTCCACAGTTCAGGTTTGTTGAATTTAAATATATTTTTATTCATATTCTGTTCATTATCATTGCTTTTTTGTAAGGAAAAAAATGAACAATTTATAAATATACAACGCATTAATCAGTTACTTTTGTCTCAAAACTAAAATATTTTGCTTAAATATAAGCAATTCAAGACTTTTGACAGTTTTGACTTGATAAGTTTTTCCGTTTACTGTTTGTACTTGGTTTTATACAGTTTATTGCAGTCTATTAAATATAATTTTTTTTATTTGAAAAAAAAAATTACTTTTTTGGGCCCACCAAGGAGAACTAAATAATATTTGCATTGAAAATTATTCTATATTAATGTAATTTAATAAGGAAATTTTACAATCTCAACAAAAAACAAAAATTTAACTAAAGAACAAAATATAAATAATTCAGAAAAACATTTCTAACCTTTACCAAACTTTGATTGCAGGCTGGCTCTGTTCCCTTCAACAAATTTGACTTTGTGATAGGTTGGTTGTTCCGTGAGTGCAGTGGCCCCTATCTTTTCATTTGCGCCCTGATCGACCAGACCATCCAGTGGCGCACCCGAACTTTCCGTCTCCGTTGGGGCGGCATCGCGGAAGAGATAAAACCCAAAATCAAACTGTAAAGATGCAGCAAGTTTAGTGTGCCTGTTCCTTGGCTACGATAAACATAATTGATTTTATTTGCAAGCATATATTGCAAGCAGTGAGTGAGAGGGACACAAATGGTGTGAGAGTGTGCAGGAAGTCCAGGAAGGTATCACCACTAATATCGCAAGCTAAAAAGCTGTCCGTCCTTGTGCATGCAGCTGAAGTAAGTCGAGGTGGGATGTTGATAACATCTACGAAAGAATTATAGTGCTGTTGAAAGTTGAGATGGACCAAGCAATTTTTTACGAAAAACAAAATGACCACTTGTGGTATTTTTCAATGAACCAAATAGTGGATAAGGTGGGAAAGTCTAGGCTTTCTATGATTTCTGTGTAAATCGTCACTACAAGTAAAAATAAAATGACATTTACTTCTGGTAATATGTAGCGGGGAGGAAAATCATGACAAAATGATTATTTTAAACAAATGTTTTTCCAATTTAGTCCAATTTGAGTGTTGTTTTTTTCATGCCTGACCTGCTAAATGATAATTTTATTTTTATTATCAATTTTTTCCAAGACTGCCTCTTTTTTCCGAAACGCTTATGTATTGTTTGCTAAATTGGAATGATTGTAAAATAATTTATATAAAATATATTCATTATTAAAACCATAACTTTCTAGCAGCTTTTGTATGATTTTTATTAAATAAATGTTTGTCCCACCATAATAAATTTTCTTTCATTAATAAAAGTCATACAAGTTAAATGAAGTGTGTATACTTTACGTGCACATTTTGAGCACTCATTTTCAATGAGTGGATGAGAGCTGTGCGCGGTATGTAGTAAAACTACATTCCATAATTTGCATTTAGAGGCATTACATGATTGTTCATTACATTTTTGCCACTGTTCTTCAATTTTGATTTTTTTATTGCTAATACGTACATCATCTTCTCAATTACTGCAGAAATTTTCTAAAAAGATTTCACTTTTGGCAACTTAATTTGTTTCTATACAAAGTTTTTTTAATAATCGCCAGTGCAAAATAAATGCAGATGGTAATAAGCACATACATACTACTATATTTTTCTGTTTTTAGTACATCACAATAATTCATATGTTCTCTTTGTAGCATTTATATTATCAAACATATAAAACGCAAACCCAATCGAGCTACACATTAATTCTGATTGATTTTTCTAATTTTAAGTTACATTTTTTAGACCATATATAGAAAAAAAATATTATTTTGGTGCTTTTGACCCGACAGACGCACATGTGAGTCATCCAAACGCAGCTGAGGCAACAATCCCTTGCCTTGGTCCACATTTAAAGCTTCTCCCATATGCCGAAGAGTGATCCTTACCTTATTAGGAGTAAAAGCAGCCTCCTCGTTAGGCGCCGGCAACACCATATACCCCACCTTTGCGCACACAGCTTCTTTGCATATTCAAGCCCAGTCTCAAATGTCAGAAAGCAGACATCAGTCGTGCCGTTTCGACTCAAGAGACCAAGTGCGAAATCAAACATCTGAAACATCATATCTTGCAGAGGAGACAATTTGAAGATTTAAAACAGGATAAGTTTTGGTAATACACTATTCTGCCCTAAAAAACGTTTTGCAGTGTTTTTAAGCCAATTTAAATCATTTATTGTGTCTTAATTTTATTTCCATATATGGTTGAATTTTTTAATAGATTTAACTTGTATTATTTTCTTTTCTTAAATTAATTAAATTAATTTTTCCAAACCTGTCATACTCGCAACGCTGAATAAGTTTGAGTAGAGAAATCCTTTATCTTTGTATACTCAGTAAAACATTTCAAACAATCAACACCAATTAAATTTTTATCACAACATCTGAACTTAAGTTATTATGAATATGTTTTATATAATTTATAAGTTTTGGTGTTTCCGATCTTGATACAGTATTTAACAAATCGGTGTGCTCAATTTTTTATGAGGCTGAAGGGTGATATATATTATTGAGATAATTAAGATTTCTCAATTTTTTCCCATATATCTTAAATCAAAGCGGATTATATAAAATTAATTATTGAATTTAATAATAAAAAAATTCTACCTTCACTTAAAATATTAATAAAATCGCGCGTTTTGTAGGCTTTAGAAAAGCCTACAATCAATCAATTATACCGCACATAATATAAATTAAATACATTTATTTTAATAGTGTAAACTGAATTCGCGTATGTTATTAGAGAAATTGTTGAGATTCACTCTAATTACCCTGTTGTCTTGCTGAAGGGGACGCAGGAAAAACAATACCGTCTGCATTTTCGCCATTTGTTCTCAATGCTTTGTCACTAGAGCATAGTTAGATTTTTATGGTCGCAGACTTCATTGAAAAGGGGAACAATAATAATCTAAATATAATAAGCCTTGTTTATTAATTTTCCACCTTGACACAGGCACTTAGAAATAAAACCAGCAACAAGATAAAAATAATAGTGTGGAATCATAAATTCAATGCAACACTGTTTTTTATGCTAAAAACAGATAGAATTTTGAATTAAATCAGCATCAAAATTTTAAGTAGATTATATTTTATTATACTTTCAATGCATGTGTGCAAAACAAGTTGCTTTTTGTAATTCAAAAATAAAATCTAAAAAGAGGACAAGAGAATGCAAGAAAAGGGATAAACTTCTCCTACATTTCAGGTCAGGGACAAAATTAAGCAGAAAATATTTTTCGGCTTTCATCGCCTCCTACCTTTTTTTAGGCCCGGTGCACCCTTCTATTAAAAGCAGGCGCATGGCGCATTCTTAAAATTTTCATTCTTGATTTTTGCAATTCTCTTATTTTAAAAATTGAAACAAAAACCATTTACTTGTCTTTTCAAATATTTCATATTATTTTTCTTAAAAAAATTGAATTTCCAGAATAAAAAAATCCTTATTTTTTATACGTCCGTCCCTAACCCTGACCTTCTTGCAGCGGCACACAGAGCAGAGGGCCCCGAATTAGGACCGAGAGAGGGGTATGCAGACAAGAAGGGAGGTCTATTCTGGGCCGCGGCGAGGACGAGAGGAAAAGCATCAACAGATCTGACACCAGAGAGGAGCAGAGGGAGGAAAGTGAGAGCTAAGGGCGCGCGCGCACGGCGCTGAAAATCTCCACCACGGTAGCACATGTGGGTCGCTGGCAGGCTGGTGGTGCACCAGTCAAGTCCAAGTCGTCGATAAAACGCGTGCGCCCACACCGACCGACCGAGAGAGAGCCCAAAGCAAGCAGAGTTCAGGGCCCGAGCAGCAGCAGCTCTCCCGGTGCAGCATCCGATGTGCGATTTGCGCCTGGCCGAGCGGTGAGCGTGCGATCGGAGGTGCGACGCAGGTTGCCTACGCGGCCAGGGGGAGCCGACTAGCGGCGAGCGCCGCGACAGGTCCAGCAGCAGCACGTTCAACGAGATAAGCAGCAGCTCCAGCAGGGACCCCGCCCAACAATGCTCAACAATGCTGAGGAGCGGCGCGGCTCCGACAGTATCGCCGGCGACGAGGACGAGATGGTGGCCACGGAGCGCGACCTGGCCGAGGACGCGCAGTGGAAGCGCATCCAGCAGAACACGTTCACCCGTTGGGCCAACGAGCACCTGAAGACCGTCGAGAAGCACATTGGCAGCCTCGAGACCGACCTGTCCGACGGCCTGAGGCTCATCGCCCTGGTCGAGGTGCTCAGCGGCAAGCGGCTGCCCAAGCACAACAAGCGGCCCAACTTTCGGTCGCAGAAGCTCGAGAACGTGTCCGTGGCGCTCAAGTTCCTCGAGGATGGCGAGGGCATCAAGATCGTCAATATCGGTGAGTGTCCGATTTTTTTCATTAAATATTTCTCATTCACCTTTTTCCCTTTTTCCCGCGAGTAACTTCTGTGCCGCGTCTATTAATATATTAAAAAGCGCCGCACGTTCCTATTGTGCGCCGCGAGTGGAGACCGGCATTGTATGTAAGTGCATGCCAGACTATTGGCTCGTATTTTTTTTTTAAACCTGCCTCTGGTCGTATAATCTAATTTTCTTAAAAATTTATCAAGTCTTTTTAATTGAAAAATTGAAAGTTGGTTAATTTTACGTTGAAGAATTGATTACTTGATTTATCAACAGTATTTCATTATCTAAAATTTTGGGGAACAAGATAAAATTACGTAGAAACCATTTTTCATAGAAAATACTAAAAAGTCATTGTATTCTTGCAATTAGTCTTCAGATTCATTCGCGATCTAAAATTTTTTTGCTTATTACGTTTTTTTTAATTGATTTTACAGGTAAAATCGTTGAAGTAGTTTTTGGTAGTTTTACTTTTATTGTTTTTCATGGAAAAATATACAATTATGTAAGATAGGACAATGAAGCATTTTTTTTAAATTTAATTATACTTGCTGCACGTTTCAATATCGCCAAAATTTAATTGATTTACCTTTTTTCATGAAATATAAGGAGATTATTGTTAGTTTTTTTACACAATTCCTTCGCCAGAAAGATTGCACAATGGCTTAAAACAGCTTATCTATCTACTATAGCAGCTGATAGAATGGATTACGTGTTGGAATCCGTAGCTCATAAATCGACAAAGTTGGACAAAGCTTGATAATTATCTTTACGAGTCCTACATACTGAAAACATTTTTTTCTAAACATCCCGCAATCTAAAAAAATGATTTTATTATTCTTTTCAATATAATGCTGACATTAATTTTACGTTTTATACTCCTTGTACCAAGATAAATAATTTAATTTTTGAAAATAAAAATGACAAAATGAAAACATGCTCATCAGTGTGTCGCTGTTTGTTATTTGCACACGGGCATAAATATATATTTACCTCGCTGCCGCAGATCTGAGTGAATTTTTGTTATCACTTATCAGAAGAAAGAATACACGTGTATTTACAACCATTCCTCAATTTTTAGTTTGCCGTAAATTGTCTAGATAGAGGTGGAAAAATTTTTGTTAAGTAGGCCTTGCAAATATTACAAGTCTGAAATGACAGTTCTTTTTTTTTAAACATAAATATTTACAGTCAGCTTTTGAAACTTTTCGAGATTGAAATTAACTTGAAAATATAATGAATTTGGAATCAAAATTATTGAGATGCTAAAAATAAATCCATGTTGATTTAATTTGAAAAATTAATTTTGAGACGACACAGCAGGAAGTATTCAAACTTGCACCCACTGTTTAATTTAATCAGTCTGTGAAGAAAAGCGTGCCCGCCTGCTCACGCGAGATGCTGTGCTGGTGTGTTTGTGCGCGGAGGGTTAAATTTAGCACCTTGAATCACCGCAATGAGAAACGTGGAGCAGATGAGTATTGGTCTCGTCAGTGGCGGGTCGGCTCGGTCGAAAATATTCATAACACACGCCACAGGCGCATGACTCTACCTGTTTCCAAGTGACGAGGAAAATAAAATTTAATTTAAAAAATTTTTAATGTGAACGGTTGAAAGGGATCTGTTATTAAATACGAACCGGCAATGATGAAATATAATTATAAAGGTGTGTGCGTTGCGTTTTCTTTTTGCAGGTGTTGTATTGTTTTCATTGTGATAGCGAAAAGTATGCACAATTATTAGATCGTGTCAACCGACCAGGTTTCATTTGAGTAATGCAAGAAGAATTTTTTTATTGATACAACCATCAAAGTTGGAAATTTTTGTTTAGGAAATTAAAATTCAATGTCATAGAATGATTTTGATGGATTTATAACTTTATAAAGAATTAAATTTTCCCAGTATTGTTCGACATTTTTTAGAAATATTTTCACTTTATTTGATAAAATCATGATAAAATTTAAATTGTTTAAATATTTTCTTGACTTTATTTTCCAATTGTAAATAAACATTTTTTTGTTTTTAAATATTTGGCAACAAAAAAGTTAGTCAACTTAAAATTAGAAACAAATCGATATTAAAAACATTATAATTCTTATCAAGAAAAACAGAATTTCAGTTTATTTTATTACAATAATCCAATTTAGCATTCATTTTTGCTCCCTTAAAATTTCTTTAATTTTTTTAGAGTCAAGAAAAGCATATATAATTTGCTCCATTAATCTCAACTATTTCTTCACGTGTGCTTAAAAAACATGTCACTTAAAATTCGGTTAACGTTTCGCTGAGCTATAAAATAAACCTGCTAAGCACAATATGCAAACGAAGCGCATAAAATCTGAATTTGACGTAGATGACAATGAAGCGCAGACCCCTTTCGAATGCACAAAAGGTCAAGTGTATACAGAGTGCTCGCAATTGTTCTCCAACCCTGGGGCGATTTCGGCTGGCGCTGAATGATTCAAAACTTTGAATACAAGCGCAGAGGCGCGAGCAGGTTCAACTTTTTTACTCCTCTTTCGCCGTTCACTCTTGCTTTCAAAAGAAGGCCTGGGTGTTGTTCACCTCGCAGTGCTGCCAGAGCACATTTTACTATACATGTAAGTAAATTATAAGCGCTGCATGGAATCTCCTCTCGGCGGCCTGACCGCACTTAAGTGGCGATGGTGCCCGTCTGGAGCGTCTTTCCTGCAGTAATATTTTGATTACGAATTTTATTACATTCCGTTTAATTTCATCCTTGCCTGCGGCAAATCATTCAAATAATTAATCAAAAATAAATTTATTTTTTAAATTTGTTATCATTTTAAACAAAATTATTCATATTTCTTTTATTTTCAATTAAATTTTTTGCTGTAAGAATTTTAAATTTTACTGAAATATGAAAAGGATCTGCTAGAAAATCATTAAAATTTCTGTGCTCTAATATATGCAAACCGATGACATAACTTTTGCAGCTCGGTTACTAAAAAAACAGATGCACTAACTCATTTCTGACATCACCGCGATTGAATTTTTCTGTGACGTAGCGGGAAAAACACTTCTTGCTCACAGTTTTCCTTATAAGTGTACTTTTACGAACCAAGTGAGATATGGTTTCGCATAAATTAATGAATCGTTTTTATATAGAAATAAATTTTTTACGCTTGGAAGTTTCAAGAACGCTCGATCAAAGTTTATGTAAGTTTATCGTTCTTCTCGGAGCTGAAGATGTTTGAAAAGGAATTTTGCGTTGCGTCATCTCAAACAACGGTTGCTCTTCAAGGGGACGGTTTATATGGGCTGGGTTAAGGCCGACAGCAGAACCTTAGAAAGCGCAAAAATTTCGAGGGGACTGTGGAAGGAACAGCGCTTTGTTTAAGTTTTTATGAAAATGAGTTTCATTTTTGATAACAAGTAATGTCTAAATTAGGAAGATTGGTTTTCTAATAATGCTTGTAACATTGCTATTTCCACTTATTTTTATATAAATATATAAGATTTTTTGAAAAATAATTTTTTCTATAACTGTATTTTTATTTAAAAAAAATTTATTTGAATTGAAACTAGCAGAGGCTTGGCAGAAAGATCTGAAGCTCATTTGAATTAATTCAGTTTTAGGAAATGAAAATATTTATGTAGATGAGCTTTTCCTATTAAATTGCGTATGCCCAAATGATTGATCGTGAATCTGGCTTCCACTCGACAGAAATTGATGAGCGTCGACAAAAGCCGAATGTTTGCTTCGAAACAAGCACGCCGATATATAGAACGGACGCAATTACACATTCAATTTATCATGAATGTATATAATACGCATCGAATCCGTGCCTGGAAAACCATGTTTGCTGCTACGTTTGCGGTCACTCTTTGGCACATTTCATTCTTCAAATGGTCCAATTAAATGCAGCCACCGCCAACAACTGGTTTTACACAAAATCACCGCAGCGGCCCTGCAGGAAGTTGTCGGTTTACTTTTCACACAAACTTATGCGTCGACTGCGGACAAGTCTGGTCTACCTTTCTGAGTACTGACGATCAAAATCTTATGTATTTAATTCAATTTATTTTCCCAGTATTATCTCTTGATAAAATATAATATTTTGAAGGAAAAGGCTTAAAAATGAACTGGAAAAATGGCAATATTTTATTATTGTGTCGAATTCAGCACTAAATTTTTTATATTTTATCGTCAGGCGAAGGGTTGAGAAAAATTGATTTACATAATTAGTCCCACTTTTATAAAAAAAAATCTAAATTCATACCGGGGAATCTGCCTCAGTAATACCTTGTGTAAATTATTAGACAAAATTATTGCAAGAAGACTTTTAGAAAAGTTCAATGATTTTATACCAGAGGAGCAGTTCGGATTTATGCCGAAAAAGTCCACAATAGATGCAATTAAACTTTTTCAAGAAAAAATTTATAAAAATATAGGTCAAAAAGGATATAAGAAATATGCATTGTTTATAGATTTAAAAAAGGCCTTCGACTCCACTTCGAGAAAAATTTTTATTAAAAAAGTTGCAGAAAAAAGTAAATTCTCAAAAAGTGAACTCCTTTTGCTTTCGGAACTTCTTGCGATAGATTCAATTCGAGTCGACGACGGTGTGTCTTTATCAGAATTCTTCCCACAATCAAATGGTTTTAAACAAGGTATGAATTCTAGCCCAACCTGTTTTAATATTTATATACATGATGTAATTAAAATTTTTGAAAATGTAGAAGGGGTAGAATTCCTATTTTATGCCGATGACATGGTTTTTATTAGCGACTGTTGCAAAAAACTTGAGCTTGCTATGCGTAATTTTTTGGAATATTGCAAAGAAAACAATCTGCAACCTAATTTCGAAAAAACAAAAATCCTGAAATTTACAAATAAAGGCAAGGGTGCCAAAGGGAAAAATAATGAATTAATATGTGCAGGGAATAACATTGAATTTGTAAATAGTTTTTCGTACTTAGGAGTTGTGTTTCAACCCTCAGGAACTTCTTTTTCAAAGCATATTAGCGACAGATGCAAAAAGGCAGTCACGGCAATGTATGGCTCGGGAGATTTAAGGAATTTATCAATCGATTGTGCTCGCCGTCTATTTGCATTAAAATTTGCCCCGATAGCAACGTATGGCATTGAAGCCATTTGGCCACACCTAAAGTCTTGCGACTTTTTTATTTTGGAGAAATTAATGACAACTTTTTATAAAAAAGTACTAGGAACAGGAAAATACTGCAGAAACACGTTAATCTACCATTTAATTGCCGCCGAAGAATTTTTTGTCACAACCACCATGAACAAATTCAACTTAACCCCCACTCCGGCATACGAAGAGTTTTTAATTAATATTGAAATTAGAGCTGAAAGGGAATTTGATTTAAACTTCTTTGAAACGCCAGCTATGATAAATGACTGCTGGAAGCAACCCCTTTTCAAAAATAGACATGCTTTTACTCGATATGCAATGACTGGGTTTCATTATCTAATTTGTAAAGACAAAAGTTTTCACTCTACTGCTGGCGAGGACTGCGTGTGCGAGCTATGTGACGAAAAGTGCACCCAATACCACCTTGAGTTCTGCAAGAAGAGACTTCACTCAATAAACTTTTACGCCACGATGAAGAAGAAATAGTGCAATTTAATTACTTAAAACTTATATCTGTATGAGTGTATCAAAAGTTGTACCCAGATGGGTTTAATAAATAAATAAATAATAATTAATTTTGTATGATAAATCTACAATTTCACCTATTTATGAACTTCCGTTTTCGAAAAAATATCACAAGAAATCCTGTTCTTAATAAATATATCACTTGTTATCTCCTCCAGAGAAAGCCTGTAAATCTGCGTTTTCTAAATTTTCAATCTACATTGCAAGTTTTTGATTATTTTTTTCTAATGTCAAGTTCTTGAAACTTATAAAAAGAGGCGCCAATTATTTTACTAGGCCATCTCATCAGATGAATAAAGGCGGTCAAACTTTTTGCTGGGTTGAACAAATGAAATACAATTACGATAAAAAAAACTTTCATTTTTAAACATGCTTTCAAAGAAATTTAATTTAATTACTCTTCTAAAACTTAAGTTGGAAAAAAGTCAAATAAGATTTTTGATCAATCGATACATTTTCCGAGACTTTTTTATTTTCCGGCGGTTGAGAGATAAGCTCACAGAACACGACCACTGTTTGGTGACAAGAGCAAACACCAACAGGGGCTGTTAATAGATGTTCTCAAATTCCGACGCTTCTCACCACTCACAGCAGATAAGGTGATTGATTATATTACGCTTTCCGCTGGATTCCCTATAAACCGTATTAGGTGATAAAAATGCGTGTTTATTCAAGCAAAGTTGACTACCTAGATAGACACATATTCGAGATGCTGCCAAATCTAAAAGTGACATCATCTGGGCTACCAACGAGTGTCGAAAGAGAAATTCAATTCGGCCTCTGCGGTCATTGCAAATATGCTAAATAAATTATCATTTCAAATGTCACTGGACCTGTTTTGCATGTAAAAATGGTGGTTTCGTCTGTGTAATGATTTTTTATCACTCACGAAGAATATAATTATGATTATTGTTAATTTTGGGCAAAAATAAATAAAGAGGTTGTCTCGTAAGTCAGAAAACATGACCTAATTTTAGAGAAATTTTGGCACGTGAGAATTGAAGAAATGCTTGAATTTAAAAATCGTTCTGAATCCGGCGTGCCAATATTCAAGGTTGTTCGCGCAATAAGGTCGCTGACATCACTGTCTATCTGTGGAAGTGACTTATCACTCAACAACGACGTGTCGCCAATTAGCGGCAAATTATTATTTTACCTGTCTCGAATTTTTTCACACCTTGTCGCGCCCTGTCATATGAGCAAAACGTGCCTCAAGGAATAACGCTCGAACTCAGGTTGGTTCCCACAGACTTTTTGCCATCCCTTCACAGCTGGCGAGCAAATGATTGTCCACTTTCACTATACATCGTGCCAAATTGTAGGTCAGCGCCAAAATAAATAATTGAGTTTGGTGCTGACAAGCGAAATCAATTATCAATCAATTAAATATTTATTTTTACTCAGCATCTGAACACAAAATGCACATTTAAATACAAAATTAAATAAAAAGCTTAAAAGATATAAGAGAGTTTAATTTATTTTAACTTTTAATCTTTATTGCAGATTTTAAATTATAAATATTTTTTTTTAATTAAAATTTATACTTATTTACTGTTAATATTTTTGCCTAGATTTGTACATCACCTTTACTTCATTTATTTTGCAAACCAAGTTTTTAATATAATTAAATAATTATTTAATAAATCTGGTGTGATTCAGTGTTAATTTAATGTTACTATCAACATAGTTTAATAGTGTAGCAAAAAGGTCCAAAGTTGTAAACTTTTTCTTTTAGTATTAAATTAATACATATATTATAATAATTTTGGGTTTTTGGTGGCCTTTCTTTTACTCTGCTGCCTTTAATTTCAATTTTAAATGGTATTATTTACAAAATGCACAAATTGATTAAAGCATTTTTGACAATCTTTTTTTTTCATTTGTCTCAAGCAGTCAGGTTTTATTGTAATGATCAGTCTAAAATCGCAGTGTCTGCGTGACCTTTCTTCGGGACAAACGTTCGGCTCTTTGCACAACAAAAGGACAACATTTAACTGCCGTCGCTGATGCCCAAGTATGGTCACAGTTCTACTTCTCGGCCGCTAGCTCGCACAAGAGAGAGAGAAACCAGTTACAAAAGTGTTTTTATTTCTTCTCCAAAGCGAAGCAACGTGATTGGATTACTTTTTGAAACGACAATTTTTAAATGCATATCAAACAAACATTATTTTGAATACTAGACGCAAAAGGGAAAAAATTGGAAGAACAAAATTCATGAGATATTTTCCTCGTAATGCTACTGCAAATAAAACAAACAGAAGTCAATTTGTGGTTATTTAAAGCTTGGATCAACCTGTTTCAGACAGGTCTGGTCTCCTATTTCATAAGCAAACGCACAGACACAGACTGTTATAAATAAAGCAGGTTAAAAAAAAATTAGTACTTGTTACTTCTTTAAAAAGAATTGTGATCTCGAAAATTTACTGATTATTTTTTAAGATTTATTTTCAATTAATTTGAATTTGAATTGACCACATATTTTGACCAAAAACAACTCAAAATGAGTCCTTGAATTAAAAAAATCCCTTTTTTTTATTAATTTTATTTATAAATTAAAATTACTTCCTTGTCAATAATTGAAAAAAAAATCTTAGCAATAATAAAAAACTGAACATATTTTCCCCTTTTTTCAGATTCTACTGATATAGTCGACTGCAAGCTCAAACTAATTCTCGGCCTAATATGGACCCTAATTCTACACTACTCAATTTCTATGCCCATGTGGGAGGGTGAAGATGACCCTAAAGAGAAAGGCGCAACTCCCAAGCAAAGGTAAGCAATTTTGTCCAATTTTTCGCCAGACAGAAACCTTGCAATTCCGTTTTGGTGCGAGAATTTCTCATGAAGTGTAAAATCGAATTCTCACTACTTAATCTTCTCTTGAATTTTATCAGCCACAGATGCTTTCTTATCTCTCTGTTCTGCGTAATGCGATGAATGAAATTGTAAATATGGCTGGGAAGCGGAATACTCGACGTGGCAATGTAGGCGTAATCAATCGTTGGCTAATTTGAATGAGAGCCAAAAAAAAATGGAGAGACGAAAGACAGTTTTATCACTTCTTGATATACCCTCGCTTTTTAATCAGCTGAATTTTATTCTGCGTTTTGAAGCGGAAAATTTAAAATATGACTACTGGTGAAGAAACTCATTATTTTAATCTCAACTTTTAGTTAAAAAAAAAGTCTCAGGTTGTCTTCTTAAGCAAACAGTATATTTTAGAGTGGTTTTGCAAAAATAAATCAAAATAATACAGAAGAAAAATACGCCCGGAAATAAAAAAAATTAACGTATGAAAATAGTTCTAAAATAAAATAAACTTTCAAAAAATTATTTTTAGTATCTGAATACTTCGAATCAGAATGACATGATTTGCAAAAATACCAATGGACTTTCGGTCAATTAAAAAGAAAAAAAGGCTTTTCACCTTTTACCCTTTTTAAAAATGATATTTTGAATGATTTAAAATTAACAAGGGAAAATAAGCAAAATTAAAAACTATCTTTTTTTCTAGATGTTATTCTTTAGTCCCAGCCAGTCGTATTAAATTTCTGTTTTTCGCATTGGAAATTTGGCCAGCCGTCGAGTTTTTGGCGTCCGTCCTCGACAGTGGCGAGTACTCTCGTCGAGCCAAACGAACGCGTCATCAAATTCTGATGCTGACTGCTGAGTCATTATATTTTTATCATCATCTCTCACACTTTCTCGCGCGCTTTCGAAGGGGGTAAATTTAGCGGCCGATACAATTGTGGAGTCGCGCGCGGTGTATTTCGGGACGGGCCACGCCAACAATCCGACAGGCATTTGCGCCGCTCGTTTTGGCCCACGCTCTAATTTGGGGGCGCACTGCGTTCTCTGTGATGCAAGTGCACATCCTTTCTTTGCAACGATGCAAGTCGAGCGGTGACTCAAAGCGTTTATCACAATCTATATATAATAAAGCAGCAGCGCACACAGCAGTGCTGTTAAAATTTTTGTGCAATAATTGCGCAAAATTTGCAAGGAAGTAACCAGGAAATTTACTTTTACGACAGTCTTCGTTTGTATTGAATTTTCAACTAAATGTAACAGTAGGGAAATTTTATTTCATCGAATATCTAAAATCTTTAAAAATTAAGCAAATTTTTCCATAGAAAATTTGACTGAAAGTGATGAAAAGTAAACATTAAATCTATGAAAACGAACCCAATTTTGTCTTTAAATGAAAACAAACATGTGTCGAGGATATGATGAAATGCGAAGATCAATCAATCATGACAAATGACAATAGATTTGTTTGTTTTAACGGTACGAAGATATACCAAGATGAAATATAATCAAATAAGTGAAATAAGTTCTCTCAAACTGAAGGTCCACTTTTTGAATAAATGCATCTTGCAAGTTTTTCTATTTTTCTTTTTTTTATCCTACAATTGTTTTTAAAAAATGAAATTTTTCGGTGTTTGCAATTTAAAGCACATTAATTGTTCTCTTTGTTTTTTTTCCAACTTTTTATGGATTTCAGAAAAATAATAATTAAAATTGCTGCATGATCTTTTGATATTCCATTCTCATTTAAAATTTTAAATCAAATGAAAAGGTTTCCTGTAACTTTTTATTAGCAATAATTTTTATTTATTTCCCCTGAACACCGCAAACAGAGATAGTGAACGTTCGATAAAAAAAAATATCCCAGACAGGAAAGGGCGGCGGCGCACTTGATCAAACTTGGTCGGTCAGATTATGTGCTGTTCCTGCAAGAGGGAAAAATTAAGTTCTAAGAATAATAAAATTTACATTGTCCTACTATTCCTTACATCTTTCCTTATGATTTCCTTTATATGAATCTTAAGTTCAAGAGACTCACAATATACGACTGCGGTTTGGAAAAAAATTAATTTCTTGTCTCAAATTGATCTAAACAAAATTATGTGCTCTCAGTTTTTCAAAGTATCTGAATACATAATTTTAGAATTTGACGATTTAGACATTTTTTTATTGTAAATGTTTTACTAATTTTCATGCGATAAAAAATAAATCACATGCAGCAGAAATCAACAAATAAGCCATATATTCAATTAAAGATGTTTTCAATTAAAATAAGAAAAAAATAATTATATAAATTATAAAAATAATGGAATACTTTTGTCGTGGGTTGAGTTAGATGCAACTAGAATTCCTACAACTGATATTTTCAATTTAAAAATAGTTTTAAATAGATTTTTAATTATGTTTGGCATGTTTTTCGTTTTAATAACAATTTCTATTGTTTTTGTTGCAGACTTTTACACTGGATCCAAGCGAAAGTTCCTGATCTGCCGATTAAAAACTTCACCGATGACTGGAGCAGCGGAAAAGCGGTGGGCGCACTTGTGGACGCCTGCGCACCTGGTATGTAAAAGAAAAGCATGAATAATTTTTCAAAAAATGGATGAAATTTCATGGTAATTTTTACGCCTGCAGGTTTGTGTCCTGACTGGCCCGATTGGAACCCGAAGGACTCGTTGCAGAACGCGTCTGAAGCCATGGGTCTGGCTGATGACTGGCTCAACGTCAGACAGGTTGGAAACTAGTTTTTATTTATTAATATTTTTTTTAATTTATGTCATATTCTCTTAAATAATCAACAGCAAAATAAAATTGATAAATATGAGACGTAAATTATTTTTAATTTTAAAATTTTTTAGATTTAATTTTATTGAATTGATAATTATTATTCTTGGCTGTGTGCGTTTTTTTTTTAATTTCTAAAAACACTCATGTTTGTAATCAAACTTTGACGTTTGCAGTTGATCAAACCTGAGGAGATGATCAACCCTAACATCGACGAAATGTCCATGATGACTTATCTTTCTCAGTACCCCAACGCCAAGTTGAAGACGGGAGCACCGCTCAGACCGCGAACAAATCCCAACAGGTGAATATAGCGTTTTTTTTATATATTATTTAAATTTTACATTGTATCACTGCTATTAGTTTAAGACCCCTTCATATTATGTTTTTGTTTGCGTCTCTCTGCGGTGTAAAAAGTTGATACTCTCGTAATCCGATATCCCCTGAAGCTAAAAACGTAGGGACGCACCTGCAAACAAAGCAGCTTACTGTGGAAAAAATCTCATTCACACGATATGGTTTCAGCAATTTTCTTAAGAAGCAAAAAAATTTAGTTGAAAAGCATTCTTTTCAAAATATTTATTTAAAAAATATTAATTCCTAAAATTCACACTCTTTACGTTGAAACTAAATTGCCCAATTGTAAGAAGTTGTGTACAAGATGCGCTAGTTTTAAATTAGTTTCAACTTGTCCGTGGAGATGCTGATGGCCTGTTGGCACCGCTTAATGTTAATTTATTATTCTCGTCTACCACAACACAGCGAGCCTCTCGTTTTAGCGTTCAACCCAATTGACTGATTAGCCAACTAAGCTAAGCATTCTTTGCCCACAAAGTGTTAAAAAAGCGATATAAAAAGACCCGCAAATGAATAGATTGAAAAAAGATATTTGTCAAAAACCCTTTTTAATCAAATCTTGTTGTTTTGGCTGGCACGGCAGTATCCCACCACCCCGGTAAGTCACCCCGCCGAACAATCAGTTCTAATCGTGTTTTTAATCAAAACCGTTTTGTTGTATTTGGTAGATTATTGTTTGAGTTTGAAAAATTCTAGATATTTTTTTCAGCGCTTCTTAAATTATTTTTCGCATTTTCCGTAGATTTTCTTCATAATCAATGTTTTCACAGGACAAAAACTTTGTTATAAAATTTTATTTAACTATAAAACTGCTTTAATGAATAATCTCATATTGTATTTTTTGCCATAAATTGCATGGCCGCGTTAGCTGCGTAAAACACATAAATCAATTCACGATTTTATTTTAAATCATTAGTGATTTTTATGTTAGAAATTTTCATATTTATTTTTCATTACTTAGCAAATAATTTATTTTTTTAATTACAAATTCTTTTTTTACCCTTTCAGCAGCGTAAGTAATTAAGTCATTTACAATTTTATTCTAATTCTATAGTTTGCAATTTTAATATTTTTATCACACTCTCTCCATTCATTACTTTCTGTACATAATTAATTAATTATTTTCTTGACATAAATAATTTTGTGTTTTAATCACAACCTCAGCGTGATTCAATAGCACAGCACGATTATTTTTAAAACATATTTTTAACACAGAGTTCGCGCTTACGGGCCTGGCATCGAGCCCACTGGCCCTGTGGTTGGGGCACCTGCAAATTTCACCGTGGAAACTTTTTCCGCCGGCAAGGGACAGGTCGACATCGCTGTGAAAAATCCCGCCGGACAAGCGGAGCCTGTAAATTAAAAAAATATATATTTGAAAAAAAATTAATAATTTTCCTCCCGCGGCCAATCAAAGGTGGACGTGCGATTCAACAACGACCGCAACCTCACCTACAGCGTTTCCTACACCCCTCGAGTTGAGGGCAATCACAGTGTGTCTGTCAAGTACGGTGGACAGGAGATCCCCAAGTCACCGTACACTGTGCTGGTCGAGGGACATGCAGGTGACCCGTCAAAGGTCACCGTCTCTGGGCCCGGCATCCAGCCGGAAGGCGTTGTTGTCAGCAGACCTACTTACTTTGACATTTTCACCAAAGGTATTAAAAAAAATTTATAAAAATATTAAAATGAATATATAAATTCATGTACCAGTTGAATTGACATTGTGAATTTTTGCAGGTGCCGGCAAAGGTGTTCCCGAAGTTATTATTTTAGATCCAGCAGGCCTAAAAAATACCGTGCCAGTGAAAATTAGACAGACCAGTCCTGACGAGTGGCGCTGCGAATACGTGTCTACGGCGATTGGCTTGCACTCGGCCAATGTATTTTTTGCTGGACAACCTATTCCCAACAGCCCGTTTGGAGTTAAAGTCTCAGCTGGTAAAAATAAATTTGGATTTTTTTTTTCAAATTATGAAAAATATAAAATGAGGGTTTTATATTAAATTTTAAATGTTCAAAATATTTTTTTATAGAATGGGCAGCTCTGTTCCTTTAACATAGTAGCAGAGTCCGCCCTCAATGACTTTGCCTCTTGGGCGGTCGTCCAAAACGTGTTTAACTTCTTTTTTTTTTTTGGCAAGTTCCGCTTAAGAAATGAGAATTTTACTTCTTCTTGCCCTGGTGACTTGCGTAATTTCAGTTGGAGTTAAACATTTGCAGTTTAGCAATAAAGCTCTGCAAAAATTATTTTATTTTAATAAATGTAATCTTAATAAAATATGCATGTTTTGAGATATCTAAAGATAAATTAAAATATTTAATTTTAATTTTATAATCCAAGATAAATTTATGATTTTATCACCCTCCTTGTTCACAGTATCAGATGCTAAAAAAGTGAGAGCCTCAGGTCGCGGCCTACAGCCTAAAGGTGTTCGTGTTAAAGATGAGGCTGATTTTAAAATTTATACGGAAGGCGCCGGAGAGGGCAGTCCTGACGTTAGGGTCATTGGCCCTGGTACGTTTTTAATATAACTACGCTTAAAAATTCTGAATCATTTGCTTTTTTCTAAGGTGGTGTGAGTGAGCCTGTGAAAATTCGCAAGATTGATGGCACCACCTACGAAGTGATCTACAACCCCATCAAAGAGGGTCGTTACATGGTGATGATAACCTTTGGGGGCAAAGAAATTCCTAGATCCCCTTTCGAAGTCAATGTGGGCCCTTACAAGGAAACCTTGATCAGGGCGTACGGCCCAGGCCTCAACGGAGGCGTCGTCGGGTACCCCGCACTCTTCACTGTCGAAACGAACGGAGAAACTGGAGCTTTAGGTGAAAAATCTTCAACCTTTTTTGCGTGCATGGCATGGGCTTGGACACACACTTAAATTTTGAACTTCGTTTTTTTTCTGAGGCTGCCCAAAATTTTGGTTCAATTTTACGTGGCAGTTTTTTTTCCTTTAGTGTGTTCAGCCAAAATTAGTGCCGTAGATTAATAATTGTGAAAATATTCCTTTGCTGCATTATTGAGGATTTGGAAGTGAGTATGTCCACCGAGCTTTCGTTTCTCTTCATTAAGAGCAAAAACGTTTTTCATTGTGTGTTTGTCCTCAAATGCGGCACTTTGCTATTTCTCTCTCCACTATTTGTATTATATTTTTTAAACGGTTTAAATATTTTATTAAATATGAAAAAAAAATCAAGGTATTTTTGCTACTGCTCGAGTAGTAGATTTATTTTGCCTGAAGATGTATGTTTTTGAGTGATGTTTTCATGTATCAATATTTTTACTCTTTTAATTTCTCTAAAATTTGTTTAAAAACAGAATTAATGATTTTTTACCTCACCAGGCTTCAGCATTGAGGGACCGTCTAAAGCGGAAATTGAGTGCACAGACAATGGCGATGGTTCGGCTGACGTTCGATACTACCCCACTCAACCTGGGGAGTATGCAGTGCACATTCTCTGTGATGACGAAGATATCCCGAAATCGCCATATATTGCACAAATTCTGCCCAAGACTGATTACCACCCAGACAAGGTATTTCTAGTTCAAATAAACAATTGGCATTTTTTTTAATTCTTGGTTGTCTTAGGTGGAGTGCTATGGTCCAGGACTCGAGCGAGACGGAGTGATGCTGGGCAAACAAGCACCATTCACTGTGGACACTAGAAACGCTGGAAGCGCTCCTCTCGATATCCAAGTAGGGAATTATTTAAATAAATAAATTTTTTACTAAAAGAGAACTAAAATTTTCACAGGTCAATGATAGCAAAGGCGATAGTGTTGGAGTTCACGTTGATGCAAATGAGGACGGAACATTCAACTGCTCATACAAGCCTATTTCTGGCGCCAAGCACACTGTTCAGGTATAACATTTAAAACAAAATTTATTGTGTTTTAAAACATTTAACTTATTTCAGGTTAACTATGGAGGTGTTCCAACCAAAAACAGCCCGTTCAGAGTTTACGTATCCGAGCCCACCAACGCCGACAATGTTCTTGTTTTTGGACCTGGTGTTGAAAAAGGCGTAAAATCGAACACCCCAACTCACTTCAACATTGACTGCAGGCAAGCTGGACCAGGTAATAAATTTAATTTTGCGTCCTAAAATATAAAAAAAATTATATCTTCTTCTATAAAAAATAAATAAAATTTTCTCAGGTGAACTGGAGGTGGTCCTGAAGAACGAGCGTGGCCTGGACGTGCCTTTGCAACTTACAGACAACGAAGATAACACTTACTCAGTGGACTACTGTCCACCGGTCGCCGGAAATTATACAGTGATCTGCAGATACGGCGGCAAGGAGATTCCGCAAAGTCCTATCAGAGTTGCCGTCCAACCTTCAGTGGACGTGTCCAAAATCAAGGTCGACGGATTAGAGCCGAGTGAGTAAAAATTCAATCCATTTGATAATTTCCACTTTCGTAAAAATACTTTCTTAAAATAAGGGTGGTGGTCATTCTAATTACTATTAAGGTTGTACCTTTTTATTTTTGCATTTAATATTATCATGTATGCTTAAATTGTTTCTTCACACTTCTCTGTGGATAAAATCTATAGCCGCTCCAGTCAACAGTCTGCAGCAATTCCGAGTGATAACAAATGGCGCGGGCAAAGCTGACTTTGCCGTGGCCATCACCAGTCCCTCTGGGGCTAAAGTTAGGGCGCACGTGATTCCGACGAGCGAGGGCTTCCTCGTCAATTTCACACCCACCGAGCTGGGCGAGTATCTGCTCAGTGTCTCGTTTGGTGGCGAGCCCGTTCCTCAGGCACCCTTCCGCTTCATGTGCATGCCAGGCAGTGACGCTTCCAAGGTTAGCTACAGAACTATACTTGGACTTAATGGGTCGCTTTCAATCCCAATCTTTACAAAGGAGATCGCCAAACTTCAGTATAATTAAAATTCAGTAATTTAAAATTTATTAATTTTATATTGAAGATGAAACACGAAATAAATAATTATTTGGAGGAGGCCCAAATCTCACTCCGTTAATTAAGAGAATGAGTTAAATTTAATCTTCAATAATGTCAATATTTTTAATTTTGTTTTAATTCGGCTTGAAATCAAGCATTAATAAATTTACTAGTTTTAGCATGAATTAAAAAAAAGCAGTTTCAAATTATTCAAAAATCATTTTTTTGAATTTATGCAGTCTCTTGAAACAAAAAATATTGAGTGAAATATCAAATTGAATCAAATTTTATTATTTAAAAATAAAAATTGTGCCTCTTAATTTTAATTAATTTTTATGTTCTGACAAACAATGTTGTACTTTTTTATATTTCAAAAAAAAAAATCAGCTAATAAATACTGAAGATTGACACCGTTTCCTTGTTAAAAATTTACTGAAAGATTTCCTTCTTTCATTTGCTACGGAAAGGTGCTCGCACGTGGACCTGGTCTTGAACGTGGCGTTGTCCACAAGCCGGCCGAATTCATGATTGACACCCGAGGCGCTGGTCAGGGCGGCCTCGGCGTCACTGTCGAAGGCCCTTGCGAGGCGGCCATCAATTGTCGCGATAACGGCGACGGAACGTGCTCGGTTGCCTACCTGCCCACGGAAATCGGCGACTACAGCGTTAACATTACCTTCAATGACCAGCACATACCTGGCTCGCCCTTCCAGGCCCTCATTGTTCCCGAGGTGGACGTGAACAAAATTAAGGTTATGGGAAGCGGCATCCAACCGCACGGTAATTTGACAAGAGCTGTGAAACCCTGAAAAATAATCAATGTTTAATTTTGCGGCATGAAAACTTGGATGTATTTTTAATAATGTGGCGCTTTTGTTTGAAAATTCCAATATTTGATTAATTGATAACAATCCTGATGTGCAAATTAACAGTGAATTTTGAAATAATAACATTATTTTTGTACCTGTAAATTTTCAGATGGACTTGCCTGTATGTGTGCTGAACTAACTTTATTCCTATGATTATTTAATTGACATTTGATGTTTAATTTTTTTTTTATGAAAAATTTCTAATGCTAAGTTTTCTCTCTTTTTAAATTTTCAGGCGTCTTCGTCGACTCGCCTACTGACTTTGTCGTCGACTCGCGCGCAATCAATAAGAACAACGATGGCAAGGTGTCCTGCACAATCACCAACCCCTCCGGCTCGCGGCTGGACAACCTCATCACTCCCCAGGCCGACGGCACCTTCAAGATCAGCTACACACCTTTCGAGGAGGGCAACCACACCATTGAACTTTCCTACAACGGAATTCCCATTCCGGGCTCGCCTTTCTGCGTCGCCGTCAAGCGAGGGTGCGACCCAAGCCGGTGCCGCGCCTACGGACCTGGCGTCGAAAAGGGATATGTCGATCGGCCAAATGTGTTCACCGTTGAAACAAGAAGTGAGTTTGAATTAATTTTAATACAAAATAAAACTAATTTTTCAATTTTCACAAGAGAAAATTTGATACAAATATGAATTAAAAATCTTCAAAAAGAAGTAAATTATAATTTTGTTTCAAAATAATTTTTACCGAATTTCTAACAAAATAATTATATAATTTCAGGCGCAGGAACTGGTGGTCTGGGATTGGCGATTGAAGGTCCTTCAGAGGCCAAAATTTCTTGTAAAGACAACAGAAACGGATCATGCACTGTTGAATACACCCCCTCTGAGCCTGGCGACTACGACGTAAGCATCAGATTTGCTGACCAACATATCCCTGGATCACCATTTAAGGTAAAAATAATTTTTGGAAATTTATTGTTAAAGAAAAATTTAATTGAAATTCAACGAAAATTTTATTAAGGATTTTTAAAAAAGCTCCAAAGATTTTTTCTTGCAGTAAATTAATGTGAAAAACATTCATTGAAATTTCAGGTGCCAGTTGACAAGTTTGTTGACGCCAGTTCTGTGACCGCCTATGGACCGGGTCTCGAGCCTTCAAAATGCAGAGCCGACGTGCCTTTGAATTTTAAGGTCGATGCCACAAAGTCGGGCAAAGCGCCACTCAACGTCACGATTCAATCCGACAAAGGTTAGAATTAGAACCATTATTATTCCAGTTCTATATTTTGTTAAAAATACGCCTCACCGTCCTCAGGTAACATCAAACCCGAAGTGAAGGACGTCGGTGACGGCACCTATGACGTCACTTATTACCCTCCACCCGCAGGATCGAATATCGAAGCCAACATCAAATATGATGGAAAAGATATACCAAACAGGTTTTTTATCTGCACCATCTTGATCTGGGAGGTTTGTGATGGGCTCTTATTTTTCTAGTCCGTATAAGATGAAAGTTCTGCCCACGGCTGAGCCAGACAAAGTGAAAATCACCGGTCCTGGTGTGGCGAACAAGAGCATCCCTGCGTCTCTGCCAATTGACTTTTTCATTGACGCCACTGAAGCTGGCTACGGAGATTTGGAAGTGCAGGTTTTGGTTAGTATTATTAATTTTTAGTTTTACCAAAAAAACAAAATATGATTTAATGGAACCATAAATTTTTGCAACTTATTTGATTTAAGAAAATTTTATCTGATAAATTCTGTTCAGCTACATTTTTTTATGCTTCACAATCTTAAATTCAGGCTGAATTTAATCCAAGTTTTAAATTATTCCACATAAGGAGAGACTGATGGAATTTAAAGTAATACAAAAATTATTTAATTTCAAATTAGGGTCCAGATGGCTACCCTCGCAACGTCAAAGTGGTCGAGAACGGGGACGGCACCTTCAAGGCGTCTTACATCCCTGATGATTGCGGTCGTTACGTCATCAATGTGTCTTACGCTGGACAATTGCTCAACAGAAACCTCGGCTCACAGGCCCACGCCATTGGCGAGGTGCGTTTTCTAAGTTAATTTTGAGGGAAGGAATTTAATTTGGATTTTTTTGTCCTGCAGGCTGAAAAGTGCTCAATCACAGAGGGCATTCAGAATGCGCTCACCATCGGTGAGGAGTATTGCATCACGGTGAACACAAAGGGCGCTGGTAGGGGAGCAGTTACTTGCAGAATCAGGTCTACATCTGACTCGGGAAGGTAAGTTTTTCCACTTTTCCATTAATTTAAATTTATTTTATTTTTATAATTTTTCTATATGAAAAGTGAAATTTTTTTATTAATCTCTTTGATTTGAAGCGATCTGGATATTGACATCGAGGACAATGGAGATGACACCTTCAGCATTTACTACACCGTCAAAGATGCTGGCGAGTACACGCTCAACGTCAAATTTGGCGGCCAACCTGTACCCAACGGCTTCTACACGTTCACTGTAAGTACAAAAGAATCATTTTTATTGGTTTCTAGTAACACTTTTAGTGGCCCAAAACTAAGATTGGTATATTTGAAGTGAATTAAATAATTTAATTATTAAATCTTGCGAAGTTGTAAATTTTATCATATTGTTTCAACATTGCTATATTTTGCTAGTTCTAATTATTGATTTATTTAAATTTAATGTTGTTTTATACAATAATTCTGAAAATATCTTTTAAAAATGTGGCGCTTTTTTAGCTTCTTTTAACTATAGCTGAACGTTTACATCGGCAAAAAAAATTGCAAAAAAATAATTATTTTTATTCAAAGCACACACTTTTTTAAGCAGTCCAAGAATATTTAATAGTTCACGCTTCACGCATTTGAGCTCCTCTAGCAGGGCAGAGGATGGTAATTAAAGCGCGGGGTAAAACTTACGAGGCGAGCTGGCTATTTTTCTATTTCCGAGAGCTTGAGCCAACGAGGGATTCCGCTCTATTTTCCCATCTTTCATTGTGACTGAATTTTGACTGGATTGGCATCAATCCAGCGAGTTTTTAATATTCGGGGGGCGTATAAGCTGAGCCGCAAAAGCAGACTATCAAAGTGCTCCTTTGCCGACACAAAATAAGTAGCAAAAACAAGTTATTTTCGCGTACATATGCTCTGTTCTTAATTGGCTTTGGCACGACCGAGCGTAGCGTCGCACCAACACTTGACGCGCCGTATGATAACGTTAATTTGATACAAATTTTAATCCTTTAATGAATTTAGAATTTAATATTGAAATGTGCAAAAAGGCAGTTAGTTTAAAATTAAAAAAAAAATCAATATCACCCGACTGAAGGACAACGTTATTTTTTGCTTGTTAATGTTTCACAGATTCATTTTGAAAATTAACCTTTATGAATTGTTCCATCTTGATTCAAAATATTTCCGACTAAACTGACTCTTTTTCTCAAGACTATTCATAAACTATTTTACATAGAATTTTATTGCTGAATTATATAATTTTTTTTTAAATATTGTGACCGTTTGACAATGTCATTAACAATTTTCATTACAAAATAAGAAATTTAAAAAAATACTGAATTATATGTTAATTTTATTTACTTCTACAATTAGAAAAATTAGATAGCTAAAAGAGCCTTTCTATTTTTTATACGTTTTGTTTGCTCAAAAGTGACTTTTTGGCCAGTCTTAAATTTGTTTTCGACAACTAATTAATTTTTGCTTCATTTCTCCTTTCGTCACAAGTTCATAATTCATTTAACTTGAGAAATGCCGTCGCTAATGAGAGACGAGCAGAGTGTTTGCTGCAACTGTGTTGCGCACCAGTCTTGTCTGACGGATGTTCCTATCTCATTTAATTTTCTGGGACGCGTTACGCTGGCGTTGCACTTAAGTGGGTGCGACTGAACTCTATTTTTAATATATAATACATTTCCTTACTTCCCTCGGCCGATCGCTTTGATCTTGTTAGTGAAAATAACCGGTAAATTTTATTTCATGTTTCATTTAAAAGCAGCGGAAAAACTTAAAAACGCTTATGTAACAGATGAATTCATTATTTCAGCAGGTGGTTTTGGCCAATCAAATCACAAAAGTATAATTTCTAATTTTTTTTTATATTATATTTTAGCAATGAATGAGATGATAGTTGAGCTTTCTTATCTTTTTCCAAGTAAAAAAGATTTGTCCGAAAATAGCTGTAATGAAAAATGGTGCGTTGCAAGATGGCCAACGAGACAAGGGCACGGAGCGGAAGCTGTCGGATCGCATTTTTGAGTCATAGATCGCGAGTCCGGGCATGTGACAAACGGGCCTGTATACCCATGCAAGCGGAGCTGGATTCTACATTTAGATATTAAAAAATCAGAGCAGCAAAGGGGCACCGGCGGCCGCGACTCTCTCTTGAGCGGGGGTGTCGCCCTCGGATCCACCCAATATTCTTGGGCTTATATGGCGGCCAAGGGAGGGGCTCTTCGCCGAGAGCCAACCAACGGCCGCTCTCGGACCCCGTCCTTTTTGTTTTCCTCTCGATTCCAATCCGCAAGGTCGCATTGTTAATGTTCCCTTTGATGATTTAATTCGTTCCCGGCCGCGCCGTGATTGATTTGTCAGTCAGTCGCCGCCGCGACCTGACGACGACGCACCACCGCAGTGAGTAGCCCTGTTTTCCTTCCACCCCTACCATTCTTTCCGTGCAAACAAACACCACCTGTGTCTCGTCCTTTTTGAAAATACTGAGCTGAGCCGACTTGGCCGGCAGGCCACCGGCCGAGCAACGCGGCCGTGCGGCACAGCATGCCGATCGTCCGGCAGGCGTTCTAATCGCTACCGTGATATTTAATGTTCCGCTCCGCTGAGCTGATAAACAGTTGACTTAGCAATCTTCTGAACACTGCTGAACACAATTTTAGAGGTCGCGTCAATATCACGAGCTCTTTTGCTGTATGTTTAGTTTTTTTTATTTATTAATGAAAGACCCTGCTAATATAGGGAATTCTATTTTATTTAAAGTTTTTAATATTTTTTTGCAATTCGGAAAATTTCAATTGTTGCCGAGCTCTCTGATTGGGAAAATTTTACTTGTACCCAATCAGAGAGCTCAAACAACAATCAAAACATTTTTCATTGTTGCTAATGCGCGGACCTTGATTTTTTTGTTGCAAATAATAAATTACCGTCTAACCTCTGACCTAAGCTTCCTTTTCTGCGAAACGGTACGATTCTTCTGTCATTTGAAAAAATTTAACTGCAAAAAAAAATTTGTATATTAATTAAATAATTGGTATGTAATTGTAAAATAATTTATAAATTAAATTATTATTATTTATTATAAATTATTAATATCTTGGGAATTCAAAAAGGGAAAATATATTCTCAAGTGCCAAATATGATCCTAAATGAGGGAAAGGTATTTTTTTTTTCATTTTCAGGCTATTAGCCGTTTTTTAAACAACCTCAGATCTTAAATTATGGAATATTCAAAGCAAAAGTTTTAAATTAAAAATTATTAGTTCATCGTTCTATAATTAATAGTGTGAATTTAATTTGAAAATGAGATTAAATAGCCAATTGTTATACTAGAATTTACAGACGCCAAATTTTAGCTGAAAATAAAGATTAATAGCGTAAAATAATTTTTCAATGTGTTAAATATTAAAGATTGTTCTCATATTTTCAGTTATTTTCAAATTAAAATTTTGGTCTCATTTGAATGTGATTTAATGAAAATTTTGATGCGCTTTGTTGAATGAAAAAGTCAATTTCAACAAAACTTTTCAACAGCAAAATCTACTCTAATGTTTTGGAAACCGTGGCTTTCCTTTAGGATATACTAGGATGTGTGTTGCATTTTTTGTCTTAAAAAAGGTTTTCCTAAAAATATACATTTTTTTATTTTGAACAGATTGAGATATTTTTGTGCACTTTGGAGCTCGAGACAGGGAATGGGTGGGAGCCAAACAATAATTTTTAACGCCGCTCCTATTATTAGTCCCGCAATATTAAAGTACACCCTCCGAGCACGTTTATAAAAAGAAAAAAAATAATAATAATAAACTAAAGGGATGGCTGCTGCTGTTTACGACTCGCACGCCCGACCTAATTGACAGCACGGACCCTCCGTTGTCACAGATTTTTCTCTTGACACGTAAAAAATGTCAATCCCAACAGCTTAAACATTCTAATAGCGCGGCCCAAACAGTTGTTCACATTGATTTTCTCGGGCGGATTATTTATGGAGCAGCAGTTGGTGCGCATTATAAAGCGTTGAATATAATAATAATACAGCTTGAGCCCCTTGAGCTCTGTTGAAATGTGAAACAGAATTTTCGGCGTGTTGATAGAGAGAAGCCAGGATTATTTTTGGCGCTCTGTTCTTTATTATACAATGATGTGTTTGCAACAATTTAATAAGAGGAATTTTGCCAACTCGAGCGGCTCCAAAAATATCAAAGGACCACGTCAATTAATTTTTGATTTTTATTTCTTAAAATTTTTTTTCTCTTAATGCTTCAAATCAATGTTTTACTTAAATATATTAATTCAAAATTCAAGGGAGTTTAGACATTTGATTATAACATCATTATTGTGGAAATTAAAAATTCACTCCGAGGTTCCAACTCTTTTGGTTAAAATTCCGGTTTCAAACCTTAATTTGTGCCAATATTTCAATCGCGATTACCATATTATCTAAAAATTTGTTTACTTTCACATTCAGGAATATGTAAATATATCAGTTTTGGTCTTTAAAAGTGTCGAAAATTAAAAAAAAAAGAATATTCTGCTAGTTTTTCATTCATTTAAAAATATTTTGGCTCTTCTGTAAATTTTCGAAGCACGACTGGCCGCCTTTACATCTCTCTCATTTAAAATGGGACTGGAGGCAGGAAGTAATCTATTTTCACTACCTTCTTTCCGCACGTTCTCTTGAGCATAAAGATCAACAAACGCGTCTCTTCCATCATCGCAACTGCAGAGAAAATTATTCGCTCTTTCTCTGTGTGCGGCGCCCGCCGGCCGCAGGGTTTCCAAAACCGAACCGGCGTGGGTAAATATTTGAAAAGGGCGAGCGAGCACAACATGTGTGTTGCGGTGATGACGACTCGCCGAGAGACGCTGCCAGTCGTTGGCTTTATAAGGCAAAAGAGAGCAGTGCGTGCAGGGCATGGCCCATGAAAAGATCTACTTGTGCTCGCTTCTTGTGTTTCTCGACCGCAGTGCAGAATTCGCCACATTCCCGTGGAAATGCCACCGCAGAAGGCAAACTTTCCAAACCCCTCGTTACCTTTTCCAGGTATTAAAAACAAAAACATTTTCATATTCAAAACTGATCAATAAACTCATCAGGAAAGAAAATAATAATAGGTTAAACTAGACAGTTTATGAAAATTTGAAAGAGTTATAATGAACACGATCAAAAATATTTCATTAGAGTTATGAATTAAAATTTACCGTATTTTAAATACTTATTTATTTTTTATTAGTTTATCTTCTTGATTTCATTTCATATTAATACAGTAATTTTATGACCGTTGTATAAATTATTAAAAATAATTAAAATCTTTGGTGATTTTGATTTGCTGGTCTGACACTCAAAGATATGAGCTCACTCATTGTCAGAGGAACTAGCACTGCCTTCTTCAGAGCGTCTCTTTGTTTGACTAGACGGGTCAAATTAAACACTGCAAGATAAAGTATCGCGAAAGTTTGCAATTTGCAGCGTAATATGAAATCAGCAGCTATAGAAGAAGAGAGGAAGTCATTTATTCAGTTGAATCGAAACCTTTCAACATTTTTAGTGCATCAAAGTTATCATTTTAAGATTTATAATGTAATTTTTTTGTTCCCAGTTTTTTTCAGTTAAACTATTTCATATTCAAGAATTAAAAATTAAAACTATAAAAGTTTTTCTCTTTCTAAATTTTGTTCAAATTTTATTGATTCTTTGAATTTTAATTAGAATCATTTTGATATTAAAAAATTATTTTTAAATTCAAGTAAAACTGTCTAAATGAGTTGAAACTAATTATTCGTCCGTTGGATCCTCGTCCACATCTCGTCGGTCGGCAATTTTTGTGAGCTCGTGTGTACGCATCCGATCTTTCTCCCCCGCATAGATTATTTAAGGGCCGTTCCTATTTTTCTGATTAGCCACGGCGTCGTTGCCGTTCGGCCGCAGAGATTCATCTCTCGCAGCCACCAAGATCAAACGTTTATCTCTTTCCTGACCGAGCGTCTCTGACTGAATTGCAGGCCGGAAAAGAGCAGGAAGCGGACTTTGTCAAGCAAAACGTGCACAAAGACACCAGCAGCCAGACCATCAACAGCAGGAAGGAAAAGGGTTACAGACTTGTCGAGCTACAGGACATTCCATTGCCATCAACTGGAGGACAAGTAACAGGTAGGATTTTAATTTCGAATTTTACACTTAATTGCGAAAGGAAACATCTGCAGAAAGAGTATTTTTATCTTTTCTTGTCCCACTTCATCATTATTTTTTTTTACATACAGGAAATTCAAATTTAGCGTGATGTATTTTAAAATAGATTTTTATTTTACTATACGCAGTGCAAAAATTCTTCAACAGTAAATAATATGTTACTTATCAGGAGGGAAGCTTTCAAAAAGTTTCAAAATTCAGAAATATTCGTTGAATATTGTAAATTAATTCGTTTCGCGTCGCCAATTTTTTTAAATACGCAACCTGTGCAACACAGAAATAAAATCCTAAATTATTAATTTTAATATATTTATATTGATGATTTTATTTCAATTCAATTTAACACTGCTTTTTTTCTAATATCTTGCACAGGCATGAAGACTATGCAACGCGAGTAACAATAGCAAAAATAATTGAGATGGTTGAAAAATCAATTTTTTTTATATTGAAATTATTTAATCTATAGTAAAACTGTACCAAAATATTTAATAATTAAAAATAATTATAAAAAGAACGTTGTAATTATCTAAAAAATAATCTAATAAGGTTTTGAGGTATTTTATCATTTCAATGCTACCATTAAATTTTGGAAAATAATATAATATTCAACCCCCTTCTCTAATCAAGTGAGCAGATTTCATATCAAATTTTTTTTTATTTAAAATCAAGTAAGTTGAAAATATTAATTTCAACAAAATTAAATTTTTTATAATATAAAAATTGTACATTATTTCTATTGTTGGCAACTTTGCCTTTATTCTCATTTAATTACAAAAATATTTTACCAAAAAATTTGATAATAATCTTTAAATTTTAAATTGAAAACCAATACATGGATGAAATTAAATTTGTTGAACGGGTTGCATAATGCTTTACTTATTTGAGACTTTTGAAAGTAAAACCATTTTACATACTGCGGACGTTATAAATCTCACTCGAGAGCACAACAAAAGCGTCGACGTGCGAATGCACCGCTTGAATAATTGTGCATAATAAATTATTGCAACGCATATTAATTAACAAGGGCGGCCTTCACGCTGCCCACAAGGGTGAAATTTACGATTGGGCGGTGCGTGACTCAGCAGAAAGCTATTTGTGATGTGAATCACACAAGTTGGTGGACGAAGCTCGCAGGGGGACACTTTGTGCTGCCCCCGCCTGACTCATCCCGAAGCGCCGCGCAAATTGGCTGGAAAGCTGTTTCGACCGCGGCGTATTATTTTTATAAACGGCCTCGCGATCACCCCCGTGATGTGTGATCGCGTCGCAACTTTCTTGTCCAAGGCGAACCTTTTTTAACGCCTGGAAAGTAAAAAATGTGGCAAAATAGAATTTCTACGATTTAACTAAAAATGTATTAATAATTTTCTCAAGGAATGTCAGGGTTTTCCATCTCATTTCGGACATTTATGTGCAAAAGTTGGCATGAAATAAAATGCGGTGGAGAGGATTTAAGGAATGTTTATGATTATTTTTTAACCTCTATTAATAAATATAATTAATTAAATAGAGGAGATAAAACAGGAAATTAAACATTATTTGATGAATTTCCTTAAATATTAAATTCCAAAATAATTTTACCAAAACCTTGTGTTTTCTCGTAGAGAAGCAAGTAAATAACCCTTAGACTTAAGGGTAGCTTTGGGGTTTAATATAATTTTAAGAAAAGGTTAATTTAATATTCTCTAATAACCACTTCTCATGAGATTAATTTGATATTATAAAATCTCCTTCTTTTCAAGCGAATAACATTTTATCTAACAATTTCTTCTGATAAATAACTTTTTATGATAAGTTAAGGAGTAAAGTTAAAGAGAAGATTATTGCATGCCATCAAGTGAATTTCTGATCAAGAACTACGTATTTTCAGAAGTCGTGTAAAGTAGGCTTCCCGTTGGTCACAGATGTCAAGCAATTGCCTAGTTCAGTGGAATCCCGGCTATTTCCGCTATCCGTGACAAGCGGAAAGTACTAAAAAGAAAAACAATCTTAATCGTCATCCCTGCGCAAATTTGTAAATTTTAAAAAATTGGTATTTCGTTTGCTTGATTGTGTTAAATCAAATAAATTTCAGACAATTTTAAAACTGAACACTTGCATGAAACGTAGAAAATGGTCGTTTGAACTAAAAACAAGTATTAATAGCTTTTCCAGGAATGTCAGGTTTTCCATCTCATAGCGGACATTTATGTGCAAAAGTTGGCATGAAATAGATTCGTTCCAGGAGATTTAGATTTAATTAATGAAAGTGAAGAGATAAAACAGTAAAATGCAAATAATTAAACTGAATTGCTTTAAAAAAAACGTACGAAAATATTAAATTTGCTTGTGCTCTTTTTGTCTTTGACTTTTAGCTTACGGATTGAAAAGGGCCATAATTATACCCAAATTTTGATTATAAAAAATGTTAACCAATAATCTGAAACAATAATTTATCTTAAAAGATTGTTTAGTGAATGGCGTGACTAACGAATATTTTGAGGAAATGACACTCCGCAAATCAACTTAACTAACCGTAAAACACGGACGTTTCGGAATTCAAAGGTCACAAATATGACATCTTTCGAAAACGCCATCGGAGCAAATCCGCTGTGACAGATACAAAATGTCTTTTTTGCGCAAAGAAGCGGAAGCGTGGCGCGAAACGTGACACCCCGGAGAGTAACAAGCTCTCGGAGTAAGTCCTCAAACTTCCTCCTCGGCGCGCGGCCCACTCGAATTTGAATTTAACCACGGATCGCCACAATTCATTCCAGCAGAGCGGAGGAAGGGCAGCTCACGTTGCTAGCAACGAGTTAGAAATTCCAGTGGCACCGACTTGGCAGAAACAGACATTCTTTAATTTGGCCCGCACGCACCATTAGCGTCTCTCGGAATCACGTCGAAAACGCGCTCGATTCGGCCAAAGAAAGGGGGCCACCGCGACGAGCAAAATGCCATAAATTTCAGAGTTGACTAAACGCCAGAGGGAATAGAAACATCCTTAAGATCCGCTTGGGTGGCTGCAACCTCTCTGAGAAAAAATTCTTGCTAGAACTTTGTTTTACGAAATTCAGCCGTTTTTAAAATTGAAGTTTCAATTTTTGAAAAGTTTAGCCGAAAACAATTTTCTTAACACTATCAGAATTTTTATGCAAAATCTATCAAGAAATAAAAATTGAATTTTGATAAAAAAAAAATTTAATTGGTTAAATTTTAGTGCATCAAATGCATTCCTCTAAAAACCACTCGCTCAGAAGTACTGGATATAGTTTTCATTAGTTTTTATGTGGGGTTCCTCGGAAGTGTTCTTGAAATATTGAGCTCTCTGAGTCACTTTAGTCGCTTGGCAAGTTTTTATTAAGTCGTTGCCAAGCTCTTAAATAATACAGAAAAAAACTACAAAGAAAACCGATGAGTTTTATTTAGAGGCGGAAAAAAATGAGATTTTCGCAGTGGAGAGAGTTTTGAATGGTGCTTTAACTTGAATTAAAGTCTCTTCCCCTTCTGCCTCGAAAGATGGATGAGACGAAAATGTTAGTATGCAACTTGCACTACCTATGGAGTGATAATTGTGACAAAAACTTCTAAAAAATTATTTGTCTAATTTACACCCCATAAATAGAAATATTAATAAAAGTTTTAATCAGTTTCAATCATTCATTTTTGTGAAAACTCTCTAAATTAAAGTTAAAATATTGATTTAAATGACAACTAAAAATCTTTTTCACAAGCTGATTCATGTAATCTGAATTTATATCCAGTACAAGTCAGAAGACAGAATACATATTAAAAATGCAGAATTATTATATTATTATTTTACGATATTTAAATGTGCAGAAAAATTCTGGAAAACAAAGTTACCTCCTGTCTTTCGAAACTTTCAAAACATATCTCGCAATATGTTTTTTTTCAAGAGTGACTAATTTCAACAGTCTCAACTTCTAGCAGTTTCCAAGCAGTTTTTTTCCGCTGCCGGGCGGTCACAAAACTTGATCTTGGCGCTTTTAAATCGCAGTATATCATCCTGCGCACTTGTGCTTTCACTGGTTTGTGATTTATTAAAAATGCAATCACTCAATCTTTCGCGTTTGCCAAAAGTGATGGATCAGCGTGTCCGGTCAAATGTGTACTACTTTTTTTTTTTTTAAATTCCGGCGATAAGGGGTGGCAGTTAGTACGGCCAATATATTTGTAAGGCGTTTACGCAAGCGTTTGGCAATTAGGATCCATCGGCGGGCGGGAGAGGGAGCGATTTAATTAAACGCCGGCAAGGTTAGAGCACGAGAGAGAGCAGCTGTCGGCAATAATTCTCCGCCGCTCAGTAAATCACCCACCCCAGCCCTCCAGACTCTGCGCACCGGCGTCCAGCCAGCCAAGCGGCTGCAGCTCCACCGATTTTTGGCTCGGCGGGCGGCGGCGACAAAAAATATTAAAATCGTGAAATCGGCCGAGATTATAAGCAGCGCGAGCCAGTCATAATTGAGCGTCACCATGTTCGGCTGGGACGAGCTCGTCCCCAACACAAAGGCCGAGGCGACCTGGACGGAGGTCAGCGTTTTCTTCAGGTGAGACACAGACCTGAAATCAAATCGTGCTAAATTTTTTTGTCACGAAACTTCCGAACTACTTTTGGATTCAACCAGGATTTTCCTTCTTTTTCTCTATTGTTGTTTTTTCTTCTTCTCTGCACCGGTGTCTCGCAGGGACCTGACCAAGGTTCTCCTGGTGCACGAAACCGAGTGCCAGACCTGTCCGATCTGCTTCGCGGGCAGCCTACCCAGCAAGGAGTACCGCGCGCTGGTGTTGCAGAACGGCTTCGCGAACGGCCGCAGCCACGGAAGTTCCGAAGAGGTCAGTTCCGAGGAGGATTACGCTTCGGCCGACGACGACGAAGAGGAGGAAGAAGACAGCGATGAAGAATCTTGTGATAGTGAAGACTGTGGTCGTGACATCATGTCAGTGCTAAACTGTTATTACATTGATAGGAAAGGTAAAAAAGCCGAATCGGTGGGATAATGGACAAATTTTATATAGGTTTGCATGAATCTGAAGAAAATTAAACATAAAAATTAAGCATTTTGTCATTTGAATGATTTCTATAGATATAGATTTATTATTATTTTTTAGTCTTATAGGAAACTCCTATTTTTAAACATTTACTTTTTTAAGTAAAAAATGTAATTTTCCGTGTAGAGCGTGTAAAAGGAAATTTTAAATTATGGCAGATATGTTAGTTAAATGGAATAATATATTAAAAATTTGAGGCAAATCGTTAATAGAATTTTTTTAATTTAACAGTTATGAAGTGAACACTAAAAACTTTACTCTGCACAGATGTTTCCTTTCAGGATTGACATAATTATTTCTGAACTACGTGATATTTTGCTTTTAGTTTTATAGAATGTTTTAAAGTTTAATTGAAAATTTCCAGCTGAAATCAAAATGCCGAGCGGTCAAATCGACAAACCTCATATTGAGGATAACAGAGACGGAACTGTTAGTTTACGGTACGACCCTCGCGAAGAGGGGCTGCACGAACTCAGCGTCAAATACAACGGAGAACACGTTCAAGGTACTCTTCTTTCGTTTTATACCAACTCGCAATTTGTTTTCACTTAACGTCTCTGCAGGATCACCTTTCAAATTCCACGTCGATTCCATTAGCAGTGGTTATGTTACTGCCTACGGTCCTGGTCTGTCGCACGGCGTGTGTGGGGAGCCATCAAATTTCACCATCTCCACCAAGGGAGCAGGAGCAGGTAAAAAGAAAATTACTTGTTTTAAATTCAAATTTAACTTTCACGGAATTCTTTCAAAATTTCAATGATTTCAATATTAATGCCTTTTTAGCACAATTTTAAGATTAAATTTAATTCCACAGTAATTTTATTAAAACTTTTTTTAAATTATGTTTTTTATGAAATAATTAAAAAAATTGCTCCAGGTGGCCTCTCCTTGTCAGTGGAAGGACCAAGTAAAGCGGAAATTAGCTGCCATGACAACAAAGATGGAACTGTTTCAGTTTCGTATTTACCAACAGCACCTGGCGAATATAAAATTTCAGTTCGCTTTGGAGACAAACATATCAAAGGCAGTCCGTACACAGCCAAAATCACTGGTGAGTTTTATTTCACATTTTTCTCTTTTGAATCGAATAGGAATTAAAATCAACACTTCTTCTTCAATGTTAAAAATATTTTGAATTTACATGAAATAAATAAAAATACAAAATTATTGAAAAAATCTTTTATAATAGGTGAGGGCCGCAAGCGAAACCAAATCTCGGTCGGTTCGTGTAGTGAGGTGTCTCTGCCAGGCAAGGTGTCCGACCAAGAGATCCGCTCATTAAACGCCTCGATACAGGCGCCGAGCGGCCTCGAGGAGCCGTGCTTCCTGAAAAAGCTGCCCAACGGCAATCTGGGCATCTCCTTCACGCCCCGAGAGATTGGCGAGCACACCGTGTCCGTCAAGCGAATGGGCAAGCACATCCAGAATTCGCCGTTCAAGATCGAGGTGGCGGAACGAGAGGTTGGCGACGCCAAAAAGGTCATGGTCACCGGAAGGGCACTGATCGAGGGAGAGACCCACGTGGACAACACATTCACCGTGGACACTCGCAATGCAGGCAAGTTGAATTAGTATTTGTAATTTTTGTTTTTAGGAAAAGGACCTAAAAAGCGCACTCTATTTATTATTTATATCTTGGGCCTCATTGGAAAGCAAAAGAAAATATAAAATTTTTCTTGCAAAAAGATTTATAATCATATAAAATATGTAAAGTTTTTGCCAAAGTTAAAATAAACACTTTTAAAAAATCATTTTAAAAAGTAAAAAAATTAATTTAAATATATTTTTAACGTTTACTTCATTTTTACAATTGAAATCGTATTTAATTGAAAATTGATTTGAATCAGGCTATGGCGGTCTTTCCCTTTCCATCGAGGGTCCCAGCAAGGCCGAGATTCAGTGCAAAGACAATGAAGATGGCACCCTAAACATATCATACAAGCCGACTGAACCAGGCTACTACATTGTGAATCTGAAGTTTGCCGACCACCACGTCGAGGGATCGCCGTTCACGGTCAAGGTGACTGGAGAAGGGTCGAACAGGCAGAGGGAGAAGATCCAGCGGCAGAGAGAAGCCGTCCCCATCACTGAAGTTGGCAGCGAGTGCAAATTGACTTTCAAAATGCCAGGTAAAATTTTTTATTTTAAGTTTTATTTGTTTTAAAATAAATTTGCTTTACTTTCTACAAACTCAGGAATCACTTCCTTTGACCTAACGGCCACCGTGACATCACCCAGCGGGGTCACCGAAGACGCAACAATCGAAGAGGTCGAAGATGGCTTGTACGCAGTTCACTTTATCCCCAAGGAGCTGGGAGTGCACACGGTCTCCGTCAAATACAAGGAAATCCACATTCCTGGTACGAAACATAATTCCATATATTAAATCTAAAATTACCTCACCATGGAGAACACATGTCAATTTTAGTTTATTTTTGTCGTCCTTTGGATTGTGCCGAGTTTGATTTTCAAAAGTGTAAATCTAATAACTTTAAAAAAATATTTTTTTTAAAGCTGGCTGGACTTTTTGATGTTGTGTCAAGTTTTACTCTTTATTGATAGTGCCGTCAGTGTGGCGCAACGCGCAGCATTTGGCCCGCTCAGGGCAAGCTGCCACTTCAAATAAATGCGCTAGCTCCTGCGTAAACACGCTGATTTCCTGCACGTTTTATGAGCCATGAAAATCCCATAAAAATATTCAGTTCCACTCTCTGTGTTGGTAATTCGTCGAGGCCTTGTGCTAATTTTTACTGGCCTAATTTTTCAAACAAAAATTTTCTATTAATTTTTCTCAACAAATTTTTTCTTCCAGGCTCACCCTTCCAGTTCACTGTGGGTCCTTTGCGCGACGGAGGCGCACACAGAGTGCACGCCGGAGGACCTGGTCTGGAGCGAGGCGAGCAGGGCCAGCCATGCGAGTTCAACGTTTGGACCCGCGAAGCTGGAGCCGGTTCGCTGGCCATTTCGGTCGAAGGTCCGAGCAAGGCAGAGATCGACTTCAAGGACCGCAAGGATGGATCTTGCTACGTCAGCTACACTGTTGCCGAACCAGGTTTGTCACTATTTATATTCTAACAATAAGCAGATTAATTTCAAGTTTGAAAAAATTTAAAGAATTAAAAAAAAAAATTTTATAAAAATTTATGGAAAAAGCTATTAGACCCTTCAAAAACATGTTGAAGAATATCCAGGGAAAGAACACTTCTGACAATCAGATTTCATATTTTAAAAAAAAGTTTGGCTCAGTTTATTGAAATCTAAATGAAATTTACAAAGATTGTAATTCAGAGAAAAGGCCAGTTTAGTTCTGATTAGATACATCTTCCACTTCTCTCTTTCAAGATTTGGTATGCAAAAATTTGAAATTTCACAAATAGGCAAAAAATATAAGCAAAATAAAAAAGTTTCGTTGAAAAAAGGAAAAAATAAACTAGAATTTGAATCAAATCTAATATGAAGTGGAAAAAGAAAGGTATGCAACCGGCGCATCTCCTCCGTTGTGCCGGTTGCGTTCTGATATTTATAAATAAATAATTTCGATAATTATATTTTGTTGAATAAATCTTGTAGTGTATGCAGTGAAATATTTAAATTTTCTTCATTTGTACTTAATTTTTTTTATAATCATCAATAAAATCGCACACAACATGGAGTAGCCATTGAAGTTGAATATGTTAAAAATTCAATGAATTGAATTAGTCTCAATATTGGAAAAAAAAAATAGTTTTTCAAGAACAATTAAAATTTTCAACACTAAAAGATTCTGAAAATTTTCTTTTGACATTGATAATTTTAAATTCGTTTTACACATTTTTTTTTTTAAATTTTTGTCTTTATAATGGGCAATTAGCATTTTCCGCTGCGGATTCTTGGCCGATACACTTTTTGTCAGCCGAGTCAACACGCGAGTGAGTCACGCGTCCGATCTTATTCGCGGCTGTCTGGACATCTTTCTCAAATCCCGCGAGCACAAAAACGAAATATAGGCGTCCGCGCGTCACAAGAAGCGCGCGTGTCTATTTTGGCGCGAGTGAAATTAATGAGGACGCGCGCTGCGTGTTGGCAGCTGGAGTGCCTTCTGCTTTTCTCTAGCATGTCCAAGAATAATTTTTCGTAGCATGACTTCGCAATAGGGCGCTCTCTCGCTGGCTGGCTCGCTCGCGGCGTCTCTCGGACGGAAACTCGCGTTTCAATTTAGTTAGTATTGGTCGACGCTGGGCACGGACGCCCGACCGGTGACACCTCGCACGTCGCCGACACTATCTGCACCTTTTTATCTCCTTTTGCAATGGCGGAAATTCGCAAGTCCGCCTCACCCTACATGTACAAAGTGTCGCAGCAGATTCAGCTCGGGGCACCTGTCATTAGCGACAAGGACACAAGTTAGTAACGCATAAAAATTTTACCGTGTTTATTAAAAAAAAAACCCAAGGAAAATAAGCAGTTGAAAGTATTTTGCTCTTTTCTCTTTCACATAAGCACTGTGTGCTAAATTTAAGTGCGCTAGTGGGTTGTAGAAGCAGCGTTACGGCTGTTTGGTTATGGGGTAAGAAGGTTCGCTTGGGCCAAATTTTGACGTCAGTGCGTCCCACCCAAACTCGTCGGTTCACATATTCGTGTTAAAGTACTTTGTGCAGGGGTGAAAAATGCGGCGCTCTAGAATATTTTTAAAGAAAATCAAATCCAATAAATTCTTATATAACATTTTTGGATTTTTCCAAAGCTCCGATATCATGGCAGTTGATTGATTTGTAAAAGTTTTAATAAAGCATTTTTAACATTGATGCAAGAAAGGGATGACAATTTGATGATTCTTAAAAATCATATTCATTGAGAAAAATACAAGGCTTTGATCTTTTTTATCATTTATGAAATTTCCAAATAACAATATTATTATAATAAAAAATATTTTATTTAATTTGAAACCTTTCCTTTAAAATTCAGATTTTAAACAAAGAATTTGTTTGCTTTGCAGGTGAATATCGAGTTGGCATCAAATTCAACGACCAGCATGTGCCAGACTCGCCCTACAAAGTGTACATCTCACCCGCCCTTGGTGACGCCCATAAACTGGAAGTTGCCCAGTTCCCTGATGCTGGCGTCTCGGTGGAAAAACCAGCCGTATTCTTGGTTCGCAAAAACGGCGCTAAAGGCGAACTTGATGGAAAGGTATATTTTTTACTATTTTTATTGTTTTGAATTTTTCCGCAAAATTATCATTTTTTTTCTTCATATATTGATTTTCTTTTGTCGGAAATTTCAGATTGTCTCACCTTCGGGCATTGAGGACGATTGTTTCCTCCAACTGATTGACGCCGACACGTATTCAGTGCGCTTCATGCCCCACGAAAACGGCATCCACAACATCCACTGCAAGTTCAACGGTGTCCACATTCCTGGTTCCCCGTTCAGGATAAAGGTGGGCAAGGAGGACGCAGACCCAGCAGCCGTCCACGCTTTTGGCAACGGACTCGAGAAGGTCAAAACAGGTATAAAAATTGGTATTATTTTTTGATAGAAAAATTAAAATGTTAAAAAAAACAGGCCAGAAGACGGATTTCATCATTGACACTTGCAACGCTGGTGTGGGAACCCTGGCCGTGACAATCGACGGCCCGTCAAAGGTGTCCATGGACTGCACCGAAGTCGAGGAAGGCTACAAAGTCAGGTACACACCCCTGGTTCCTGGAGACTACTATGCTAGTGTGAAATACAACGGATACCACATTGCTGGCTCGCCATACAAAATATCCTGCTCAGGTAAAATAAAAATAAAAATTTTATTCTCTATTATCAAAATAATCATTTTTTTCTTTTAAATCAGGTGACGATTTGGCTGAGAGAGGAGCTCAGGAGACATCCTCGGTGGTTGTCGAGACTGTGCAGAAGATCGGAAAGGGCAGACCACTTGGACCTGTGCTGCCTCTCTTCAAATCCGACGCCTCCAAGGTGACGAGTAAAGGCATGGGACTTAAGAAGGCCTACCTGCAGAAGCAGAACATGTTTACAGTCAGCGCCACTGATGCTGGTGAGTGGATCTTTTTAAGACAAAATTTATTGACAAACTCTAAATTTCTTTTAGGAAACAACATTTTGTACGTCGGCGTTTACGGTCCGAAGGGGCCTTGCGAGGAGGTGTACATCAAGCACTTGGGCCGCAACAACTACCAGGTGAACTACGTGGTTCGGGAGCGTGGAGACTATATAGTGATTGTGAAATGGGGTGACGAGCACATACCAGGGTCACCATTCAAGGTCGACGTTTGAGAATGACAAAAGAGAGAAAATGCATCCCTCTCGACAAGCGAGACGCCCAAGACAATGATGATTATTTTTGTATGAGTCCCAGAACGGATGATGAGTGGAGGAGATTTTTGCGCCTAGTTGAACTTTGAATTTTTTGTTTTGCCAGAAAATGCGTTCATGATTTTCATTTTTCATGCGCGCTCTTTAACACACACACTTAACGAAAAATTGTTGTTTGCATTTAGAAAAGTATTACTATTATTGGATATACATATATTTTATTTTATCCCCAATGTTACTGTCGTTGTTGCTTAACTTTCGTTTCGATTTTGTCCCCGACGATTTTCAGCGTTTTCCCTGTACATAAAATGAGAAATTTTATAGCCAAGTGCCTTCTTCGTCTCTTAAAATTGATGGCTGAAGTGTTATTACAATATTTATGTTTAATGCTAATTCTATAGGAGCTCAGTTTTTCTACTAACAGCAGTATCTTGCCGGCCATGTTCTACTCACAAAACATGTTTAAGAATGGGAAACAGAAGAATTTTAATTATACATTTACTATACAGGTTAAGTGCCTTGCAACATTTACCGCTTGGGAGATATCATTGTGATTAAAGATTATAGACAGATTAAATAAAGATCTAAATTTCAAAATGTTAATTGAATTTCAAACACTGTGCAATAATGTTGTTTTAATAAAGAAAAATAATTAAAAGTTCAGTGTATGATTTCCAACAATCAAACAAATTTGCTTCGCACAATTCCAATTTATTATTATTTATCTCTATTGAGCTTCACAAGAAAATATGAGAAACAATAATTTGAATAACTTTGCTTATTAGGAATCAGTCTTGAGTGATTTTAGAAAACCATCCTGGAGGTGGACATTCCAGAACCACCTCCACAGGAGGACGATGGGGGCGGTGGTGGGGGCGGCTGCGGCTTTTTGAAGTAGCTTCCAAGGGAGCTTAAGTATCCTCGCCCTTGGTAATTTCTAACGTACGACTGCAGACTGGCATCGAGATCTGCAAATGCCACGCTAGGCTCCTCTTCTTGGCAGTCTTTTCTCCGGTAGAACAAAATGTACGGCGTGTCCAGGGCTCCCATCGACGTACTACAATTGGTGACAACAGACCCGTCGTCTAGCTTCAGAGTGCCGTTCTCGGTGCTGATCATTGAGTAGTAGTGGCCGTGCGACGCGGACGGGCCGGAATGGACGACCATCGCGTGGATCTTGAAGTCCTTCCCATTCACTTGAATCTCGTCCTCCACCTGCACTTGAGTCATTATCTTCACAGTCTGCTGCTGAGAGGTGTTGTACAGGAAGCGTTTGAGGCAGAGGATCAGATATTGCGGCGGAACGACCAGCTTGGTGAAGCAGGTCGAGTCAACTTTGACTTTGCAGTTTCGACACTCGTATTTCTCCGAGTCTTGCAACTCGACCGGCTGAAAATAAGCCTCCAGCAGGTTGGAAATGCGACAATGTTTGTTTTCTCGGTCCGGAATGGCCAGACAGATGGAGGTGGTTCGTTTTGTCTGCTTGTGTTCGTAGTTGCACCCGTGGCACATGTACATCTCAAACTGGCATCCACCAAAAACCTAACCAGTGAAAAAAAAATAATAATTAATTTTATTAAGAAAAAAATTAACTTTTTTGCTACCTGTTGGCCAAGTGTGTTATACTTGGGCATTGCACATTCCGATTCAGTTTCATCCTCAAGAAGATCGTTGTTGTTGGTGCTTTCGGCGCCTTCACAGGATTCTGGCTTAGCACAAGGGAAAGTCTTTCCGACCGATTCGTCTGGAGACATTGACATTGTTGTTGTTTCCGAGTCATCGGTCACTTCATCATTCTCAGGAGAGTCTGTTCTGTTGGCTTCATTGGAGAGCTCGGACACAGAGGCGGACGACATGTCAGATTTTTCACTTGCACTAGAATGGCAAAACTCCCTCTTCACTTCCATTTCGTCGTCTTCGATATTAAACGCCTTCAATTCCTGCTCCTTCATGATATCCAGAATGTGACTAGAGAATTTGTTTTCTTAATAAAAAATTGAATTAACCAGAACGCTGAAACTTACATCAGGTACAAAAATCCATCTTCCTGGTGGCCACGAACAAAGTACGTCGGGCGCAGGGCAGCATGGAAGTGCTCGCTTGGCAGTATCACAGTCGAGGCGCTAAATTTAAGCAAGGCAAAAATTTTCTGCAGTTCGGTAAGAACTGTCTGAGATCCTCTAGGCTTCTGAGCCAAGACTTTGTTTCTGAACCTGTGATGATTGATTTCAGTGTAAATTTAAAATTCAGTTTATTTTTACTTACGACGAAATGTAGAACAAACATTGGATCACACTGTTGGCATAGCAAGTGTTGCCTGTGTTGATAAGTCCTTTAGGATCCTCATTCACAGTGAAATTAGCATTCAAGTCACACGGTTGTAAGGAGGAGTCCTGTTTAAAATATTAGTTACTTGGAATACTTGTTAACACAAAATTCTATACCCGCAGAATGTTGATAATCAAGAGTCGTTGCTCAGGGTAATTTTTGTGAATGACCTCCAGTCCTTGGGACAAATTTGCCACAATTTGTTCTTCTTTGGCGCAGCAGAGTAAGAGATTCTTTAGATTTTCTGAAGACTAAAGGATTTATTTTATTAATATTATTGTAAGTTTTATCTTTAAACTTTACCTTTTCGAGGAATGCTTCAGGGCAAGTGTTGTTTCTGAGAAAGTGGCAGATTATGCTGATCAGCGGTCTATACATAGGGATTCGGGCATTCACAACCATCTGCAAAAATATGGAACAAAATTTTGAGAATAATAAACGCGGATAGACATGTGGACTTCTTACTTTGTTGAAATTGGCAGAGACAATTTGATTGTAATCCTCCTCCATATGTTCGTCGACAAGTCTCTGCAGCAATTTGATAATGGGAGGCAGCAGCAGCCTGCAGTTGTAAAACCAATTCAGAAACCAGCTAATCAACTCCTTGGCAACCAGAGGGACGTTCTCCTTTGGGATGGGCCGGAGTAAAGCATTCAGAATTTCAACTTCGACCAGCATCAGAACGTTAGTCATTGACGGATTCGCTCCTAAAACCAAAATACTTTTTAACTGATAAAAACAAAAAACTCTGACAAACTTACTTCTCTGCACAATACTTTCGTAAAGTGTGTTCATGATGATCCTCTTGCGAGGAACAACCTGGCTTGGTAGCACATGCATCCACTTCTTGGTCAACTCCATCAACTTTGTGACTTTCTCGTTAATATCCTTGATATTCTGTGTGATCTGGACCAACAGTTTGTAGCCGTCCAACACCCCAAACACAGTTTGAACGAAGATGTTGTCAAATGATTCAAATTTTCCAATGTTCACCACAAGAGGAAGAAACATGCCGCTCGTCCAGACATCCTCGGATCGGAACAGTTGCAGCGTCTCTTTGGCGATGACCTCACGGAGAGTTGCATACTCTGGTATCAACTTGCCTCTCACGGCGGTGACTAATACTTGGTTGGATATTCCTTCCTGCTGCACTAACGTGGAAAATACATTGTTTTCCACTGACGGTGCAGTCTGCCTCATAGCGTTGCAGAGGATTTCTTCCAGCCATGTGAATTCGGGGTCATCGACCGACAGCAAACGAACACAAATGTCAAAGTATTGTCTGGACAGCGTTGGCTCCTTGCTGATTGCCTGAGGCAAGAAATTCGCAATGTCCCTGTGACAGTTTTGAGTCCCGCCTCGCAACACCAGACAAAACAGAGTGGCCTTCATCTTCTCTTCGGGCAGTGGCTCTCTCGAGGTCATTTTCGACAGCCTGCAAAAAATAATCCAAGTCAAATTTGAATTCATCCAATTTTGCAGGAAGGGTTAAAAAATTCAGTCGGAAAAACCAGAGAATTTTGTTGATTCTGAATCAATAATAATAAGTCACCTCGCGACGAATACATTCGTGTCGATTCACTCGAGATTGGCGTAAATTATTTTCATAACTGACGTGGTTGTAATAGAAAAATTTCCGTGCGGACTTCACCAAAATTCAAAGTTTGCAAAGATGACAAGTAATATTTTTGTGATCTGTTTTTGGTCGAACGTCTGGATCAGAGCTAAACAAGGCTTGCCAACTGTCAAAACAGGACTGCCAACTTCCGCCAAATGGAATCTTTTATTCCTTTTATTTATACAATACACTATACCCCAAGGCAAAAGATAATGGGTAAATTCAATGAGTCAGTGGTAAATTTTTTGAAAATGTTTGTAATTAAAAAATCCCTTTATGAGCATCATTAAGAGTTTATGTTAATAAAAATAGTAAACTATTTCAATAAAAAATACAAAAAAATATTTTAATGTTTTCTAGTCGTATTTTACAAGGATTCATCTAAATTTATGAGAGCATTATTATTTTTTTAAATATGGAATTACTTCTTATTTACATATTAGATGAATAAAAATCAATCATCTCCTTTGAACATTATTTTTTCAGCATATTCCAGTTCTGCAATTAATTCCTCCTTGCGATTTTTGTAAGTTTCAAGGGTTTCCTTCACTTTCTTGTACTCCTCCCTTTGCTTTTCCACTGTAGCCATCAAATCCTTGAGCTTAGACTCCTCCTTAGCCAGATCCAACTTCAATTTCTCCATCATTTTCACCTTAACTTCGATGTCAGGGGCCAGCTGATGCTGGAATGCAGTTTTTCCAGTTGGTCTCCTGTTATGTAAAATTATTCATCAATAAATATTAAATTTACAGAACAACAAAATTTTTGAAATACTTTAATTACAGATTCTTACCAAGCTTTGCTGACGCCTTCGCAAGGCTGCTCCGAAATATCCTCCAGTTCCTTCAGTTTCTGAGCAACTTTGTTGTCCTGCAGGAAACGATTCAATCTCTTTTTGACATCCTGATTGAATGACTTCATAAACGCTTCACAAATCTTGTCAACGTACTGTGGATGCGACTCAAAGCAGGGTCCAAATAACTGATGAATACACTCTTTACTGAAAATACATATTCGATTTTTTATTAGATTTTCTTTTTAATAAAATTTTAAAACTAACTATTCTTCTGTGAGTTTGAGATTCAAACTGTCCACGCACGAGAGGAACATTGTGAGTCTTTTGCTGCCAGGGGTTCGAGCTTCTGCCTCAGTACTGGCTGCAGAAGCTTCTGCAGTGGCCATCTCGCTCAACGTTCACAGGCAAAAGTCGAACACAAAATTTTTGCAACCTATAATAATTTGATGGTTTTTATTAGAATTCATTAGTTTTATAAAAGAAGTTGAAGCAGAAAATATTACTGCATTAATTTAGAAGAATAAAATTAGAATTATTTGGTAATAAAACCCACAAATAGATGAAAATTCGGAAAATTCTTACAGGAGCGATCAAATATCAGGTGGAGCAGGGATCGTGAGCGCGTAAAATAAAAATAAATGAACACGCATGCGCACAAAACGATCTGGACCAGATCTGGACATTAACTGACATCTATAGTCAGTAGAGCGAATTTCAAACAATAACACAATAACAAAGAAAATAAAAGCAAAGGTTTGAATCGACGATTCTCTTGCCGGCACCTACCTAATATAATCTTTAATCAACTTTTAATCGTGTATTTTTACTTCAATCACAAAATTCAGCGGAAAACTCGAAAAATCAATAATTTACAACCGAATCAGCTTAATTTTGTGAACAATTTGTCTCAAAAACTCGCTAAAATCATGTTGCTCGGCGACGTGTTTCCCGACTTTGAAGCGGAAACCAGCATTGGAAAATTAAAATTCTGGGACTGGTCACGCGGCTCGTATGTGTTGATGGTTCTTAATGGATTAAATAATTTTTTGTCTCAATTTAAGGTGGACCATCCTCTTTTCTCACCCAGCGGACTACACACCCGTCTGCACCACAGAGCTGGCAAGGGTTGCAAAATTAACAGGAGAATTTGCAGCCAGGAACATCAAAGTCATTGCCCTGTCCATCGACTCTGCAGAATCTCATCTCGGATGGATCAAAGTAAACTAGCTCTCGAGTTGTCAATTGATTTTTAACCATAAATTTACTTGTAAAGGATATTAAAAAGTACGGCGGCCTGGACGAGTCTGCGGATTTTCCTTTCCCCATCATTGCTGATGAAAATCGACAATTAGCCACTCAATTTGGCATGTTGGACCCAAATGAAATCTCAGCCAAAACAGGCCTTCCTCTCACTGCCAGGACTGTCTTCGTCATCGATCAAGATCACAAACTTCGTTTATCTTTACTTTATCCTGCCACCACTGGAAGATCATTTGAGTAATATTAATAAAAATTTTATCTAAAATAATTTATAATGCGGCTGAAAATTTCAGTGAGATTCTAAGAGCTGTGGACTCTCTACTGCTGACTGAGAAATTCAAAGTCGCGACACCTGCTGACTGGAAGGTATTGAGTTTTGTAAATTTTTACAATAAAAATTCATTTTGAACTTTTTAATAGGTTGGCGACAAATGCATGGTCCAGCCTAGCGTTCCAGATGCTGATCTGGCAACTCTGTTTCCAAATGGTGTTGAGAGGGTGGAAGTTCCGTCCGGAAAGGGTTACATTCGTCTGACGCCCCAGCCTGATGCTAAGTAAATGAGTACAGCACAAAGAATTTTCTCTTATTTTTGGAGACTGAGTGAAAATCAATAAATTGTCATGGCAAGAAAGAGTTTTTATTTGTTATGACGTCAGTGTGTACATAATTACTACAAATGCCTTACGCAATTACCAAACCTGTAAGCAGGCAAACTTCAATTGAATTCTCTCCGCAGTCAAAAATATTATTGCAAAAGTTTGTTTCAATCTCGAAGCACTCTAAAAATATTTGTTATTCTTCTCTCGTCTGGCCGTTTCGTCGCCCTGACAGCAGCTTAATATCGTAGCCCACGTGCTGTGCATAAATCAGTGCCCAAATAATTAAAATTCTGAGTGAGTGGAATTACATCTGCTGTTCTGAACACGGTAGAACACAATGCATGTTTAAAACAAACAGGTGCTCAGTGCACTTTTCATTGTGCATATTTTACAGCATGAATCAAGTCATCAACGGTTTTGAAGTAGTTAAAAGTGCTGAGGTCCAATCTTCAAATTATATTTTTGTAAATTAAGACAGAAATTGGAATATGTTCTTGATAAACCAGCATTCGGTTGAAGTTTTATGATTTCCTTAGGTACATTTTATTTTTTATCACTTTGTAGTGTTCGTACCCAAGAAGCAACGTCATAATTCCATAATTGCGTTATCATTGCCAGGTATTATTCTTGGTTAGTGTTGGGGACTTTTTCAGGGATAGGCATGTCTTATATTTAAGGCGTCTTGCATGTTGTACAGTTATTTTAAATTCAATTCGCAATTGCTTTGATATTGACCTCTTTTCGTGATCGATTTTGTTCCATTTAGATTTCAAGCAGTGGCTTTGGCATTATAAGAAGTTATGCGAGCAGGAAAAGCATTAATAATAATTATAACGAGAAGATAAATAAACGTATTTTGTTACACGATTTTACAAAATAATGCAACAAAAGTAAATCATTTATGAATTTTGTTTTTAAAGTTAATAATTTCCTTTCAATATTGAGTTGCATGAAGAATGATTCTTTCATTCTTAAATACATATATTTTTTAACATTATTTCCTTAATTGCATCTGATTGCATCAAGGATTGCTTGACTTTTGTGCATCACAAGCTACTCTGAACTAATTTCCACTAACTTGTGCACAGCCAATTTTATTTATCATCTCTTATTACAACAATCTGTAAATATTTCTGTTATTTTCTCCCCCTCTTGGCCAAATTGAAAGCACAGCCTATTTGAACATAAACTTTTTTGGGTCTACGTCAGCGCACATTGTCCAGCGCAATGATTGCATTTTTTATATGGGAGGAAAAATTGCAATTTTTAAGCAACAAGCAAAGCAGAAATTTTTTGTTTTAAATTTGCCACCACTGATTTCAATATATTCAGGCTGTTAATTTGGTTACATTCTTAAAGCAGAAACATCTCTCATTTAAATTGTAGATAACCGTTGTCAAAATTTTACAAAATGCATGTTGAAAGCAGCCAGCTGCGCGTATGCATGGAAATCAAACACTTGATTTCAATGAAGCTAATATTAGTGAACATTTTCCGCCAGCAATCAAGTTTTTCAGCAGTTTCAGACTATCATTTGCATACATTATATTTCACTACATAAATTAATAAGAAGTTTCAACAGACTCTTCTATCAATTAATTTAAAATTTGAAAATTTTAACTTTTACAAGAATCAAATTATTACAGAAGTTGAATAGTGTTAAAATTGTAATCTCTCAGTAACTCTTTTCAATTTCAATAGTAAAATTTTTTTACACTTAAAAATAATTATATTCAAATTTTTAACACAATACACAGAGAATTTGAGTATTCAAAAGCTAAAGTAGATTATATAAGAGGTACACATAAATATCATATATAAAGCTAGTGTGAGCGCAAGTGATATACAATATTTCAATTACTTAGTAATTAATACAACTATACTGTACTTATCATATCCGTGTTTTCAAATGTAGAAGAAATATATTCGCTTAATTTTAGTTATTCATATTGTTTCTTTTCTTTCACATTCATAATTATCTGGAAATGTAAACAAAAACGAAAAGGACCAATGGTAAGAAAAATGCCAAATTTTTAAGGCGTACTTTGAGCTGCTCGTCGGGTTCTCTCCGAACCCTTTTCTCATTGGTGATTAAAAAAAGAGGGTGTAAATAGACTGCAAAGCCGTGTATAACATTCCAAGGAGCCGGGCTATAAAAACTTCAATTCCTTATTGTGCTGCTCGAGGGGCAGGGATTATTCTGCGCCTCGTAAAGCTCCATTTAGTTTTCTTGCCAAGGGATCAGTTTAAGTATCAGGGGTGTAAAAAAAAGTTTGAGCAGTAGAAAGGGAGATTTGAGAAAAGAAAAAAATGCCAGTCTGTAAAATTTGGAAAGAGTCGAATTTTGTTCGTGCATATTTGCAACCTGCTCGACACAGAAAATAAAATTGAATTTTGTCAACTCAATTATTCAATTTTACTAGTCTCATTCAAACTTCCTGATCTAAACTGATTTTTTAGATTTTTTAAAGTACCAAAGGGTAAATTACCCTGAATACAACCCTGCCAAAAAAAGTTCGAAAATTTTAAATTGAAGTTCAGAACAAAACTCCATTTTTTTATAGCTTATTTTTTAAAGAACGATAAATGAGAAAAACTGCTTTTGTTTAAAATAAAATTTACTGAATTTAAAAATTAAGGGAAATTTAAATAATAAAAACCAATGGAATGAGCAGGACAAGATTTTTGGATTTTGAAAAAATGATAACTCCAAATAATTTTAATCAAGCGCGGCAGTCATTGTTAAAACGGTTGATGCGTTGTTTGAACTGATATAAGTGAAATAGTGAACATCAGGTCAAAAATAACGATGTCAAAGCTCAAAACACGCCCCGTCGAAAGGTGATTCCAATATGGAACAAGGCTAGGACCGCCTATTGCGCGGTCTGGGGGTGCTCGGAGGGGTCACAACAAAGTCAGGGTTGAGGGACTGCAGGGAGGGTCCGCCTCTGAGGGAGTCGGCGCGGGCCACCAGGGACTGGGTGGACGCCTGCGTCCGCAGTGGTCGCGCCGGGTTCGGAAAACGACCGCCGACGGCGCCGTTGGTGAAGGAGCCGACGCGCTGAAGACACCCTGAGGGCCCGGGCGCCGACGCCGCGGGCACCTCGTCGACGCCGGCGCAGGAAAGGTCGACGCGCGAGTTGCTGCGAGATGCGGGCGCCGAGCACGGCGTCGAAAAGCGGTGCCGGCTCTGCGCCGGGGTGGCTGGAAGCATTCGAGGTGACGAGTTGCCGGACGGCGGCGGCGTTTTGAGCGACGCCTTTCGACGCGGTGACCTGAAATCAACCAAATTGGTTAAGTTTCTTTAGAAACTACAGTTTTATGCACTATTGCTTTTTTTTTCAATTTAACATTTTAGACTTCATTAACTAAAAAAATATTGTTGGCCAAGGCAGCCAATTCATATTAATTAGTTTCCTCCAGCATTTCTTAAAAACTTGAAACTTGGACAAAAAAAACTTGGTTAATTCAGCGACAAATGAATTGGAATAATAATGAAACATAACTAGATAATTTTGAGAAAAAAATATCCACTGAGAATTTTCAGACTTTGTAATGTCTCAATTCGAAGCTACTCTTAGAAAAGTAAATTGGTCAACATAAGTAAAATTTAAGCTCTCATAATATTTCATTATGGGAATATTAAAATAATTCGATTATTATTTCAGGAAAAGAAAACGTACAAATTTTTCAAACCATCTCTCTAGTTGTATGGAACAGAAAATAAGCGATGAATCATTTTAAATTCTTTAGCTATAAAATTATTTATAATATTTAAATCTCAAAATACTGCTCTGTAATTGTAAAAAAATTAGCCTTCATAAGAAAATAAATTGATTTTATGACTCATATTTAGAGTGGGTATGCAACGTGGTGAGTTAGCGTGCGGAGCCGGTTGCATATGCTCGTTATTTTTACACTCAAGCTAGAAGGACTTATTGGTAGTGCAGCTATTAAATTTTTTATATTTTTAACGGTCTGAAACCTTTGCAGATGTTTTTGTAGTCCAGATACGTGGCTCCTAATTTCTATAATAATTTTCACAGATTAAATTCAGAGACTTTTTATCTGCTGAGTAAATTTTATGAGCACCGCGTTGTGTTATAAAAAGTAAATATTTTAGGGTTTCTAATAAGTAAAGAGATTTGAATTTAATATCCTTTTGATACAAAATCTATTGAATTTAATTCAATGAAGCGCTGAAATGAAAGGAAAAAAGGAAGGGGTTTCCAAGCAAAACGTAATATTTTATCTAAATAAAATTAATGAGCTGTAAATAAAATACTATCTTGTTTGTACTTAACTCTGTTTATAATTAATGCTCTTATCATACTAACTTATGCAACGTGAATAAGCACAGAGATAAAGTTAATTTCTCATAAAATGCATTAGCAGGTGTGGTGGAAAATCTGCGGGGACGTTTACGAACACACGCTATGTGTTTTTCGGAAAAGCAAACATTTGCACTCTCACCTCTTAGAGGCAACCCTGCACGTTCCAGTTGGGCACACTTGGCCCAGAGAACATCTGCCTTCGCATAGATCCCTGGAGATTATCATGCTTTGATAGTTCAACAACATTCGCTGGCACTGGGCTTTATCTGAAGGCGCCAACGCTAAACTGGGAAATCGCTCTTGGAGTCTTCTCCGTTCCTAGAACAGATTTTTAATAAATCTTGTTTAAATTCGGTTTTTTTATGCTCTTCTTAATTTATTTTTAAGGTTTTAAGCAATCGACCCTATAAACCTGAGCATTCAAATAATTTCCTTTATGAATTACTGAAAACTCACAAAAAATTTATTCAAAATGAATTTAAAATTGTTAGGGATATCTCGAGAATAATTTTATGAAAATTAAAATTTAATAAAAATAAAGTAATTTTGTTTGTTTATTTAAATTTACTTTACTGGAAATTTGTCATAGAAAAATGGTACTCACATCAACCAGTCTGAAATTTTCAAACTCTTCTAGTTGCCTTTGGAAGCCGAGGTTGGGATTGGCCACTGCCCTGCCCACTTTAACTACTTTGAGCGCCTCCTTCCACCCCAAATTTGTGACCGACATGATGTAGGCGACCGCCACCGTCACACTCCGCGACATCCCAGCAAGGCTGTTGAAACAATGACCACTTTTACAACACGGTTTTGCGCAGGAGGGCTGGCGTAACACAACAAGCACACACATATATACATTTAGCGGGTATTTTTAGTCAAACGTGTCAACGAAAAAAATGTATAAATCAAGCAGGACATTTTCCGAGAGTTTAAATATAGGCCGGTGAAAGCAAAACTTGTTAAATTAAAAACAAATAAATACAATTAAAGCAAATAATAAATTGTCAAAACGGACTCTCTTGAAGTATTCTTCTACTTCCTATTTCTAATCTGGTACTACTAATATAGTATCATCTGATGTTTGCATTATTTATTTTTAAAAAAATAAGCAAATCCAAGTTCAAATCAGAATACCAGTGTATGAGGACGTTGCCGTCCCTAAGTCGAGCCGCGTGAATGAAGTCATTACACAAAGGAAAGAATTGGGACAGATTTTGGCCCGGCGAGTCCGAGGCCAGCACACAGAGGTAGTGTTTGTCCTGAAGTCACACAGTTTTACAAACATTTAAACGAGCAACCAATGCACCCTGCATTTGTTAGGAGGAATCGTTTTCCTTATTTAAGTTAGCCAGATTTTGTTAGGTCTACGTATGCAGCAGAAAAGAGCGGAGGGCGAATTTATAATAAGATATTTTGAAGTTGAATTGAACTCACTGGATGAAGCTTGCGAGCCGCGTCATGGATTGCGACTATGTGCGTGATACCAAACCTTTCTAGTTGAGCGGCGTCCTTTGAGTCCCGGTAGTTGCCCACGTACAGTCCGGGAAGGACCTGTGAAAAAATTAATCAAAATTTTTATTAATTGATTTTTTTTCAAATTTATCTTTAAATACATTGAAAAATTGGAAGCTTTTTCATATATTTTTGTAACATGAATATTTTTAATCATAGAATCTGTCACGAAATAATTTTGTGACGTCAACTGTGGATTTGCAAATTTGCCTAAAATAGATGTGAACAAAGGTTAGACGTTTTTAATGTGGCCTATTTTTGGAATTCATTCACATCATAAATTCTTGTCTGCTAAAAGACGTGCATATTTTTAAGTGAGTTACGTCAGAGACTTGATTTTAGCATATTTTTCGACGTGACATTTCATAAAAACTTGCGATTTTCTCACTTCCCCGTCAGTAGATTAAAAAATAAAGAAAATCAAGGTTTTTTTTAACGAAATTTAATAAACAAATATTTTCATGGAGAAAAATTCATGTTATTTAATATGGTTCAAGTATATTTACTTCTTGTTTTGAAAAATAAAAATATAATAGAATTATTTGTGAAGGATATTATGATTAATTTATTTCCCTCGAATTAAATAGATTATTTGAAACCACAAAAATGAATGCCAACACTGATGACAATGCTATGTGTGAGAAGCCTCTCTAAAAAATATAATACACTATTTAACTTGCTGAAAACCTGGCATATATTATATCTGTGCTCTTTGTTTCTCTCTGACTGCCATTATTTTGTTTTTGAAAAGTGATGTTCTAAAAATTAAAATTTAACAAATTTAAATTTGAAATCAAAAGTTAAATAAATAAATAAATCATACAAACAGCGGTTTTATTTTACAAATAGTCACAAATTTTTTTAAGAGTCCATTAACTTTTGGTATTTTAAACATTGTGGTAGAGAAAAAAAAAACAAAGAAAACTAAGTTTAAAATCGACGTGCTCTTCTCCAACTTGAAAAAAAAAAGAAAAAAGTAATATCGCTGAATTAAAAAAATATCTATAAATATTTGTTTTTAAACATGATGAGAGTCTGATGACTGATGATCATTTAAAATTTGTGAAAGGTAAAAAGATTCCTATATTAACTAATTGTCCATAATTGTCGAACAAAACACACTGTCAGCTGAATTTTGAATCTATAATTTTGTACGGGTTCACCTATTCAAATATTTTTTAGCTTCCAAAAAAATTAATTAATTTAAAAAGACATACCGACTCTGATAAGTTAAATAATTTTTAATATTCCGAGCACCAATTAAAAAATTCTATACTCATGATTAATTCCGCTACAACCCAAAATTAACTAAATTTTCCTTTTCCAGTGAAATATATGAATTTTAGTCTAAAAAAAAGCAATATAAAAAAAGTGAACGCTTTTCTCTCTTAGTAATGGCTGTGTAGAAACCCTTAAATTGCAATAAAAACAAACTATGGTCGAAATATTTTTGGTCACGTACGTTTGTTGCCTCCCTGGGCAGCACCATGTCTAAAAGCAGCGTGCGAACCTGCCTCTTGCTTTTCATCTGCGCGACCACCGACTGCCGAGTCGGATCGGCAGCGCCGGGCAGGAAAATTTTCAGTGTGCGCGAAAGCGAGCTCTCGGCACACAGGCGCTGATTTTCCGCCCTCGAAAATCATATCGCACGGCATTGCGGCGCATTTTTCCAACACGGTAAACATAGTCACGGGCAATCATATCGTGGTGTAATCATACCATTCTGTGCCGCAAAAGCAAATCGATAGAAATAAATGCCGCGCGGCTGATAAAAACATGCACGTCGTGGCACTGATGCCGCGTGTTGGGCGCACGACGAGTGCCCAAAAAGAGAGATCCGCCATGAGAAGTTCGGTTTTAAATTCAAATTTACTTCTGCATCAGGAGCAAAATATTTTATTAATATTTCTTAGTTATTTGATATTTCACTTGTAGAGTAACTGTTTAATGTTTTTTCTTACAATTAGTTAAAATGACTGAAGAAAATATTTGTATAGTGATTTTAATTTAAAATCACATTTTCCTCGATGGGTTTTGTGAGCTATTTTTTGTCTAGGAAAAATAAAAAATATAATGAATCAACCTTTGATCGCGAAATTATTCCACAAAATAACACATATAAATTGTTTAAATAAAATTATTAGCAAAGAAGTTGATGAAATGAAATGCTATATTTGTAAAATAATTGAAGTAAATCTTTTTAAAAGAAATCCGTTAAAAAAATCCTTTTAAACTATTTTAATATTTTGGAATCAGAATGACTCAATTTGAAAATATATCCATCAGAATGAAATTTGGAGATTTAATAAATTTTCTCAGCAGTTATTTTCATATTTGAATTTTTTTCATTTAATTTTGTCACATCCTTCCTGGACCTAAATATTATTTAATTTTTTTAATTTGCTACCGATCTTGTAAAATTCCTCTCAATTTGAAATATTATTTTTGCAGCATTGAATGAAGGAAATAAACTATAACATTGAAAGTTTTGTCGAAATCATTTTGCGTCTCTCTTTTCCGTTTTAAACGCGATCACAGTCGCTCACGGCACTCACAACAAAGGTGAACAATAATGACCCCTAATGCGGGGTGGTGGCGCGATATTCAGGTGGTTCAACTCTTGCGTCCAAGTATAGCACGCGCGTGTGGTGTGTGGTTGCCTATACGACCGTGTGTTTTGGGCCTCAAATTGCTGCCAATGTGCCGGACGCTCACGTCGGCTCGCTAATTATTTCTCTAATATGCTGATCGTGCGCCTGGGAATTTATAGTAACACACTCGTTGATTAAGTTTTCGTTGTTTACTTTTTGGGCTACTGGTGGTCGAGAGTGTTATTAGATACGCGATCACACGCTTTTAATGGGCTGATATTATGAAAAGATAATATACACGATGCTAGCTTTTCAATTTTCTTCTGAAATTATTTTCTGATGAATTTTCGATAATCTTTAACATTGTATGAATTTTACTTGACAGATTTGAGCAATAAATTATCGGCAAAACATTGAGGAAATATGTATGATATAAATTAACGTGAACAATGAATTACAAAATTTTTTTGGAAATTTTAAACATAATAATTTATTATTATTAAAATGTGGAGTTGCAAGTTTTTAAAATTTTCAGCTCAAATCTTGTGAATTTTAACAATATTTTCTTCTCTCTGGTGGTAAAATAGATCAAGGTATAAGTTAAATTTTAATTCTTATTTCTACGTCTATCTAGGGTAGTGCAAGAACGGAGTTTATTAAGTCACTTAAAGGGTTGCATGATTGTATTTAAAAAAGCTTTCAAAATTCTAAATTTTAAGAAAAATCAGCCCTATGTATTGACTTAGCGATTTTTTTATGTTTCTTGCATTTAATTTGGTTGAGTTCAAATGTGGGCTTGAACATTACCAATTAAATTTTCTCTGCAACTATTTGAGATGAGACGTTCAAAAATTGAAAAAAAAGGATTAATCTTTGTTATTTTTTTCTCTATAAGCAAAATAAAATACAGCAAATTTGAGGAAAAGATTTTAAAACCAACACATTCATACAATATTTTTTCCGTAAATAATTTTCTCTGCATTTATAAAATACACTATATACGAGTGATGAGTTCAAAGAAAAAATGAATAGTCTCTGCTTTATATATCACAACCCTGATCCGCATAATTATATTTGGGTTTTTATCTCATACCTGCAAATTGAGAATAGTTAAAAATTATACCCTTTTTAACCACAGAAGGTAAAATTCCCACACACGTTCAAGTTTTAAACTTTCCCATTTGGATTCTTCTTGGTAGAAGAAAAAAGGCACTCGGTCGCGTCCCAAGTGGGCATTGAGCTTCTTGTTTTGCATCTATTAGAGTAACAGCGCCTCGGAGGGCATAATCAAATTAGCATCAAAGAAAGAAAGCCAAAACTGACAAGGCAGAAAGTATGATTGATAAATGATTGATAAATTTTAATGGTTTAATTTGTGCCATTTAATTGCCATGTAAAAATTTATAAATTATTGGAGAACTTGAAAGTAGGCAAAATACTTACAAAGAAGACGCATTTTTAGCCTAATTAGAAATGATTTTTACAATTGAAATTCAGCTCTTTTCACACCCACACGGGTAGTGCAAGTTGCATAGCATCTTTAATCAAATCTAAAAAAAATCTTAAAAAAAAAACATATCTTTTGAACCGTGTTTCTCCGAGACACTGAAAGCAAAAGTGATCGGCCCCGTAAGAAAAGCAGTCGCGGCCGAGTGTGCCGTGCACGGGGTGTAATCAATACGCGACTAGCTTATTGCTATGCCCGCGGTGTAGGCGCACGACGCGTGTGTCCGAGCTAGGGACACGCCAAATACCTTGTTCATGCCATTGCCCATGGCCGGAGGTCGTTCGCGGGTGTCCCACCGCCTGCGGAGGATCACATCGTGGTGCGGACGCTCGTTGTGGCCAGTCGGGGCGCGAGCGGCTGTCAAGGGCACCGCCGAGCGCAGCACTACTTGGTCCCTCCGACCCTTTATTGATCTGATATATTCGCCGGCACAGCACAGAATCTCCACCCGCATTGCAATATACGCGCGCCACTCCTCCTCCTCCACTCGCTCCCTACGCGACACCACTTTTTATGCTTTTGCCCCGCAAAACAGACGCAAATATTGGCCTATTTTTTTTATATACTCTGCTCGACCCGACGGACAGACTGCTTTTTCCGGTTTACCGTCAGCAAATGAAAGTAACCCGCAGTATATTTTTATGCAATATATTTACGACCCTCGTGTCTGCTGAAATTTCTTGAAAAAAGTAATATTTCTGAAGAAACACCAAGAAAAGGTTCCCTGTTGCAAAATTATTTAAGATGTAAGCAAAGAAATCAGATTCGATAGTATTTAACCAATTTTTTTTTATCCCTTAATTAGTAATTTTTATAACAATAAATGTGTTTCCTTAATATTGTTGAAACTTTTGGCAATAATGTTGAAACCGCTGACAATAAAAGTTAGTTCGTATTGCCCGCAAACGAAGGAGTCATTGTGATTTCAATGGAACGGCCTAGGAAAGCAATCCAAGCAAAGTTAGCAAAATCTGAAATGACAAATTCGAATGCAAGAAAAGTAAGCAAAATCTAATTTTCTAAATTGGCTAGGCTACCAATTCAAGCAAATTATGCAACAGCAAATTTTAATAAATGGGCTGGGCTATACCAATGCCAGCAACTTTCTCGACATCCAATATAATTCTCACAAACATTCTCACTCAGAAACTAAGTTACGGCGGCTCAGAAATATTTAAACAGAAAAATGTTTGAAAAATCACGCTTTTTGCACTTTAAAATTTTTCAATTTTTTGTCAATTAAACCAAAAAACCATCATCTGTTTAGTTTCGGATATAACCTAAAATATCACCCTCGACAAGATGACTATTTCATGATTAACTTTAATTTGGGGATAACCTTTAATTTTGAGGTCAAATGTCACAAGGTAAACATAGATGTCCTTCGAAATTTTACGATTTTGCATCCAACAGCAACGTTTTAGAGGGCAACGAGACTAATTATGAACAATATCTTGGATTTTTCTTCTATGTTCACGGGAAGCCGACATACAGCCTTTTTTAATTTTCCAAATTTCAAATCCAAATTTTAACTTACCGTGAAACCTGTAAATTTAGAGATAAATGGGGTAATACTGCATCTTTTTGAAAACCTCTTGAAATGCTCTGTATGGTCCTAGAACATGGTTTTAAGATCCGATTATCCCCGTCAAAAAATTGAATTTTTGAAATATTCGTGGCGAAAAATTAATCATTTTTCTGTTGTTTTGTCCAAATGAAAATCGGTATCCAATTATTATTTCGGTGCATGTCATCTTTGCGAGCGAAAAAATTTTCATTCGGTCAATATCATCTGGCGACCCATATTAATAGGTATGAACAATTTATAACAGTGAATGTTCAATGTCTCCAAACCGGAATCAGGAACTTTGGCAGGGGAGAAAAAGAGATTTAATGTACATTATAAAATTAAAAAAAGGTTTGTTACATTTTTTTTTTTTTTTAATAAAAGTTTGTATTAATTTGAGCAGATACAACTGACTATTTTATTTTTGTATTCTCATCGAAGTCCAAAACATTACAATCAATTCTCAAAAGATTTTATACAAATAAACAACAGCGTAATCACAAATTTCAATTTCACCATGTAATTGTAACACCGTGTAAGTACAACCTGCTTGAAAAACACAGATGCAATTATATTATCAATTAATACACCGTGTCTAAATGTGTGAATTTGTTTGAATGAATACAATTCCCCCCAAAAAATGTGGTTTTGATTCTCCCGACTCGAAGACGAGAGACTAATTTCTTTTGACGATTGCGTGGTCCCTCAACAAGATTTGTTTTTATTTTGGTTGAAAATAGAGCAATAAATTCAATTGCTCTAATTAACTTAAACGGAAGAAACAATCAATTGCATTGTCCACTTACTGTACTGTCATGGGATAATGGAAAATCTTTAAATGTTTAAACATCGCTTTATTCACTGCTCTGATATTATTTTTCTGTTGCAACAGCCAATTTGTCAATTTCTAACATTATCTCTGGAATTTGCTTCCTTTGACAAATATAAATAAATATATAATATACGCTCTTTCCATTTTACTGTGTTTTTTATTTCTCGTTTTTTTTTTTAATTCTTACATTTTTCATTCCAATTTGTAGTCAACACCTCAATAAAAAATCTCTCTTCGATTTTATACAATTTTTACATAATAAATCATTAACCTCTAATTTATTTAAAAAATACAAACTCTCTGTACAATGTATCACTTTGTGTTTTAACTTTTGCTGCTAATTGTATATTTTTTTTTATGTACAACTTTTTGGACCGCATAATTTGTTTCCCTTCCATTTATATATCAATCTTTTTCTTGCTTTTTTGTCTCTCCTTTTTTACTCCCTTCTTTAATATTACCTGAGATCGACTTTCCCGTACTAAAACCTCAATTTTAAGAGCAGCAATTCTCTTTGCCAAAAGTATTTAGAAAAAAAAATTATGTCAACTGATATTCATCCTTGAAAAATGTTAATTCCCGCATCTCAGATTTGTATAATTGTGTGTGTCGGAAAGGTTTCATTTTGATTCAAAACATTATCTCTGTCTTCCTATATGTGAACAGGAAAGTCACCAATTCTCTTTCTTTTAAGTAGAACGGACCGAAAATTTCCACTTCCAAAAATACATGATTAAATTGTATCAAACATCAACAATGTACGTCAGACGGCTCATGAATAATAATATATGTAATCCAACAGTTGGCCAGAAAATTACACCGTTACATTCTATTAGATGTGTACAGATTTAAATTTTTTTTATGTTCTTAGTACAGTTTGAGAGAGATAGAGAGATGCATTTGTGCTTACACCCTACTTAACAACTAATTGTTATAATACACAATAATAGATTTTACCTCTCTGCTTTGTTTTTATCAAAGAAGATGCTCTACAATCAAAACATTAATCCAGAAATTTGCTCTAGTTGGACATTAAAGGGTTCAGTTGCTCTGCAGTGGTGGATTCTCGGAGGAGTTTGTTTCCCGTTTCAATATTCATCTCACAGAGGAGCAACGAACATTTTCCCATCGACCACTCGCCCCAGAAAATAAAATAAAATTCAAGTGTTCCGGACGCATTCACGCGGAAAAGTTTGTTTGTTTGTTTGTTAGCTGTTCATCAATTACACGAGTTAATTAAAAGTAGCCCCACCCTGGTTTTAATTTAATATAGCTATCGTAATTGTGCATAAAAATATACATAGGTATGCTATCGTAGAAACTTTTGTTAATATCTTTTGATGCAACATGATTTTATCACCGACGCGCTTGTGAGCAAGCAGATTTTTTCCACATATCTGTAAAAACCGGCATTGGAAAATTTTTCTCGTAGAGTGGACGTCTAAAGTGGCTGATGAAAAGATGAAAAAATTGAACAGCGACACGGCGGTTATAGAGAGCAGCATTTTTACTTTGCTAGAGCGGACACTAATTCCAATATCAGCGGGGCATCTCTTCTTGGAAAAAAATTATCCACACGGATTGGGAGCTTCTACTGTGTCCTTCTTCTATTTTGCTAACAGGGGGTGTTTGATATATTTATATTGTCTTCTTGCTTTAATTGTGGTTTTCTCACTCGGGGGAGTCTATTTGCACACACACATTCTCAGCAACTGTTAAGAGGTCAATTGTTTAAACACCACTGCAGTCTATTTCGATGATGTCGCGGGGCACGTCGACAAATTGGTAGACCAGTCTTTGGCCGTCCACCTTGGCGAGGATGCCTCGTTGGTAGTAATATCTGCAAGTATTTAAAATATAAATTAATATTTTTTATATGAACATTGTACATGAGTTTATAAATCATTTAAATAATAAAATATTAAGAATTTTGAAAAGTTAAAAAAGTGATCCATTTTTACAGTTAATTATAATCTTTTAATGTGTAAAATTTAAATCTAAATTGGACCCAAACTGGAGAAACTTTTTATAGGTCAGCTTTTATTAAAATTGTGGATTACATTAAATACTTTTTTTTATAGAATTTAAATTCTTAATTCTCACCTTAGTGCTCGTCCCATTGTTTCGTAATTCATGTCTGGCTTATTCTTGTGTTGGCCCCAGAGGCGTGAGACGGCTTTTGAGTCGACCAATTTGAAGACACCACGCTCTCTATTTGTCCACTTGATGTATCTCGGACAGTATTCACGGTCCTGGAGGAGCTTGAGCAGGAATTCCCACAGATAGGTAGTTGAACCTGAAAATCAGTCCGAGTTTGAAATTGTTCTCAGCAAGTTCTTGTTTATAATCTTAACAAGAAAAGTGAACTTTGGTTCGGAATAAAATTTTAAACAAAATTTGAATTTGATGGGAATAAGAATAAACTAAATTGGCACCTTCTCTACTTTTCCTCTTGACGGTGGCGTCGCCTGGCATTCCGGTGCCGGGGCCTCTCGGTTTCTTCAGCTTCTTCTTGGCCTTGGCGTGGAAGCCGAGATTCAATAGGTAGTGGTCTCCGTTGGGCGAGGTCGCCCCCTGGCCGCCCTGCAGCGCGCCGCCCAGCGGTGAGTGCTGCTGCTTGACCATCGAGGCCTGGCCTAGGTGCATTGGTGGTGACGTTGACGCCATCATGCTGTTGTACGAGCCGAGTCCCAGGTAGCTGGGGTGCTGCTGCTGGTGCATGTAACTGGACGAAGTGCTTCCATACAAATCAGCAACTGCAAAATCAGAATAATTAATTAGCAATTTGTTTTGTAAAAATTTCAATTCATTTCCATATTGTTACAGTGCTTGGATTTTAAATATTAATCAAAATTGCAAAAAAAAAGTGTATAATGATCGACTTTTACAATTTAAAATGACTAAATTTCTCTTTTGTGCATATTTTACAGCGTGCATGAATTTTATGTGCTGAACTGCATGTAATTGAATAATTCTAAGAATTAATTTATTTGTTTTCAATGTATTTGATTATATTATCCAGATCATTTGTATATATTTCTATCTAAATGGAATAAATTTAAAACCATTTGAATTAAAGCAATCTCTAGATTTTAAATACAAGTTTTTATTTTTTAAATAAATCTTCAAAATATTTTTTTTATATAAAAAAGGCAAATATTTTAACGTTATCAACCCTCTTGTACAACAAAACATGGCAACCGAGGCGGCGATGAATTGCAGTTTCAAAACAACACACCATGAATATGCTGATAATTTAATGAGCATTGCGTGTTACTCTGCTCAAAAGTTTGCCGAGACTTAATATTCTCTGACGTCAAGAAAAGGGACAACCAAAACGAATGCACGCTCGTCATTTGCAAATAACTCGGGTACAGCCCGGTGTGGGAATCCAGTTGATGGACGAGTATTTATTTATAAATAACACACCAAGTCGCCGCGTGTAATTGAGTTTGATACTATTATTTTCGGACTTTCCTTGTACGGTTTCCTGCCAGCGATTTTCGTCGGCGAGTTTCTTGCTCGCAGGGCATTAGAAATTCAGCATCCGTTTCTTTTTCGTCCGCGCTTTGCTTCTTCTTTCTTTCGACCCAAAAGCGAAAGCACACAGAGAATGAAAAGTCAGTTGAGCAAGCGACCTGGATACGCGCAGCATTAAAATTAAATTTGGTATTAAGTAGGCTGAGGAAGTGAAAATGACGAACGAGAGGAGAAAGACAGAGAAGCGTGTTGCGCCTGCTTGGCTGCGGCTCTCTCGTTTCACTATCATTCTTTCCTGCTTTCCACCTGTCTCAATTAATCCCGAATTAAGTTTGCTGGCGCGCACAGAATCACAAGCGCACACCAAAGCCTAATTGTGACAAAAAAACGAGAGAAAATTGTGCAAGTAATGAGAAATTTCATTTACTGAACTGCTGATTTTTTATTAGAACTTTATTCAACTCCAAACTTTTAAACATGAAATTAAAATTTGATTAAAAAATTAATAAAAAATGTATTATTTAAATTAATATATTATTTTTAATCTATTACTTTCATGAATACAAGTTATTAACCCAAAATAGCAACAGCACACAACATCCTAACGCCGTTATCGGCTTGAGAAACCGAGTAAAGTATCACAATTAACTCAGTTTAATTACTAAAACACATAATCACATTTAACTTATCGTTATATAAATTATTGTTCCATTTAACTTAATTTTTCATATTATGGTATATTAATATTTATAAATTAATAAATATGTTATTTAAAGCATTTTATTATAATATTAATATTTAAAATGATAGTTAATTGCTAATACCTTTCAAGCAAATTAACTTCTCCCATTAAAAAATTAATGAATTGAAATAACTATAAAAACAAATAATAATATTCATGTTTATTTAACACCGTCACATCTTCATGAAAAACGAAATAGATCAATGTTGTGGTTTTTTCTGTCAGCCTTAACCCTTTATAGGAGATGCAAAGGCACTATAATTATGAAAAAAAATTAGCTGGAATTTAATTAAAAATTAAAAGGTCAGAAAGAGAAACAAAATTGAGTAAAAAAATTGTTGAATCTGTTTGGAAATTATTCATATTCGACTAAATTTTGAAGGAGCCGAAGAAGAGGAGGAGCGAAATTTCATCTTGATGGTCTTCTTTTTCTCGTGCATGCCCAAACAGGAAGTGTGATTTTTTACACGATCCGCAGCGAGAGATGATGTGTGTGCTCTTGTTTGGATAAATAATAAAGTTAAATGGTGTTGTGGTGGTTGGTTGGTCGGACGGTCGCTTGCTTACTTGCTCGCTGGGCTGTCTGTTTCTTTTTTTCAGCGCGCCGCACAGTCCCTGCCCACTATAATACACGGCGAGAGCGCACATAATATAATATCAAGCAAGACTCGCTTGTATTCTCGTCGGCCTTGAGACACACAGGCGGGTCACTCACTTTGAAATAGAGCTCAAAAAAGTGTATCTGCTCCAGCCAGCCAGCGAGCAAGAGCAGCCCTTTCCTGCGCTATCAGCCTGACGGGGACGAAAACAGAAGAGACCGACGCGCGCACTTGGAAAAATAAGCTTTTGTTTACTACGTACAAGAGAGATGTGCACGAAAAAATAATAAGCAAACATCCGGAGGAAAAGTTGTTTTAACCAAAGGGGCTGAAAGTTTACTTTCCGAAAAGCGAAATTCCCCAATTGAGTCAAATCCTGACTGATTCAAATCATTTACTAAGAATTGAAGAAATCTGATAAAGGAAAAAGAAAATCCAGATTTTTTTTTATTTGATTTAAACTTTCAGAGTTATTTTAAGTTAACCGAGGCTCACTGCGGTGAATGTGGTCTTTTTGATCTTGAATGTTTTAGCATTCATGCTAGTGGTGGTGCCATTTCATCCAATAATTCATTTTTTTTTTTTTTTTTTCAAATAAATTGTTTTCAACAATTGAATGTTATAAATGTGATGTAGCAATTTGGACAAATAAACAATAATAATAATTTTTACCATTTAACTAAAATAAATTGTATTCTTATGGATATTCCAATTTTTTTTTTTAAATTTATCAACAACTAATTTATTATTATTATTTTTTTTTCAGAAGCAATGGTTTTTCCGGGTTTTTCAAATGTATTTATTTTCATTTGAATAATAAAATAAACACCACATGTTGACTGTAATCCATAAAAACTGTCACTCCCCCAACCCTTATGTTGACTTTCTTTTCTTCTCTCGGTGCATCTGCACGTTTGCTCCCATTGTTATAATGAAACCTTCCTACATACAACACCACCACCGCAAGAATTCACACATTGTTGCTGTCTGCATTCAAGAGGCACAGCAAGTTCGCGGCTCAAAAGTGAAAACTACTTCTCTTCTCCTCTCCCATTCTCTTCTTCTCGCTCGCGCGCAGACCTAACCTTGACTTCTTCCTGTCTAGCACAGAGAGTATGCAAGAGAGAAAGAAAGAATACCTGCGCCTCTCCTGCCTGATTTTTACCTGGTCCCTCTGACAGGTATATTCAAAAAATTTAATTAGATTAATGCGCTTCCTTTCTCCTCGATGGGGAGGGAGATGCACCCGGATCAAATAATAAAAGGAAAAAAGGGGAGCAAAACGTTAACCCTTTCTTTTATAATGACTACCCTGTCTAAAGAATGGTAAATTATATAAATTATTTATAAGATAAGAAATTGAGAGAAAGTTGGTGGTTAAATATAAGGGTGCGCAGTCATAATTTGGAGAAGCTCAAAAATTAAATCTATTTTTATTACAATTTGTTGCAATATTCTTATTCATTTATTTGCAAATAAACCACTTTATGAGGATGAAATTTCAGTTTTTTTTTAGCGCGGTCTCCGTTTTCCTCCGAGAATGCAGCATCATTGGCGCGCGGCCAGCAAATTAAACGCCGCATATTACTTCGTCTCTTTTTCGTTCCCGCCGTGAAATCAGCGCACCGCGCTTTTGTGGATGGAGTGCCTTCCTTCTTGCTCGCTGCGCGCACTCGCCATGCTCAGCGTTGGGTTAACGACATAGTGACTTTACCAAGGTCAGGTGCAAATCTAAAAGAGGACTCCTCTCGCGTGCAAACCCGAGACGCATGCGTCGCCGCGGCCGGCCGAATATAATGAGGAACGAGCGCGGCCGCCGCCGCCACCCACTTAACAACCCTCGTCAACCCTGGTGACGGCGTGTGCCCCCCGGCGACCGTGAATTGGCCCCATTAGCGCCACCCTTTCCGCCCCCGGCGGGGGTTGTTTTCGTTTCACATGTGCAATTGTCTCCGCCGAGGGGTGCTCTTGAATTGCCAACTTAATTTCAAAATTATTGCCCTTCACCTTGACTGAAGGGGTATTTTTTTCCTTATTCTAATTTCCTACTCGGAATTATATAATTGCAAAAAATTCGCTGAATTTGTTTTTAATAAATTGGAATCCAAGCACTGAATTTTTTAAATTGAAATGAAATATCACTCACCATTACTGGAAGGTTGCCTAGGGTTGTAATAGGCATGCTGAGGCAAGTGTGAGGGCGGTGATAAATGCTGGTAATAAGGGTTGTGCTGCTGCAGGAGCTGGTGCTGCTGCTGCTGGACAAGAGCGTTTTCACCTGCGGCACCACCTTAAAGTGAATTTAATCATGTTATTCAAAATCAATTTCCCTAATTTTTGACAAAATTCTTAAGTGAAGCTAATTTATTCAGGTAACCAAGAAAAGAGAGGCTATAATTTGCAGATTAATTCCTTCATCAAATACTGAAGCTAATTGGCACTTGACAGAAAGTTGATAACAGGAAAATTTAACTAAATCTTTCAAATTATTCATGCTGGAGAAGAAACATAAGCCTATTTAATGGAAGATCCTTAATTAAGTAAATAATAAATACATATAAATTTAAATATACTCACTGTTAACTGGGAGCTGCAGACGAGCTCTCAATTCATCTGTGTGTCCACTGCTGCTACTATCCACATCAGACACTCCACTATCAGCAGGTGAAGGAGGGAGGGAACCTGGAAAAATACAGAAGTTTAAAATATTTTTTTTTCAAATATAATAATTATTTAAAATAACATTTTAACAATAAATTGTTTTGTAAAAAACATAATTTACAAGCTTTTAATTTGTGTTAAATAGATTTTACGTTGCTATATTTAAGTTTTGTTTACTAAAATTTTTTTTAAGTTAACTTATTTATTTTTATTGGCTGACAGCAAAATCAGTTAATAAAAAATAATATTGTATTTATTTTCGTATATCAACATATTTGTTGTTGGTTTTAAAAATATTTTAAACATTATTTTAAGTTAATTTGCTCTACGATGAAGTATTCCTCAACAATACATTATCACGTTTCCTTTACTTTTTGTTCAACTTTGAGCAACTTTTTCCCGATTGAAGATTGCGCGTTTATCATTGAGATTAGGCCGGACGGCGAATATTGGGACGCTGTTATCGCAAGAGTGTAGCTCTCTCTCTACTCATAGAAGCCTTGATTGTATTGATTTTCCCCGGTCGTTGGCTAAAGTAATTAACTTGTTCCGCACACGCACTACACTCTTGACGAGAGCAAATTTGCCTAACATACCAGTTGAACTGGTGCTGAAGCCGGCGGCTCGGTGGGGGTGCTGCAGGCTGCTCGGCTGCAGGCTGAGAATGTTGTGAAGAAGGGCGGATGGCGGCTGCTTCAGCTGCGGGGGCGGCAGGGAGGCGACGGAGGCGGCTGGGCCGTCGTCGTCCGTGTCCGAGTCGTCGCCGGCCAAGAGCGATCCGTGCGTTGTGTCCACTGAAACAAAAATTATACACAAATTGAAATTCATATTCTATTAAAATAAAAATTAACTTATTCAAAGTTTTGAAAATTGTATGAATCAGATAATTAAAAATAAACAATTTTTTAATAAAAAATTTAAACGTCTTTCTGTTTTAGAAAGATTTTGACCTTGACTGAAATGTACAAGAAGAGATGGAGTTGGTCAAAGTGCACAAATTCTCCAACAGAACACTGACTATAAATTATTTATGAGCTGATTATGCAGCATAATAGTCCGGCATCTCGCAATAACATCATTTTTTTTGTCTCCTTTAGCAGAATAATTAAAAAAAAAATATCACCACGTTGCATTTGTTCCTCTAGATTGACTCTAATAAAATTTGCTATAATTCAAAGAAAAAATTCCAATAATGGCTCGGAAGTAAAGTTTCTTGAATGAAATTCCTATACTCTCGCGATCTTAACAACTGGATTTTTCTTTTTAATGGGGAAAAATCACAATAATTCCGCATTCCACCGACTTCATTAAAAATATTATTGTTTTTTCTATCTCCAGATGAAAACTTTCTTATATTTCTTTCTTTCTCTCATTCATGCTTTTACTCGGTCGTCTGCCAAGCGGAATGCGCGCCGCCCGACCAGGAACTGAAGTAGTGCATGATAATGACGGCAGCTGTGCCACTATGTGTGTGCGTACCTGACTAACATTCTCATTTTCGTTGTTTCTCTTTCGTTTGTATGAGAAGAGCGTGTGATGCCTGGCATTTTACTTATGTATTTACGCGTGTGTTCCAGTGCAAGGAGCAGAGGAGGAAATGAAAAAAATTGCATGCTCTGTTTCGTCTGCAGTGAGATTCGTCCAAGGTTCTCGTTTTTGCTTGAAAATGAAACTTTTGGTGACTTTCGTTTTGCCCTGGAATTTACTTTTAAATGCCAGAAAAACATTTAATTTTGTCAATCGTGATTTGGTCTCAAAACCAACATGTTAATTGACTGTGCCCTAAATTGAACCTTGTTTTTATTTGTCAGGCCAAGATAAAATATCTTATCGGCCTGTGCCTTTTTTTGAGCTTGTGGAGGGCAAGCTCAAATTTTATATTTTAATTTATGTGGAAAGTAATTAAAATAAAATATTTAATTTCAGGAAATAACAGGCAAATAACTATTTTTTAAATATTTATATAAAAATCTAAAAATTTCAACTACCAAATTCCAGTGTATTAATTTTTAATTAAAATATTTTCCAGAATTGAAAATTAATCGTTATTTTTTATTTGTATAGGGAATTAATTATGGTTTTTAATATATTAAACAAGAATGCAATTAAAAAAATAATAAAAAACGAGACAAGTGCAGCTTTGCAATAAGAAATACTATCCAGCGCAGCGTTGTGTTAGGACATGCGGTGCATGTCACATATTATCGTCGTACACAAGCAGTCTGTGTGTGATGTTCCTTGACCCACATTTCAGAATGCATTTATATACCTGCCGTCTATGGCTGCGAGCTCTTTTGCTTTCCATTTTTCCTCCTCGCTCTCAGGCGTATATAAAAAAACGCGCCTTTTGTTCACCTGTGCAAGTGCAGGCGGGCCCTGATTCATCTCTCTTTCCTTAAGCAGTAACTAGTTTTGCTCAAGTGACCATTGTTGCGGGGAAATTTTTGGTCTTGAAATTTCAACTGCTTTCGATTGAGTTTTCACTTGGAGGAAAAAATACCATTAAGTCAGATTAAGATTTAAAAGAGGAGTAAATGAAATGCCAGCTTTAATTCATATAAATTTTAAAGCCAAAGTCCCGCTGAATTTGAATTTATTCTGTGAGATATAAAATAAAAATGTTTGATAGTAAAATTAAATGCTGATTTTTAAGGAAATACTTTAAAAAATTGATTTAAAAAATTTAAATTAAATCGTACACAAAAAATTAGATCAGCTGTCGCTCCGAATAAATTTCTCTTTCTTTGCCCGCGACAAACATCACTTGCGGCGCGAAAAGCCTACTTTTGACGGCGGCAAGCCAGGAAAACGCGGCGGAATGATAATGAGCAAAGCGAAATTGCGGTGACCAATTAATCGAGACGAAAGTAGTTTGTTGTTTCGGTTAAGAGAGAAGAGCGATTATTTGTTTGTTGTTCGGTGATCTGGTTTCCCAGAAACGCCGTGCACTCTCATCTGACTAAAAATATATACAGAGTGAAAGAGGAGCGAGCAGATGAATGACGTGAAAGCAGAGCAAAAAAGTCACGGGCTTTGGCCAAATCTCAAAACAAGAGAGCGAGAAGGACAATTGATTGAAAAATGTCAGTAAAAAAGAAGGAGGATGTCTATAGATATGTTAAATATTCAAAACTCTGACTGAGCTGGTTTGTGAAAAAAAGGAAAAAGGCTAATTTTTGTACATTGTAAAGGATTTTTTCCAAATTCGACGATTTTAATTGAAAATTTAGGTATATTATGGTTGAGATTTTAGAAAAAAGTAATTTTCTAATTATATTTTGTTAGTTTTTTTAAATTTAACTGCATCTTTAGGATTAAAACATTTAAAAATTTACAATTTTATTTATGAATATTATTTAAAAATTCTTTATTCACTCTATCTTGAAACTGAAATTGTAATTCGAGAATAATCCAAACTGATCAAATCTTCTTTTCGTGGTGAAGAAACAATTGAAATTCATCATTAGCACTGACTTGTTTCATTTATAAATCTCATTTTTTATATTTCATCACATAGGTTCGTAATTAAATTGCCGATCAAATGTGCTTAAATGCACGCGAGTGGCTTCACTTATTGAATTGGCGAGCGTCTTTGCGAAAAGAAAAAAAATAATATTTCTTTGTCGAAATCGGCGGCTCGGAAAAATGTCGCAAGGCGCGTCCGAGTGTGCGGGCGAGAAGCGTACAAAATGCAGACAAGCACATTACGATTGCCGCTCACTTCTACGACATCGCATCACACACACAAATTTTGTAATCAGGCCAGCGCGCGGCGAGAAATAGGTCTCGACGAGGAAAGACGGCGGCGGCGGCGGCGGAGCAAAGTGAGAGCGCGAGTAGCACCACTCGTAATCATGCACATATAATGTATAGGCCAAGTCTAATGTAAGCAAAAGCTCTCGGCGGCCGCGCCGAGGAAGTGACGCAAACGGCAGAGCACGCAATGAATTGGATCTAATTGGGAAATTCACGTGTGCACAGCTCTCGAAGATTTCGCCCTTCGTCGCGCGTGGGAGTTGCTCTTGGATTATAATTTATCTCTCCGAGATGAGCCACGCGTTTGACCGCGATTTAAAAAGAACTTGAGGACCAAATATTTTATTTCTTTCCCGATTATTTTTAAAAATAGAAAGGGACAAATAGTTATGTAAAGAATTTTCACAATTCTTTTTGAGGTTTGCTTAGGAAATTGAGTTTGTCAATGGGGTCTTCCGTATATAAACAAACACATCATCAGAACAACGTTATCATCATTGGAAAGGTCATCGAAAAGTGGTTCGTTTTATGACCGAAAACAAGTATCCAATTTAAGAATAAATTAGGCAACCTGATTAGCCAAGGATATAAAATCTCCTAAAAAATATCAGCTTCTAATTTTTTTGTGATTTCGCAGTAAATAATTGTGCTGTTTGAAATCCCCTAATAATATATAAATTTAAATTATACTTTTTAAGTTTTAAAATTGAAATATAATGTTAAACCTTTAAATTATATTGTAATTTAAATTTCAAAATTAATTACAATTTTGAAAACCTATTTAATAAAATATGATGTACGCTAAATTTTGTATCCTGATTGAGCAAATAAATATTTAATTTCTTTTTCTAAGATTCTATTTTGTTCAGTTTCATTAATTAATATGAAGTATTTTTTTGCATATATATCAAATTTACATTGTTACATTCTGGTTACATTTGCTAAACTTGAATAGCTTTGTGTGTCTAGGCCCGACATGCGAAAATCGAAGGCGAAACCAGGCATCGGCGGGTGTGCACAAAAGTGTGCAATTGTTGTCTCGAGACGACGAAATAAAGAGCGGAACTTTCGTGGTTTAATAATTCCATGCCAAGGTTGCTCACTGCGATATTGCATTTTCCCGTGCGAAACGCTTTCTACTTTGCGGATCACAATAAACATCAACAATGGAGCCGCAACCTGCGACCTCCGCGGATGCAGCTTTTGGAAAAAGACACTATTCCAGTGTCGTGCGGAATTTCCTTATGCAAGAGATTCCTGTTTTGGAAAGAAAACTGCGCCCTAATTTTATTTATAAAAAAAATTGTCGGCCTGATAAGTGGCCGCGGGCTGGTGGTATATTTATTATGATAATTGGTGTTGCAAGTCGACGAGATAAAAATGGTTTGTGAGAAATATTGGCGCAATGAGAGAGTGAGATAATTTTAGTACTTATTTTGTGACAAATGAATAACATTGGCTGATAAACCACACAATCGGCGTTTTCGTTTTTGAATAAGACACAACTCGAGATAAGAATTTTTTTCGCGTTAAATAATTAATAATCGAACCCATCATTATCTTTAATCAAGAGACGAAAGAGAAAGAAATCAAGTGTTTATTATTTTTTGTATTTAAATTCGCAATCAGATGTCAATTTAGGTTAAATTGGGACACGCTCCGCCGAATTTCGAGAGACGCGTCTTTCCTCATCGCACTGAATAATCGGTTGACCCTGAAAGTGTGTTGTAGCTTTATGGGGTGGCATGTCTGGCCCGTCTATGTGTTGAGTCTCTCTCTCGCCCCACACGGAACGGGAAAATCAATACCCTGTGCTCTATTTTTAGTTGTTTCATGATGTGCATTACGTTTAGCGGCACCGCCGGCGGAAAAGCAGGCGGCCGGGAAAGTTACCTCAAGAAAAGGAAAAAGAAAAGGGTGAAGAAAAAATTGTCACTTAATAAACAATTATTATAAAACTTAAAATCCAATGGGCCGAGGATAAAATATTTGCTCTCCTGCCAAACAAAAGTTATTTTTTACTCTGTCTCTGTCACAA